TTTTCTTAATACATGCACAGCATAGGGTATGAAAATGTCCTTGTAGATTTCTAGGAGTGTTCTGGTTTTCCGTAGCCTGCTGTGAACATCTCATATTCCAACCTTTCTGTTTTGGCTCAACTCTTCTACTGCTATCTTAAGGAACTGCCATGTTAAAAAAAAATGACTCTGGTGATTTTCAGTACATGTCCCCATGGAAAAGACTATCTACACTTGGCATGCTGCAAGGTGGAATCAACATGTCTTGCAAGTGGGATTTTCTGAGGATGTATCAGGTAAAATCACAACAGTGATCTGAAAAGGCTTTAGAGGACACCGACCCTGTTCTGCCTGCCCCAGAGCCTGCTAGGCAGCTGGTTTCACTATGCTTGAGGAGCCACTGGTTTTCAGCATACCATGGAGCTAGCAGGATGGGAATGGGGCATACTGTTCATATACTGGACCATTTTTGTTGAGTACTTATACACCCCTGCAGATTGTTGCGCTCGCCTTTAGCTACTTTCAGAGCTCTGGAAGTTGATTTGGGTAAAAGTTGCCAGTGTTCTCACTGATTTTTATGGAGAAGATGACTTCAAGAGGCAAGAGTCTCTGYGGTTCCTCCTGATAGCCCTCAGCAATAAAGGTTAGGACTGACTGCTTTGTAGAATGGAGCAGAGCCAGACTGCAAATAAATGAGCAGGTTGCAGAGGAACACTGAGGGTCCATTCAAGGTTGCAGACGGCTGGTGAGTCATGGCACCAAGCTATCCTGGGCATGTTTTCCAGCAAACTCTGTAGAGCAGGTGTGGACATTGATAATGGAGAGAGAATGTAGAGGTAAGGAAGAGGAGAGGCATTCACTGAATTGGCAGAGTGAATGCATTCATGTAAGGAAATGAGAACACTGGGAGGAAAAATGGTGATTAGATAACAGCACAGGGTCTGAATTTTAAGTTTAAAATAAAGTTGTCATTTGATTGACAAGAGTCTTTCTTACTAAAGTTATATTAACAGTGATCAAAGAGGCAAGCATTGTGTATTCCAAGAAGAAGCCATGATCATGTTTTCTTGATAGGATTGAGCATACTTGACAGGGAATCATTTGAGCTTTATGGAAAGTGCATAAGAAAGATAAATTTTCTAGTGAGAGGACTCAGGAAAGAGAGAAGTCTCCTGCGTCAGATGTTGAAGAGATGCAGATTTCAGCAAGTAGAGATTAGTGTCAAGGAAGACATTCCTACCAGAGGGAAAAGGTGTCTGATGTGATTCAGTACTGAAAGAGCTACACCATGGTGAAGGTGTAGTTGGCTCAATTCACGATATGGTGGGGGCAGAATAGCAAGGGATGAAGGTAGAAGGATTAGGGCCAAGGACAGAAAACCTTCAAATCCCAGCTAAGAAATGTGGATAAATGTGTGCAGGGAGTATGAACCCCAGGAAGTTTCCAAGCAGGATCTTGATGTGTGATCACAGTTTACAATAGCAGTATAACCATGGCAACTGTGGGAAGGAGCAGATTGGAGGGGGAGGTGATGGGAGAGAGACCAGTTGGAAGCATTGGAAAAATTGTGATTTTTCTGAACAAGGATGATGGGAATTGAAATTAAGAGATGTGAAAGATTTGATTGTATAAAGCCTGTGACCATGAAGGTAAGATTGAAAGCATTCATTTTTAGATTCTTTGGATGTTGCTGACATTTTAAAAACTTAAAAACATAAAAGTTTGCTAAACTTTAATCCCTAATTCCATGTAATTAACTAGGGCTCTAACATTTCCTATTTTTTTTCAGCATAACGCTTGCTTATTTCAGGTTAATTGTGAACTCAGTTCACGTTGTTGGAATATTGGTGTTAATTAAATATTAAAATATTTCAAATTTTTTCAGTACAGGTTTTATCAAGACTTGAAATGCTTTAGTAGAAATAATACTAAGGAGTTGGTCTGGTATCTGGTTAATACCAGTTTTTTTTTCAAGTATTAAATGAATTCACCTAAAAGATTCTAGATTGCTATAAAGTTCTAGAGCATCCCAGGCTTGCTGCTTTGGTTAACACATAATTAGATCTTGACAGCCCCCTAGTGGCGGAGTCTCACTCTGGAGCTGCTGCTGTATAATTATTTAGGACGTGTCTGATCAGTCATTGGTGCTGTGCCCTCTCTGTTCTAACTCTTTGGGTACTGGGAATGCAGTTTTTATCATCCTTATCTGTAACCTTGACTTTATTTGTCTATTTCCTAAAATTATCCAGTTTTGAGAAGAAGCCTTGACAAGGTGCATTATGAACGAATCTGCTCACAGCTCATTTTTAATTTCAGTTACCCTGTTTGTGATGATGATATAAAAATCATTTGTATAACACACTTACATGAGCTAAAATTGCCTACCAAAACTTATGGATATAGCATGTCTATAATTAAGCTATGCATAAGACTTTAATGCTGGTAGAAGGGAGCTCCATGTCTTGGACTAGGGTGCTACCCATTGGCTGTTTGCTTGGCTCCTGTATCTGAGACTTTGGCAAGTCTTTGTTCCCAGTTTGGTTCAGCAGATGCTGGTGCTCAGATGCTTTTTGCTACAGAATATGCAATAAAATTTTCTAAAGATTGCATGTGTCTCTCTGTATATAAAAAATTCCCATGAACTGTTGCTTCTCAAAAACTGTGGTTATAAGCTACCCTAAACTAATTTAAGAAAATTACAGAATATGAGTCAGGTGCAGAGGTGCACACCTATAATCCCAGAGACTTGGGAGGCAAAAGAATATTATTATAATATTAATATGAAATATACAGGCATTTGGAGGAAGATGCATAGAAAGTGGGGAGTACCTTACTATGAAGTCCCTTGCATGAGTGTGTTTGTGAAGACCATGCTTACTCAGATTCAGGTTGTACATCTTCACTGAGCACAAGAATAGTGCAGCAGCTTCAGATCAGGGAGAATGGCAGAACTAAGAAGTTCCTCATTATTACTGTTGCACATTTCCCAGATAGACTCTGTTATTTTCATTCCCTGTACTACTGAAGGGGGTTAGTGGTCTAACTGAATAGCAAGAGAAATTTATAGTAGGCTTTAGAAGAAATTATGTATTTTAAACTAAATTTGCTGTCAAAAAAATGTTTGCTTTCCCTGCATAGCTGCATGTTGGTGAATTCTGATATCCTGCAAGTGTAAAGGGGAAGGGAACCAGGGACATTTCTGTGACTCAGTTTTCTTTTAAAATGGAATATTTTGTACTTGTACAATTGGGAATTGAATATTACAATATAATGTCAGATTTTATTTACAAATGTCAGCATAACTAAAAATATGGAAAACTTTTTCCCCCTGAAAATTATCTCCAAATGTGTGGTTCATAGTTTATATTCTTAGGAAAGGTTACAACCATGATTTAAGGAGTCAATGGATTAGTAGGTGTATCTTTATGAAAAATGAATTATAAATTAAATTTTACTTTTCCTGAAATTATTTTTAAGAACTAGTTTCTCAGTGTCAGCAACTGCCTTTAAGCATTATAAAATCTGATACTATTTTTTTTCCTCAAAAACTTAAATCTTCAGTAATAGACATGAGAGTAATGTCTTCACCATGGATTTATTTTATTTAGGGACTTGAGTCAGCTTTTGAAAGATAAGTCAGCAGGTGTTGGTTCTTTAATCCCCACCTCTGTCATCCCAAGCAGTTATTGATCATTTCATTAATTAAACCCATAGTGGAGAGCTACAAAATGCTATAGCCCATGGTGTTATTGCTTTTTTTTTTTTTTGGTACCAGGGATTGGACCCAGAGAGCATAACCCCTGAGCTGTATCCCAGCACTTTTATCTTTTAGACAGAGTCTTGCTAAATTTCTTAGGGTCTTACTAAGTTGTTGAGGCTGACATTGAATTTGAGATCCTCCTGTCTCAGCCTCCCTAGCCACTAGCACCACTGTGACTGGCACCTGTGTTCTTTTCATGGCTTTATTTCAATCTAATTATGAGTTGTTACATATGATCGAGCTGTGTCTTACTAGTGACTTTCATGTCGTATCAGATTTACTTTTATAATTTTAAATTGGCCATATCAACTCAGTGGTTAAACTGTTATTAAATGTTTATTACTTAAAAGGCCTTGAAAGGGGGGAAGGTGAGGACTAATATTTGTCCAGTGTTCACTAACTTTATACTAGCTATCAGAGGCAGAGAGGGAAGAACAGGGCTGTAGCATTAGGTGGCTCCGGAGGTTGTGTGATGTGAGTTCAGCCACTGAAGTTCCTCCTGTGCATCTAGCCCAGATCTTAGCTGAGGTGACCCTTTCCATGGTCAGCAGTATCAGATCAGTGGGCCATTGGTCCTGCCTCCTATGATTCCTGTGGGGTCTCCCTGGGATCTTATATCCTGTGGATATGTATGTGGTTTTCCCTTTGCACCACCCTGGTCCTAATATAGGACTATGACCTTTCATTTTCCCTGTCTGTTAGACACATCTGTATGTAGAGCATATTAACTGAAAATGGGGCGTGGTGAGGTTTGTCATCACATTAGTGGCCCTTAGCCATCCTGCCATGGAAATTCATCATCCACTACGCCTCTGTTGTTAGGGTTTCCCCTCCTCCGTCATACTTCTCTTCCTAGCCTGCCTTTCCTCCTCTTTCTCACGGGTAAATGTCTTCTTGTGCAGAGCAGTTGAGAGCTTAGCTTGCTCTTCCACCCACACCCTCCAGTGCTTGCGGTCTTTCCTTGCCAACTCGCCCGGTGGCCCCTGGGTTTTCTTGCCCAGAGAGTTCTCTCTCCGAAAGGCGAGGAAGGAGGGGTCCCCATCTAGGGTCAGCATTGGCTGAGTCGCCGCCTCCCGGCCCCAGCAAGGGATGCTCTGGCGCTGCACGTGGTTGCACCTGCGGGCGCGGCTGGGAGCTTGCACTTGGTAGAATGTGAATCATGACAAGGACACGGCACGGGTGGTCTTGCCCCCGCGGGATGGTGTCCCTCAGGTCTATGATGTCCTTCCTTTTCTTTCGCTTTCCTGGTCTGAAATTGCAGCTGCCAGAGCTGAGGTGTGCAGCGGCACCGGGGAGAGGTTCCGCATCTTCCGCGCAGAGAAGACCTACGCAGTGAAGGCGGGCCGCTGGTATTTTGAATTTGAGGCGGTCACTGCAGGAGACATGAGGGTCGGCTGGAGCAGGCCGGGGTGTCAACCTGACCAGGAGCTGGGCTCGGATGAGCGCGCCTTCGCCTTCGATGGCTTCAAGGTGAGTGGACGCGGGTGGATGCGCTGTGGTCCCTGCCTCCCTACAGGCACCAGGTGAATGAAGAGGCCAGCTTCTCCATGCAGGGAAGTTGCTGTCCTCGTGGTTGCGCAACTGTCTCCCCCCTCCCCACACATACAATGATAGTCATCAAGAGGTCACCAAAAGCATGGGTCAGCCTTGTCCTTAGAAATTATGGAAGATACGGTGTGCAAGGTTTTGTCTTCAAGGAATAGTGGCTATAATGCACGGCAGTTAAAAGCATAGAAATGCCAGTCCCTAGGCGAGGGTAGAATATGGACCAGAGAGGAGCAGGAGGAAGAAGGAGTGGTTGGGCTGCGCTCACCGTGCTGCAGTTAAACAGAGCAGAGGTCCAGCTGCTGAGCAGTGGGTCTAACTGAGAACCCCCTTTCAGCAGCTGGGAGGAGGTCCGCGGGTTTTTAACCACAAACGTTCAGGAGAGTGAAGTGTTTAGATGGATTTAAATATCACAAGAATGTAGATGTGTATGGAAATATCATGCGGTCTCCCATAAACAATTTTGTTTTTAATGTGTCAGCTAAAAACTGAATTTAAATGAAAAATACTGGCTGCAAAAATGCTGAATGTGATGTTATTGATAATCACAGTTTTCATTTTCAACGTTATTAGCAATTTATTCCTTAAACTGTGTCAAGTCCTTATTTTGTTATTTATTTAATAATGTTTAAAGATTGTTTTATGTTATATAAAATATTTTCTTCATGCAATTATATTCCTTTTCACACACCTGAAATACCCAAATGTTAACTTCTTCATCATTGCCTATATATTCTATTTGTTTTAAATTAAAAATAGTTTCCCTCCATGTGAAAAGGAATAGAATTGCAATAATAGTAACCACCTGGGACAATGTTTCTAAGCTCCAAATCATGACAGGTGGTTACTGTGGTCTGAAACCTCACATTTCCTGAAATTTTTTAAAAAATCTCAAATGGAAAATTTTAGCCTCCTTCCCTCTTTTGATCAAAAAGCAAATTTTATTTAAATTTCAAAAAATAAAGTATAAGTCAAAAGGCGGCCTTTGTTTTATTTCTGCTGAAGATCAGCTATAATTAACAGCAAGAACTGCCCAGGGGAGTCAAAGTACCCCTTACCCCTGGCAGTAAAAGGACTGTTACTTTGGGGACTGACTGTGGTGGAGTAAGGAGGTCACCAGACTAGATACATTGGTTCTAAAGTTTAATGTTTTTTTGATATTCAGTTAAAATTTTTAAAAATACATTGTGTTATATTGAGAAAAATTGTATCACTGTTTTGCATTGGTCACTGTATCCTGTTCTGTGTCAATCCACAATGAAGGTGATGTGAGCAAAATAATTAATATAAATGATTTTGTACCCAGAAATCAATGGAATATGCTTGTAGATCTAAAATTCACATTTGCCAAAACTATTTCCAATGCATTTCTGAGATTTCACTTCTGTATATTCAATTTTTTGCTTCTTATTTTAGCAGATATCTTAATATTGTTAGATTTTGGGGAAAAAAGAATATTTTTAGGTTTGATTTGAAGTCTTTTTTTTTAGTATGTAACTGAAAATCTTCTGGATTTTCAAAATGTTGAACTATCATTGCCAGGATTTCCAAGGAATGAAATTTTATTTTGAAATGGGTGAAAACTAGAATGTCATTTTCAATGATAAGTTCCTAGCTTGATGTCCAGGTCATAATTCTTTGTTTTGGGGTGGGGGGTTAAAAGAAAAACCACTAATTTCCAGGAAAGTAGTCATTTCAGTGGAAAGAAAAACAAAAGTGTATTTAAAAAAAATAATATGTGGAGTTAGATTTTTAAAAAGTCCTAAAAGCATGAACTAGCATCTGGGTTTTCCCCAAGATTAAGCAGTATACCACGTGATCATCAGGGGCTCTAGATACCCGGCCACTCCAGCTGGCTCCGGGCCTTGCCCAGGGCTGCTGATGTGGCTGAAGCTCTTCTGTTCTGGTGTCACTCCAGGGAATGGTGGGTGCATTCTGTTCCCTGGCTGACTATGTCACAAGGACTTTTCTGTCCCTGTAGGCCCAGCGGTGGCACCAGGGCAATGAACACTACGGGCGCTCCTGGCAGGCAGGCGATGTTGTGGGTTGCATGGTTGACATGAACGAACACACCATGATGTTCACGCTTAATGGCGAAATCCTGCTGGACGATTCAGGTTCCGAACTGGCTTTTAAGGACTTCGATGTTGGTGATGGTGAGTCTGCCCATTTGGCTCATTTTAAAGTTTGTGGCACAATGAGACTGTGGTTCTGATGCCTGGCGTTGGAGGGTGAGTGAGCAGATGATTTGGAGCTTGAAGTTCCATGAGTACCACTTGTCTGATTGGATCAGGGGCACTCGAAATAGCTTTAGCAGAAAGGCTGTGCTACTAGCTGGGATCTCAATAAGGTGGAAATGGCTTTGATGAGCTTAAGAAAACAAAGGTGGAGAAAAAGGATGGAGTTCCACAGTCTTGGAGGGCTCATTTAGAATTCCCCTGGTTAATGACCTGCTTGTAGCCTTTTTCTCTTCAGTTCACAAAAATGCAAGGAGAACCAACTGTCTAGGGGGCCCTCTACTGGAAGCAGAGAGAACTCGGTCCTTTCTTTATGTATATTGCAGTCTGCCAGCAAATGGTGTCACTTTCATAACCTCTATAGTGCAGAAATGGAGAAGCTCTATAGGAATAAGGTGCAAGGGCAGTCTTCTCTCATGGTCCAGGACAAGGCCAGGAGCCAAGATGTGTATTAAAGCTGAGGTACTTGGCATAGCAAGGGGGATGGCACTGGGCAAGTGTTTGAGCCGATATGACTGTCACTTATCAAACACAAATTTGCAAAATAAGAATTGCATTTTTATTACTTAATTCTATTTTGAACACATGTATCTCTGGGTAGTGAAATTGGCAACCTAATCCTCTGCCACTCTGGGTGTCTTAAGTATCAGGGGAAGGTGTGAGAGAGACTTTTCCATGTTATCTGTACTGTGGATAAGACCTGAAATACTGTTTTTATAATAAGTTTTATTTTAAAATACTCAGTTATCATGTTTTCCTTTTTGAACATCTAAGGAAGTTAAAGACCTTTAGATGCATGTGTGAGTTCTGTTTGTATATGTGTCACAGCATATATGCAGATTCCCGGGCTGCCTGTTCACAAAGACATAACTAATGTTAGTGACACAGCACTGTTCATGTATAAAGAACCACTGCAGTCTTGAAATAGGCTCTGAAGTGAGTTTGAGCACCACATTTGTGTAAATAACTTTGTTTTTTGACTTTAGACTTCATAGAATTTTTAAAATTTAAAGAATGACTTTAACTTTATATCGATACCTGTGTCATAAAGCTAATGTAGAATTCTGATGAATTATCTGAAAAATTACTAGTCAGTATTGTTGGACTTTTGTTGGAGGTTTTTGGGAAGCATTCTAGTGGTCTCCAAGGAGTCAGAGTTTATCTATGCCTGAGACTTTCCCGTGCTCTTTGACAGTGGTATCTCTCATCGTCTCACTCTTAAATTAACTTGACACAAATTCCTACATACAGTTTCTTTATTTGCCTGCCACTACTGAGAGAAAGTTCTCAAGCCCTTCAAGTGTGAAGGACCAAGTTTATCAAACTGCTAATTTATGGCAACAGAGTTTTTTTAGCCAACTAATATGCTGTTATTACTATAGTCCTAAAATTTTGCATAAATTTTTCAAGTTGTTCTTAAACCTGGCATGTCTTTATGTCTGTGCTAGACTTGATTTGCTATTTTCTGCCATCTTCTTGGTTCCTTCTTATGGCTACAGAGATAATCAGTTGAGCAAATACACACTGGCTATTAAAGCAATCTTAATCACCTTGTGGTAGGATGGATACACATGGAAAACTTACATGCATACAGGTATGCCTGGGTATGTATATGTATACACATATCCATATGCATATAGACACAAAAGATCTTCACCTGCTCAGCTTAGTAGATAACATAACTGAGCATATTTTGTCAACTCTGTCTTTTATGTAGTTTATATGACTGAAATGGTACCCTGTCTAGTATAAGTTGTTAGTCCGAGATCAAAAAGAAAAATTACAAAAAGTCTTTAAAAGACTGATGTGGTCATGCAGTTAGATTCAGGAGGAGACAACAAAGCATATGTTGATCAGGGAAAGCATCAAGGATTTATCTTTAACAAAATTCTTTTTAAATGTATGTATAATTCTCTCAGTCCATATGCAGTCAGCTAATCAAGAGTCATTCTTATAAGTTTTGTCACCTGATCACATTCTTAATACCCACAAAGGTCTAATAGCCAATCATGCTATGATACCTACTGCATAGCAAGAACCTGGAAGTTGCTCTCCTGATGCATCCATAGTTTAATAATTTTACCAAAACCAGATATTGTTCCATATTGAGTTTTGAGATTAAGGCAATGATTTTTATATGAGGCATCCCTTTATTTATATCTTCCTTAAGACTCTATTGGATGTGATTTTTATCATGTTGACTGGAGTAAAGAACTCAGAGAGATTCAGAATATTCATCTAACATTGAGCTATTAAGTTATTCATGATGTTTTGGTGATGACAAAAGGGGATGTATGTCCTATCAGATACCAGAATGTGTTGTGAAGCAGCAGTCATTGAGACAGAGTGATATTGCTGTGGGGAAACAGTTTAACCCTTGTCATTCAGTGGAGATGTAAGAAAAGTACCATCCTCAGCACATGCCAAGGTAGCTTATTAGGGTGCTATGGAAAGGAGTACTATGATAAGATGGTGATTTGTATGGCAGAGAGGAAATTTGATCACTTCCTCACAACATGGATGATAGCCAACCCCAAACTGGGATTTTTAAATGTCAAGAATAAATTCCAAAACTACCAGTAGAAAATCTAGGCAAAACTTTAGGGTATGGAGTGGGAAACTATTTTTTTTCCTTAAAAGTAAAACCACTGGTTATGAAAGAGTGACATAAACTTGTCTGTAAGAAGTTGAGGGTGCTCATCAAAAACAAAAACAAAAACAAAAAACCAAACAACAACAACAACAACAAAAAAAACAAACCTCAGTGGAAGTGGGGAAATACTTGGGGGAATCTATTCTTAATGTGTGAGACTCAAAAAGAAAAATGTTAGTGCAGATGTTTTTCAGCTTACAATGGAATAATGTCCTATTAAGCACATTATTAGAGAAAATATCCTAAGTTGAAAGTGCACTTAATACATGAATCTGAGTCCTACTTAGGAACACTGCCTGGTAGGGTACAAGTTGTCTTTCCCCATGATCACACAATGACAGAACTGCAGCTTCTTTCACTGCCCAGGCTGCAAGGTTGCAGGAGAGTGTGGTCCCACACATCACTAGCCTGGGAAAGATCAGAATTTGAAATTCAAAGTATGGTCTCTACTGAACATATATGATGTTTGCACTATTCCAAAGTAAAAAAAAAGTGATTTAAATCATCATGAGTCAGAGACCATTATGAAATCAATAGGAAAAATTATACAAAAGACATGAACAGGCATTTTAAAGAAGAAATGTGGGCAATAAGATTTAAGAAGATGTGTGTTTAAATCCGTAATTAGATACTGTTTTGCATTCTGTTATTGTTTGCAAAGCTTGAGAATACCTAGTTTTGTTCTCGGGAGTGCAAATGGGTGCTTTCACTTGCAAAGCAGTTTGACAGTATCTGTAAAAACCAAATATTCACATACTCATGACCCAGCAGTTCTACTCCAGCTGCTCAGTGATGTGTGTCTCAGCACAGAGGCAAAAACTAGACTCTTCATAGGAGCACCATTCGTACAGCCAAAACCAGGAAATAACCAAATGCAACCCTCAGGAGAACAGGTAGGTCCATATAAATCACAGTGCTATGATAATATGAATATTTTAAAAAGATTACTGTGGTCAGCTAAATGGCCCCCAAGATGTCCATGGCATATTTGTGAAATCTGTGAATGTACTGCTTTACATGTTAAGAGTTTTGCTGATGCGATTCAGATGGTGATCTTGAGAGGGGGAGGCTAGCCTGTGTGATCTGGGCCGGGCCAGTGTAGTCCCAGGAGTTCTCATAGCTCAGTGTATGGGTGTGAGGGAGGGAGAGAATGAATGAATGATATTTGGGGAACAGGGCCAGGAGTCAAGGAAGGTCAAGTCTCGAGGGCTAAGGATTAGATCTCAGCTCTGAGAAAAGCTAAGAAGCCTAACCAGTGGTTTTTTCTCTAGGTCTCTGTGGAAACAGAAGGGAATCTTGTGTTCACACATGATCCAGCCTGCTCAACAAAGGAGAAAAAAAMCAGAACTTGAGTACTAATTACCAGCTGATGACAAATTATATGTTAGCTTTATTTTATGACCTTTTCCCTGCTCTCTGAAGATAATTTATTCTTAGAGTACATTAATAAGAAAAATTTCCATGGGTCAAAAGCTATATTTTCAATAGGAAATTATATGTGTCCAGTTCTGAGTGCCTTAGAAATCAAACCTCATTTTTTACTGAAGCAATATTATATACCTTTCAATTATGTCAATACCGAGCAGTGGTTTTCTCTAACCTAAAGTACTGCCTTTCGTTCTTCAGTTTTTTACTTGCTCTACTGAAGCTCCACTTCACTGTCATGTTGTATGAACTTCAGATTCCCTCAGGAATTATAAAAATTACACCCAATATATATGTAATTTAAATTTCAATATGAGAAAAGCACACCAAAACCAGCCAAAATAAGCTAAAAAGAATATAGTAAAGTTAAGGAAATAATAGAAGAACATGCAGGTGACCTCCCATGTACCAACCATATTGACATCAGAAGATTGAGGTACTYGATTTTCCCTAAGACTTGTGCTTGCCACGCTTTCTGAAGGAAGGGCTTATGTAGGATAAGCTGCTGCTTACTACTGTGAGATAACAGCATGCCTGGCTCTGATGGCACTCGCCTTCCTGGAGAGGTGGAGTCCCAACTGCTCTTACATTTCTAAAAAGAGGAAGAAATACTTTGCAGGAGTATTTAATGAAATTCCACACAAAGTAGAATTCACGATCTAGGAACTGTGCAGGGTTGTCTGGGCTCATGGCTTGGGAGGCGACGTGTCTGCTGGCGAGCACAGCAGCCTGAATTCTAGCCGTGTCTCCATGCCACCTGCTGCAGACTCGGCTGCCCCCAGACGCATAGGTTGAAGCCCTAACCTTCTATATGCTTGTATTTGGAGATAGGCACTTTAGAGATATAATTATGGTCATATGAGGCCATAGAGGGAGGCCCTAATCCCAACCCTCCTGCTCTTGTAAGAAGACAAGGAGCCACCAGGGATGCATGCTCGCATGTAAAAGGCCATGTAATCTGTTCTCAGTATACTCTTACGGACCTGCTACATGTTACTAGTTTATAGATTTGATCATATCCTTAATTTAAGACAAGGGGGTCATCTAAAACCTTTCCATATTGTGCAGAGTGACAGAATAGTCACGTAGGCCTGAAGATTACCTACATTTTAGAAAATATTTTCTGGGCACCTATTTATCTCGTGGTGTATAAACACTTTATTAACTCTGGAGACCTTTTCATGGTGTCTGCTCTCTGTAAGCAAAATCTATTTCGGGACCCTCAGATTCCACAGATTCCACACTCATAATGATTTGGTAAAATCCAGAAATGACACTTCTGATTCTGTACCTACCACTTGAAAAGACAGTAAGCAAAAACAGAATTACTGGTTCTGTGAGTCTCATGGGATTTCTTTCCATGGAAGAAAAATAGAAGAATATTTTTGTAATTAAAACAACTACACAGCTGTGGACAGAAGAGACAGCTAATGAAAAAGAGGCAGGGAGACCTTTTCATTATTCATTTTATCATGCTGCTTTTTTGATATAAAACTCTATTAGCCTTGTTCTCTGTGTCCTTAGTTGAAATAGTAGAGCAGTTAGACAGCTTGATGGATCTGTGTAGCTTATTCAGAAGAGTGTTTCTGACATGGTATGAGTATAGGCTAGAAGAATCGTACTATCTTCAACACCTACTTGCTCCTCTTAATGGCCGAATTTGATGGATCATCAATCTATGCTGCCAGCTATTATGATATAGACCTGGGAAAATAACTTGGAGTGTTCCAAGTTAAAAATTAGCATTTGCCAATGGGAGGAAGAATACATGGCCTTGGGTAAATAGTCTCTCTGTTCTCATTTTCTAAAAATAAAATCAGTAATTGGATATAATGTCTTTATGCCTGTTAAGTTCTAAAGAGCCCAGAAATCTAAGAAAAATGTTTATTTTACCTACCCTCTTACATTCTTGCTTCAAACTTGTCATCCTTTTAATTAGCAGGGGGTCCCTAGGCACATTATTTAACATCTTAGTTGTTTCCTCGTCTAAAAAAATTAGGTTAATATTAAATAATGTATGGGAAAGTGTTTATACATAACCTGGCACATAGTAAACCATAAGTAAGTTTGACCTTTTGCTTTTCTTCCGATAAAAAATTCAGGTTTATATTTAATAAAATATTGGCCAGTTTTACCTGCTTTTTTTTTTAACAACAACAACAAAAAAACACAATTTGTTCTTTTTAGATATACGTGACAGTAGAGTGTATTTTGACATATTATACATACATGGAGTATAACTTCCCATTCTTGTGGTTGTACATGATGTGGAATTATAGTGGTCAGGTATGAACCAGTTTCCTATATGAACATAGGAAAGCTCTGTTCAATTCATTCTACTGTCTTTCCTATTCTCATGCTCCTCCCTTTCCTTCATTCCCTTTTGTCTCATCAAATGAACTTTTATTCTTCCCTCCCCACCACCCCATTTACAGTTTGTTAGCATTCACATATCAGAGAGAACATTTAGCCTTTGATTTTTTGGAATTGGCTTATTTCACTTAGCATGATTGTCTCCAAGTCCATCCATTTACCAGCAAATTCCATAATTTCATTCTTCTGTATGGCTGAGTAATATTCTTTTGTGTATGTATATCACATTTTCTTTATCCATTCATCTGTTGAAGGGCACTTAGATTGATTCCATAGCTTAGCTATTGTGAATTGAGCTGCTGTAAATGTTGATCTGTCCATGTCACTATAGTATGCTGATTTTAACCTGGAGCAGGGCATGGCAGACTAAGGCCGAGGGCCAAATCCAACCTATCACTTGCTTTTGTAAACAAAATTTTACTGGAGCGCAGCCATGTTCATTTGTTTACATACTGTCAATGGCTGCTTTTGCAACAGACCCCCTGGCCCTCTTCAGACAGTGAGCCTCTTTTGGCTGGGATCTGTGTTAGCCACCTTGTTTAGTTCCAGTAATATATTCTTTTTAAGATTTTATTTACTTAAGCATTTATTTATTTATTTTACATTCTGTGTTCTATTTCTTCCTCTTTTATTTTTCATTATTCCTACTTTCTGGTATATGGTAACTACTCAATAAGTACTTATCAAATAAAGAATTGAATGGTCGCAAGTTTCTTAATTCATATTAACAAAGTGTCCTACTTAAATCTGCTTCTAGTTTCATGTGATCAGCAGCGTTTCTGATGCTAGACTCACCACACTCTGGTGCTGAGCGTCAGGGCTTGAGGAGGGTGTCGTCTGGGTCATTTTACATCTGCACCACGTTTCTTTGTGGGAACCATGTAGTTATGTCCTGTTTAACTACATAAAGCACTTTAATGAACCTGTCACTTGTCTTCATAATATGTTCATTGAGGAAAGTCTCTTAGACTCAGGGACACAAAAAAGAGTACAAAAAGTTTTAAAAATCCTACCACTCAGAAACTTAGGAAAACACCAAAGGGATTTTTATCATCTAAAAATAAGCCCATGTTATGTGTTTCTGTGAATAATACTGTAAATATTTTCCTATGTATTAATGAATCTTTGAAGACTGAATTCTCAAAAGCTAAATAATACTCTAATGAAAACTTACATATTTATGAGAATATTCTAAAATTTAAACATAGTTAAGTGACATAAATCTTTGTGCATATCACTAGTCACTGAGTTTTTAGAAAATGAAAGTATTGTACATGTACAGCTGTCCCATAACCCCACTTACTGACTAGGAGTTCCTTCTGTAGATAACAAGGATCAGAAGTAGGCATTGACAGAGAGGAGGCGTTTCCACCCTGGTGTCCCTGGGTTATGCCAGATGGTGGTTGGATTTGCTGATCCATGCTCATGGAGTTCAAATTGTCTCCATCTACTGTAGTTACCCAGTCCCTTTCTCTGTGCCTGGGACATGCTTATGTGAAACGACTTTCCTGATCCCAGTCACGTGCTGGCACATCTGCAGACACAGCTGCTGCCTCTTCCACTCTAACTAGCTCACACTTCCTGGGATGCAGCTGGGCACATTGCTTCCTCCCGATTGGTGCCCCCGTTATGTGGTCATCTCTTTGAGCACATAGTGATAGAAACAAACCTGGTGAAGTCTTTGTGAATCACTGGGCAGAGTTTCCATCATCTCTGTTGGGGGTGAGGGATTGCTTTCACTGCTACTAATTTGAACAAGGGCAGAAATGTAGATTCTAATGGTAGAACAAACCTTAATTCTTGTCAATACTGTTGTTTTTATTCTTAGGAGACACAAATTTTTGATCTACAAGTTTAAAGTATCTAATCTGAATTACACTAGCTATAATGTTCTGAAGTCTAAATTAGATTTAAATATATAAGTTGGATGATCTAATTTGAAGACTCTGTTCCAAATGTAGGTTATTATGCTATTTGAACATCCATGTAAAACATCTTGGAAAGAAATGAAAAGTACATAAAATGACCCTCAAAAAAAGTACATAAAATAGCCCTCATCTTATATCCTTGTCAGAAATTATCACATCTCCCCCTTGACAGTCAATCCCAAAGAACCCAAACAATTAGCAGAGTTGATAGTTACCCTTTTTGTTGAGTAGTGGAAGGATTCAAACTCTCTGCCATGCAGTAAATCAGCTGGTGGGATGCATGGTTGGTTTACCCATTGGTCATTGCTGCTGTGGGTCAAAGGGATCCCAAGTAAGCCTTCAGTGGATGCAAATACCCTTCCTCAAGTGAAGTGTGACGAGGTCTGTGGTGTGACTGTGTCCTGTGTTTGGACATGTCACACTCCATAGCCAGACAGAGGAGCAAGACAACAGGACCCACACCCTCCTCAGCCCTGAGTCCTCCCTCATTTGCCTGCAGAGAGAGTGATCTGCACTGCTGAGCCAGGAGGCTGTTGGGTGTGGACCTGCTTTTGCAATTGGATGCTCTAGGATTTCATGTCAGATTTCTCGTATCCCGTTGTTGTTTTCTCCATAGGGTGGCGGCAGAGCTAGGAGTCCTGAGCAGTCTGTCAATTCTGTACCAACAAGATTTCCTACTAAGAAGACTGAAGATTTTATTTTTTCCCCCCAGGATTCATCCCAGTGTGTAGCCTTGGGGTGGCTCAAGTGGGCAGGATGAACTTCGGAAAGGATGTCAGCACCTTGAAGTACTTCACCATTTGTGGCTTACAAGAGGGCTACGAACCGTTTGCTGTTAATACAAACAGAGACATTACCATGTGGCTGAGCAAGAGGCTCCCTCAGTTTCTCCAGGTTCCATCAAACCATGAACATATTGAGGTTTGCTTTTTCTTTATGAATTAGACCATTTCCAAAAACTAAGAATAGAACTATCTTTACATGTAACCGTTCCTACTCAGAAAATTATTGTAACTGACCTAAAATGGTGACACTAGTGTGTTTCATAGTAGTGGATCTAAGTAGTGGTTCAGCCTCTCATGTTGGATACTTGACCAGTACCTTATTGGGCTGATGAATGATGCCTATATGCCTATATTCTATATGTAGGGAGTGTTGGGCCAGATTTGAGTGAGCACCTCGTGCCATGAATTTCTCAAGACATCTTTAGAGTTACAAATGGGACTGAGAGAGAGCATTGACTCTTGTATCTGCAAGGAGTTGGTTCCAGGATCTCTCCAAGTTACCCAAATCTGAAGATGCTCAAGTCCTTTTGATAAAACAGCATAGTATTTGCTCATGCACATCCTTCCATATAGATGAAATCATCTCTGAGTTGCTTCTAATATCTGATAGTGTGTAAGTAGTTGTCATACTCTGTTGTTCAGGGCACAACAACAAGAAAAATGGCCTAACTATACTCAATACAGTTGCAGTTTTTTTCTGCATATTTTCCATCATCAGTGGGACCTGCAGATAGTCAGGGTGGACTGTGCTTCCACAGTGTAGTGTCCTATGTTCCCTCATCTCTTACTAAATGATGCCACATGTGGGTTGTACTGTGGATTCTCAAAACATGATATGGATTAGTCTTTTTGGGGACCAGGAAATGAATACTGGGTGGTGGGGGGAATAGAACGTGAACTACTGCTTCTTCTTCATAGGTAACCAGAATAGATGGCACCATAGACAGCTCCCCGTGTCTCAAGGTCACTCAGAAGTCCTTTGGCTCCCAGAACAGCAGCACCGACATCATGTTTTACCGCCTGAGCATGCCCATCGAGTGCGCTGAGGTCTTCTCCAAGACTGTGGCTGGGGGGCTCCCGGGTGCTGGCCTGTTTGGGCCCAAGAATGAGTTGGAGGACTATGATGATTCTGACTTTGAGGTTCTGATGAAGACAGCTCATGGCCATCTGGTTTCTGACCGGGGTGACAAAGATAAAGAAGCTTCAAAGCCGGAGTTTAATAACCACAAGGACTACGCTCAGGAGAAGCCCTCTCGTCTGAAACAGAGGTGGTTAGCAGACGTGATAGGACTCTAAGCACGCAGTTATGCTGTGGGGAGAATTATAACAAAGGGCAAAGGGCTTTCTAGTATTAATTTGTTCCTCCTCCTCCTCTTGTTGTGAAAGATTTTTGCAGGGGTAGATAAATCAACTCAGTGATCTGTTAGAGCAGATGTAATCTACTCTAAGAGTTACTTTTTGAGTCTGTTTCTTCATTCTTGCTTGAAACTTAGAATGTTCTCCTAAATAGTTTTTTCTATGGTCAGAAAGATGAATTGTTTTAGCATTCTTTCCTGGGCTAAATCAGGGTTTCTCCACCCCAGTCTTGTTTACTTTTGTGGGGTCATTCCTGGGTATAGGGGCTTGCACTGGGCATTAAAGGACACTGAGGAGCACCCATGAAGATGCCAGTGGCACTCCATCCTCCTCTAACCACAACCAAGAGTATCTCCACATGGTCCCCAAAGCCCCCCAGGGAGCACAGCTGCCCTGGTTGAGGACCATGCAGTGGGTTGTAGGCTCACATTTGATGTAGGCAGAGCATTTTATTGTTCTTTATTCCTGATTCTTTCCTATCTTTTAGATTTTTGCTTAGAAGAACAAAGCCAGATTATAGCACCAGCCACTCCGCAAGGCTGACGGAAGATGTCCTTGCTGATGACAGGGACGACTATGACTTCCTGATGCAGACTTCCACGGTAGGTGGTGGCAGCTGCTGTTGCTGACTCTGCGTCTTGGCTCCTGTACTTGGACTCAGTGTATCCAGCAACATGCTTTAATGATTTGTTTGTATTTTTAGATATATTTCAGGGAAGGAAAATTTGAAAAAAAATTATATGTTGTGATGTATGTTATGCAATAAGAGAGCTATTTTAGGGAAAAAGTCCTTAATGACACCCAAAACCCAGATTTTGCTGTCCTGTTTCTTGATGAAATTTCAATTTGCCACTTGACTTTTCTAAGTGAATATAGTTTCTTTCACCTTAAATCATTTGTCCTGTTCTGTGAGAGCTCAGGTTTTGCTCTCTGCCATGTTAAATTTTCAAAAGTACTCTCCCCAAATTGCCAGACAGGAAAAACAGCCCTGTCTGTTGTAGAGTGCGCCCACATTTGAGCTTGATGTTCACATGTTAGATCTGAACTTCTTCAGAGTGATTGTAAAGTGTCAGAATATACTTATCAGAGATAGGGGTGGCCTGGCCTCAAAGAGGCATAGGTGAGTGTTGTTGCATAGGCAGATGGATGCTGTTGTTGCATACATACACCGAATGTGCATACACACATGTGTGTATGTACACATGCAGACACGCATGCACACTTGGGAGTGTGTAAAAACCTCCACTCATTCAGCATATTTGCTCAGATAATCTCTTCTCTCTTTTCCATTATTTCTGGGTTAATTCTGGATCTCTGGTATAAAGAGGCAGTGTCCGTGAAAAGATGAAAGATCATGCCTAAAACATTTTAATCTGGCCAACTGACTTTAAACAAAGAAGTATGTTCTTGGGTACTATAAAGAGTTAGACAGCCACTATCAGTGTGAATCAAGATACAGTTGCTCTGCTTGGCTGTCCAACACCTGGTCTTTCTGTCTCGGCAGTACTACTACTCAGTGAGAATCTTTCCCGGACAAGAACCTGCTAACGTCTGGGTGGGCTGGATCACGTCGGATTTCCACCAGTACGATACAGGCTTTGACTTGGACAGAGTTCGCACAGTGACAGTCACTCTAGGAGATGAAAAAGGAAAAGTGCATGAAAGGTTGGTTTTCCTCAGTGTTTTTTTTTTTTTTAAACATAAATGACATCTGGAAAAAAAATTGGTAAATCTAGATATTTTTGTTTCTTGGATTTTGTGCCCAGGATATATCTCTAGGAACAGTATAATCAAGCCATTAATGCCCATGTCCTTTTTGTTACTTCTATAAACCAATAAGGAATCTATTAAAAGCAAAGAGCGTCCATAAGAATGGGCAATACCTCTGTGTTCCTTAGGCAGCAACACTCATAACCGGGGTTGCCAGGACTTAGGCTTTGTTTTAGACGCAGGAGGGTGACTGTGAGGTATTTAGCATGTCTGATAAGCATTTTGGGAAGTGGATGTGTGGTGGGAAGAGTCGTGGCGGCAGTGTGGGTTGGTAGTTGAAGCCAGGTGGGTGTGTTTGAACTCAGACTGAGGAGCAGTGGGTTCTTTCCTCAGCTTTGCCTTTGACTCGCTGTGTGGCTTTGGGTAAGTCAGTTACACTTTCTGTGCCATCCTTTTTCATTTGTAAAACAAATCAAACTCAAACCAAACCTTCAAAAAAGTGAAGAAGGCTATCTTCCTTGCAGAATAAGACAAGAGAAGATCTGACCATTCGCTTCTCCCCTTTGTGCCCATGCATCCTCTCTGATCTGCTGTGACAGGTCTCAGCTGAGTCCTCCATGGCGTTGCTTTCCTTCTACACCTGCGCCATCCTTCTTGGTGACTGGGAAACTCGCTGTCCTACCCTCAGGTTGTCACATGTGAAGTGACTGAGCACTCGAGATGGGGGCTGAGCAAAAAATCCTAGATGAGGAGTATTTTGTATCCAGAGGGGACCCCAAACCCCAGGAGTATTTTTAGCCTTGAATTTGATTTTAAAAGATGGCAACAATGTAAAGAAACAGCTGGATGGGTGAACTGACAGAAGATTTTGGTGTAGGGAACAGAGGACAGGGAAGGGTCGTTGAATCTTAAGTACTGAGTGCAAAGGGACGCAGCCTGAATTTGATTGTCCAAAACTGGCCTCATCCCAGCCTGTGTGTTCTCCCCTCCTGCTTGCCTGCCTTGGCTAGTCTCGCTACTGTGCTCATCTACAGTGCCGGAGGAGGAGCGGAGATGAAGCTCAGGGCACTGAACTTTGTACCATCTCCAATAAAGGTTTTGGTGGAGGTCAAAATCAGGTGGTTTTGCTGTTAACATCTCTGATTTTGTGCATAATTCTAGTTAACTTCGTCTCTCATAACAGATCACCAGGAATTATTCATAAAGGGGCATAATTTTAGCCAAATTTTAAAGATTTTTGAATCACAATTGCTCATGCAGAATTTGCCTAAGGGCTTTGATGGTGTTTGGAAATGAACGGTTCTCATCTCAGAATGAGCAGTTAAAAAAAGAGATGAAAATTACAAATTTTGATGATGATTAAATAGTTGAGCTTTTTTGAACCTCAGAAAAAGGTCCAGTTTGGTTTGAGTTTTCGGAGAGAAGGTGCAGGTCAGTTCTTATTTGGTTCAAACTCGTTGACTTGTCTCCATTAGGTGTGGAATTTAGAGGCGTGTCAGCCCTAGCTCAGAACGTCCACCGCAGTCAATGGAGTTTTGCTCAGAATCACAGAATCCGGCCCATTCTGCACCTCTCCCATTACAGCATGAGCTTGTTGCTTGCGCCGCATAATTTAGGTTTAGTTTGCAAGATGTACATGCTTTCTCTTATATCTGCAATCAGACAAAGATAAAAATGTTCTCTCTCTTTTTTTTTGCAATCCAGTATCAAACGCAGCAACTGCTATATGGTGTGTGCAGGCGAGAGCATGAGCCCCGGGCAAGGACGCAACAACAACGGGCTAGAGATCGGCTGTGTGGTAGACGCCGCCACGGGGCTGCTCACGTTCATTGCCAACGGCAAGGAGCTGAGCACGTACTATCAGGTACTTGATCTGTGAAGGCCTCATGCTTGAGGTAGGAAGAGGTGTTCTCACAGTAAAGAGAAACATATTGTGATATCAAAAGATAAATTAGAAATTAAGAGGAAAATGGAAACAAATGGGTTAATAATGTGTGCTTACTTCTGTTGAATATTAACAATGCCTAAGCCATTCATTCCTCTAAAAATATTCAGGCATAAGGAAGTACTCCCACTAATTATTGAGAGAAGATACTCACAGGAGAGAGGAGAATTCCCTTGTTTTTAGGAAGAAGATGCCTTCTGTCTTCTTTCTTTATTAATCACACTTTATCTGTRTGTTTGTTGAAGGTGGAGCCAAGCACAAAGCTGTTTCCTGCAGTGTTCGCACAAGCTACGAGCCCCAATGTGTTCCAGTTTGAACTGGGAAGAATTAAGGTAAGGGAGGCTGTTCCCTAGTATTGCATTTGTGTCATTTCTGTGAGGTCTGACATGTACTTCAGATGAATTCACTGTATTTTCAGTGCTGATGTGGATCAAGCCAGTCACTCTCTGAAGCAAAGATAGCCATGTTTGTAACATAATTCAAAAGAGCTTCTCTTTGATTATCTTAAATATATTATTCAATAACACTAGACTTAGATACAAGAAAAGTGCCCAATTCCAGACAAAACAGTGATCACTGGACTCACTGGTGGGCTCATTTACAGAGGTGGATACTTCAAGTGGGGCTGCTTAGAATGATGGCATGAGCAGAGTCCTCTGGAGATGTTGCTGGAGGCACAGCTAAGCTGGTCTGTCAGAAGGAAGAGGTGACCTGCTGGTTGACCACCAACTGCCAATTTAATTGGTGCTCTGATTATGTTGGCCAGGAGAGGGCTTTCTTAGGGAGAGGAGGTATGTAAGAGTAGAAGGGTTGAAAGTTAGGAGTTCAGTGTGATTATAACTGGGAATGCCTTCTGGAAGTGGCTGGACATTGCTGACCAAGTCCAGATTGAAAGGCCTTGAAGGCCATGCTAAGACACTGGCACCTCGTAGAGGAGCAGTTATTGGAGATTTGAGTGTAATGAGAGTTGTTTTGGAAAGCGAGTTAGTAGTACCATGGAGCGGGGATCTGGCAGCAGCAGGTAGGTGTTGACGATTATAGTTGATGAGACTTGGGAAAGTCAAATGGGGAGGAAGTGATAAATGAACTGTTTTATAGGAGAAATTGATGGGATTGACAATGAATTGGAATTGATAGGATTTGTCAATTGGAATGAAGTACTAGAATCAGGATTTGTTCAAATTTTTTTAGTTTGGACAATTTGTGGATACTGATGCTACACATAGAAAAAGCTTATTGAAAATCACAAAAAGAAGTTGAAATTAATTTTGCAATTTTAAAATTGAGGTGTCAAGTACACATTGGGGTGAATACAGTATAGTTTTTCCAGTCCTGCTCAATGACCTGGGACATTCTTAAACTATGAGCACATTCTCTGCCTCTCTAAAATAGGTCTTATGGTATCTGTTTTATAGGGTTAAAATAACTAAAAGTCTTAAACTGAGGCTGATACATAGCATCTTCTCAATAAATTTTTGTAAAATACATATGTTTAATACAAATGTACACATACACATATATACAGTTGTGCCCCAAGAAAGAGAGCTAGGCTGGAGATCGAGCTTTTAGTTATATTAAGTCAGGTGGAATTCATCTTTTCAAGTAAGTGAATTCCCTGAGGATGAATGTAGAGAGTGAGAAGGTGACTGGGTAGAGACACTGGTGTTACCAACCAAGAGGCTAAAGACACAGCTGGGAGTGTAGGAAGAGAAGTAAAGGAAATAGCTCATAGAAGCCATGCGAAGAGAGGGTTTTCAGAATTGGAGTGGCCACAATCTCAGATACAGATGCTATAGCAAGGTAGACTAAAGGAATCTGTAGCCTTTATTGAACCAGGCAGGCTCTAATGACCTCTCCAGAAGAACTTCAGGGACATGATGGGAGAAGCTTGTGTTACCTTGAATTCAAGATCAAAGGTGAAAGGAAGGAGCAGCAATTTGATGCCTGTTATAATTATAGAAAATTTGTCAATCAGTAGCCGTTTCTGAGGACTCTGATTGGTATTTTGAGTTGTCCATTTGGTATTTCTATCTGGATGTCTAATTGACATCCTCAGCTGACCATGTCCTCACTGGACTCAGTATCAATGTTCCCCCCACCCTGCCTGACTTTCCCTCTTCCCCATGTTGGGTAATAACAAATCCAGTTGCTTAGGCCTCAAACCTGGAGTCATCCTGGACTTCCCTCCTATATTTCTGCAACCCAGGTCCAGCCCAGGTAGATCCTCTACCTGCTGACCTCCCACACCATTCCTTCTGCTGGTCACCTTTTCTGACGTCTGTGATGTCATTTCTCATCTAGTTGACTCCGGTTGTTTCTAGATGGGTTTCTAATTCACCTTTGCCCATCTGCTTGCCATGCAACTGAGTGACTCTCACTGCTTAAAAACACAAGTCAGGTCAGATCAGTGTACTGCCAAGAGCCCCTGAAGCCCTGGTTCCTTGAGAATGAAGCCTAGATGTGGAGTCCCTGAAGAGTCCTGACGTACATTGCCTCTCTGACTTCCTTTCCTGTGCCCTAGCACGGTGGCCCCATGCTCCTCCTTAAACTTCCTCTGCAGGTTCTTTGCCCTGCATATTTCCTCTGCATGGAAATTTCTGCCTCATATACCTACATGTTCCTTCTCTGTTTGGTCTTTCTTTTAATGTCACCTTCTCTGATGACCAATGGTTTATAATTGCTGTCCTATGTTCTGATTTCTCTATTCTGGTTTGCTTCCCACCCCCATGCCATGATATCTCTTCTAACATACTACTTAATTTATTGTTGATTTTTTTTAAAATTTTATATCTCCAAGAAAAATGGAAGTTGGGCCTGGGCAATGTAGCTCAGTGGTAAAGCACTCGCTGAGCTAATGCAAGGCCCTAGGTTTGACTCCACTGCTACAAGATAAAAAACAAAAATAAAGCTGTATGAGGGCGGAGGTTTTATTTATTATGTTCATTGGAATCTTCTTAGTACCCAAAACAGGAAATGGGAAAGGACTTTAAAGACAAGGCACCTCCAGCATGTGGTGGGAGCTCTCCAGAGAGGAATAGGTGGAAAGTCATACAGAGCTGGAAGGTCCATATTTGCATGTAGTCCCAGAAGAGGAAAGCAGGGATGTGTCAGGATCTAAGTGGAAAAATGATCTTTGAGAAAAGGCAAGACTTTTCTTTTCCTAAGACTGGCCAAAGCTGCATTTTTGGAGGTAGATGAGAAATAAATTGTCTTGTTTAATACCAAATTAATTCCATTTTCTTGGTTGATAGCCGAGTTTATCTGTTGGGCTGTCACTGGTATGTAGTATAAGAGGGAGTGGGTTAAGGTGGAGAGTATGATGGGGGACAGAGGGTGAGAAGCCATTTCTTTGGCAGCTCTAAGGGATATTGTAAATCTACCCCTCTCTGCTCCCCCATCCCCTAGAACGTGATGCCTCTCTCTGCGGGATTGTTCAAGAGTGAGCACAAGAATCCCGTGCCCCAGTGCCCACCGCGTCTCCATGTGCAGTTCCTGTCACATGTCCTGTGGAGCAGGATGCCCAACCAGTTTTTGAAGGTGGACGTCTCACGGATAAGCGAGCGCCAAGGCTGGCTGGTGCAGTGTCTGGATCCTCTGCAGTTTATGTCTCTCCACATCCCCGAGGAGAACAGGTCAGCCCTGCACATCCTTCACTGTCCTATTGGGAGGCTGCAATCAGACTTGGGCCCAGGGTTCAGAGATGGCACCAAGGAACAGACTGAGGTTTGAACAGTCTGGTTGGCATTGAAATTATGATTCTGTATGTTCCAGGTTTAAATCTGTTTCCTGCTCACTTTGTTATGTATAAAAAAATGATACTTCAGTTGCAAATGCAACTGGTAGTGTCAGGCTCTGTCCTTCCCTTTTCTTTTACCTTGAGACGACATAGCAGTATTGTCATCTGCATTTCAGACAGGTGCACCTGCAATGTGACTCAGGACTTAGCAGAGTGGTGAGATCAGAGTTGTGAGAGATTGAAGGTGGAATCAGGAATCACTTAGTTCAGCTCTTCAGTTTATAGATGTGAAGAGCCCAGAGTCCTTGATGAAAGAAAGGTGTGACAGTGTTGTGAGCCCTTTCAGATCGATTTATGTGTGTTCTGGACAGGATTAGTAATGACAAAACATGATAAAAACTCAAACGTAGCTTCATTTATGATTTTCAGTTTTTCCATATGATTGTGAGTTAATTGTATAGATTTCACTTTAGCAGACATATTATTAATAAGGATCTAAATACATGCTTTTAACCAAGATTTCCCTCCCAAAAGTTAGTCACAAGTTGACTGAAAACATGGCATGAAAATAGCATAAAGACCAATATATTTGTTCTCTTAGATTTTTAATCTAAAAATGGTTGTAGGAGCTATGTCCATTTCTATATCTCTGTATGTGCTTGGCATTTCCATTTGATTTTAAGTCCTTTAACATTTACTTCTGTGGCCAGGGGTGGAGCTCAGTGGTGAAATGTTCCCCTAATTCATGGAGCACCTGGGCTTGATCCCCAGCATTACCAGAAACAACAACAGCATTAAACCTGTCAGTTCCTCAAAACATGAAATACTGAGTCATCAGGTGCCCCAGCTCTGTTTCTCAGTATGTATTCAAATGAAAACCTGTCTCCCAAGTAGTACAAGAACGTACAGAGAATCATGATTCACAGTAGTTAAAGCAGGAACAACCCCTGTGCCCACCAATGGATGAGTAGATAAATCTATCCACATTACTTGACCACAAAGAGGACTGGTGTACAGATAGACACTACAAACTAGAACCTGGCAAACATGTGCAGTGCAGGAAGTCAACCACCAGAGACCACAAACTGTGGTCCGTAAGAGGCAGCTCTTCTGCAACAGGAAGTAAACTGGTGGTCACCAGGGCTGCTGAGGGGTTCTGGATTCCCCCTGGGTGCTGAGAAGTCCTTGGTATGACTTATGTCAGTGGCTGCAAGACTCCATTCATGGGTAAAGACTATTGGCTATGTGCATTACATAAGTGAATTGGACAGTATGCAAATTGTAGCTTCACAAAGACATTTTAACATAAAAGAAAGTCAAAGAAAAATTAAATGTGCCACTGAATTGTTTACATTAAATGTTTATGTATCTTTGTGAAATACTAGAAAAATACATATTTTATAATGTATTCTTGATTATGATTAGATTTTATTTTTAATTCCATACTTATGTTTTGTGAGGTAACTTTTGTATCAGAATTTTACATTTGAAGATGTTTCTAACAAATACACTGAACAATCCAAAGAAATGTTAACATTTGGGAAGGAGTATGTCTTTATGAGGGAAGCACATTCTCTCCCTGCTAAGAGAATTTGAATGTTCTAATAGAATATTTTGATGTGCCATGATCATAAACTCAAGATATACCTGTGCCATGGCCTACTCTATGGTGGCCATTTATTCAGAAAACCAGGAAGGAGCAATGAGGGATTGAGAAAAGATGAACACACACATAGAGAAAGCTTGGAATAGATGGTACTCCATCCTCTGATGGCAGAACAGTGACCAGAGTGAGCTCAGCATGTTTATTGTATAGGTTTTTATCATCAAAAGGTTACTTGTGGGAAAGGTTTTGCAAAGCAAACAGACTGAAGGATGCAGCCCTGTAGAGACATTAAGCTTAATTTTGGTGTGCTCAGAATTCTCTATCCCTGGGAGCTGGTGCCTGACCTCAAAGTCCAGGCTGGGAATCACCATAACAACTGGGCAATCTTGATCTGCACCTTTGCCCAGGAAATTCCCAGTGCAAACGCAGCCACAAGGCAGTCAGAGGCCATGATCCAAATCACTGCTCGCCACATCTCTCCCTTTTTAATTTTTAAAATATAACCAATATATGTCTATTCTGAAGTGTTACATCTGGGGTCAGATGAGCTTGCAGCTGACTGTCCATTGTCCTGTTCTCTTTTTCCCTTTGAGTATGGGAACCCTTACTGCTCTAAGGAGAAATGGGCAATGACCACTCTGGCTGCTTCAGCCTGAGCAGGGGCAACATAGGGCAAGGAGTTTGGGATTCCTCCCTAGGAATGTTTTGAACACTTGAGGGATCTGATGCAAAATTCTGGTTTGGAAAGAACAGGTTGTAAAGTCATCTGAGAGGTGGGTACTTCCATGAGAGAAACAAGGACTCACGAGTATTGGAATGAGATCAATATAAAATAAATAAATACGATGAGGATATAGAGACCAGCAATTTTTTCTTTTAGTAGGAGGTGCAAGAGCTAAGAAATTGTATTGACAGATAAGAGCAGGTTGATGTTTTAAGAAATCCTTATTACTTTAACTCATAGATGATTAAACTTTGGTTTATATCAACATTGATATTTTATCTTAGGAAAAGCCTTGGATAACTTTAACTGATTGTACTAATTATATATAACCAATTTACTTACAAACTTTCTAAAATATACCCTTCACAAACCTCCTACAACTTAAACAAAACTTCTGCAATTTACTTAGACATTCTGTAACTTTTTATTTTTATCACCTAAAGACATTGTACATATAGAAATATTTACTTTTTCCTTCTGCTTTTTATATTTCTATACCTAGAACCTTCTTATCTATCTCTCTTACCCTCCTTTTTAAATACTAAAATATATTTTCATACCTTTTCATATCTCCTTTGTAACTCTTGATCCCTTTTTAAATTTACCTTCTGAAACCCTTATGAAATTTCCAAGTTTAGATAAATTACTCCACTTTAATAAGATGGAATATTTTTTGTTTTTTTATATCTAAATTATACTTTGTATATGAATTACACCAAATAGAATCTAACCTCTTAATACCCTTATTTTAGTGAAGACACAGACACTAAAGCAAACTCAAACTTTTTTCATTTAACAATTTATAAAAATACATTTAATGTTTAAATATATTACCTACGGAATTTAAGAAGTTAAGAGTACTTGATTTTATATTTAGCAATTTAACTTTGTGAATTAATCAGATGTATCCTTTAACATGTTTCTGAAGATTGATCTCATTTAGGTAAATCCCATTTACTTATTCTAACTATAAAAAGCAGGATATCAGACAAGTGTAGTTAATAGTTTTTATCAGATCAGAGTTTACTTTTGGCTCAGATTAGATTCCTGAAATCCCCCATAAATATTTTTCAAGGAAAAGAATATTTCTATATATGAGACCATTCTGTTTTTCTCCCAGTGCTGTAGTGTTAGGGAGGAACTAGTTAAGGAAGGATGGTGGAGTGTGAGAGCGGACAAGATAGTCTAAAGGTCTCACAAGCAGCTTGAATTCAAAAGTGACTCATTTTTTTCCTTCATTCTCAAGCCAGTTTTGAATAATTGCCACTGCAATTTACATTTTAAAATGCAAGTCCAGGAGAGAGAGAGAGAGAGAGAGAGAGAGAGAGAGAGAGAGAGAGAGACGGGGGGGGGGGAGGGAGAGGGAGGGAGGGAGGGAGAGAGAGAGGGAGAGAGGGAGGGAGGGAGGGAGGGAGGGGAAAGATATCTGGCAGAAGCTGAGAAGCAAGGAAAGCTGCTGTTTTGAGCTTGAGAGGCAAAACCTCATTCATAGAGCATTTTAATTATTTTTTCCTTTTTTTGCTTACATAGAGATTCCTTTCTTTGGATCCAGCATGGCCTTTGTTTACACCAGGTGTAAACTTGCTCCTCACCTTTCTTTGATATGTCCTCAGAAGCATCCCTTCATCTAATCACTGAAGTTCCCCTGTGTCTGGCCTGTGTTTAGGTGCCAACTGTCGTGGCCTGCTCTGCTGCAGCTGTTAATTCACAAACTGTCAAGGGGTGATGGGAGAATTGAGAAAAGATGAACACATACATAGAGAAAGCTGGGACCAGGTGGGGCACTGTCCTTTGATAGAGTAACAGTGACCCAGAGCTATCTCAGTACATTTATTATGTAGGTTTTTTTCATCAAAAGGTTGTTTGTGGGAAAGGTTCTGCAAAGCTGGCTGACTGAAGGATGCAGCACTGATGAGACATTAGGGTTATTTTGTTATGCTCAGAATTCTCCTGGTGCCTCAGCTCAAAGTCCAGACTGATATAATTCTGTGACCTTGCACAGAGCCACCTCAGGCTGGGCATAACCATAGCAACTGGGCAATCTTGACCTGAACTTTTGCCCAGAATGTTCCCAGTGCAAACATAGTTATGAAGCAGTCAGAGGCCATGATCCAAGTCTTTGCTCTTCACATGCCTCCATCTTAATAATGCATAATTTATATTAATTTCCTGTGATAAGTGAATAAATTTTATTAGAGATCATAAAGGATTTGAAGTAGTTTTCCAACATACATGAAACATGAATGCATAAATGAGTAGTTGGAATCCAGTTGCAGAGAAAAAAAGTGTAGAAAAATGGCCAACCTGGTGCAGAGTGCTGCATGGTGGTTCACACTATGACTTGCTGGGGCTGGTGGTGAGGTCTCTGTGGGTTTTGTGCTTCCTAGAGCCAAAGAAAAACCCTGATGCATTTCAAAACTCAAATTCCAGAAGAAAGGTACCAACTGGTGATGGGGAGAAATCTTCCTCTGATGGCCCAGTGACAGGGTACTTCCTGGAAAGTGTGGGATTGTGGCATGCAAGTCCATTTTAATACTTATTTTTTTAGGGTTTTTTTTTTTTAGTCATTGATGGACCTTTATTTACTTATTTGTATGTGGTGCTGAGGATTGAACCCAGGGCTTCACACATGCCAGGCAAGTGCTCTACCACTGAGCCCCAGCTCCAGCCCCATTTTGCTTCTTCTTAACATGTCTCAGTTAATAGTTTAATTTACTCTTGGGAGGGGACAGTTTTGCCTCCTTTACTAGATGGTCAGTTCCCTGTGGGCAAGAGTCTTGTGTGTTCTATTCCCCATTACATCATCTGTGTACAGTGCTTAATACATAATGCACTCATTGATACTGGATAAATATGTAAATGATATATCAAGATATGAAAGAATTTCTCCACTGGGGACTGTTAATGAGTAAGATGAATTGTGCTACAATAACAAACTACTCCCCAAAATGTCAACGATGTGCGACATATCTCTTATATTGCACAGATCATAGGTCCCCTACAACTCTGCTCCAGATGGGGGGATATACTGTGGTGTGACCATGTGCCTTCCTGCCCCAACCCAGGATTGATATGCAAAATGACTCACAGAATCTTCCAGGCCTTTAAGAGTTTCTATTTGGTAGATACTATGTTCACATATCACATATTAAGTCCACTTGCATTTAAAAAATTTTTTTAAAATTTGTTCTAATTAGTTATACAAGACAGTAGAAATGCATTTTGACACATTGTACAGAAGTGGTCCACTTGCATTTTATTGACCAAAACAAGTTCTATGCTCAAACACAGAATAGGGCTGGCAAGATGACTCTGGCTGTAGAAAAGAAGAAGATGACAATAATATAATCTTGAGCATGTGCTAGAGAAGTACAAAGTGATATATTGTAATTGTCATTAAATAAAATAATATGCTATTTCTTTTGCCACACCAGCTTAAGTCATACTTCATAAACATATAATTTAGTCCAAGTATGTTCTTTGGACATCATTGATTAAAATATTGTAAAGTTATGAGACATTAACTCCTGCTATGTTCTTGAAACTGGGTATAAAATAATGAACAAAACAGATATGGCACTTGCCTTCAAAGACAGGTAGGGAAGAGAACTCCTTTAAAGACTGGAACCTGGGATCATTAAGTGAATAACAGGGGAATGAGGTTGAGAGAATGAATGGAATGGACATAGAAGCAGTGGTGTGGGCAAGTAGTGTTCGTATGTTGTTTCTAACAAGGATCTTGAGAGAAATTAGTAGACCCGGCTGTGCTCTCCAAGGGAGGACCTGGAGTGCAGCTGTACTGGGTTGATGTGATGAACAGAAGATCTGAATTTTGACCATTGGCCAGTCTGAGCTCTAGGACAGTCTTCTGAGGGCTTTAAGAGCCAGCCAGCACCTGGGCTACCACATTTCTTGGTGGGTGGGGGAGCTTGATCAATTTTTCTTTTCCAAGAACTAGGGACTAGCTGTGGGTCCCAGAATTTTGTGGTTTTCTGGTAGCTTACGTGTCCCATGGAACAAGTTGTCATTTGATTTTGATTTTTAATAATGAAGCCTCTGGTTCTAAGAGTTGGGAGGTGGATCTGGAACTGCACCATGAATCCATTGAAGGCTTTCAACTGAACTCCTATGATGTGAAATGCAGAGGTAGTGTCAGCAGGCATGGCCAGGTTGATAGAGCCCCTTAGCACCGGGACAAAGCTCAGGCAGATCTTCCTTTAGCACCTGCTGTGTGCCAGGCATATCTAAGGTGCTAGAGAAATAGTCAACAGCACACAGGAGTCCCTGCTTTCATGGAGAGAAGTACTCAAAACATCCTGCTAGATGAATGAAATTCCTTTGACTATATCACATTTCTATACTTTTTAAAAAAATATATGATTTTTAGTTGTAGGTGGACACAATACCTTTATTTATTTATTTTTATGTAGTACTGAGGATTGARCCCAGTATCTCACATATGCTAGGAGAGTGCTCTACCACTGAGCCACAACCCCAGCCSCTCAAATTTCTACTCTTAATGCTGCAGTGTCACCCATGAATAATCTATATAATTAAGTAGCTTTGAACACATTACTACATCTAAGGAAGCTACATGTTCTGAAAGGAATAGCCTAGCCATAAGCTTTAGTGGAAGCACAGTGACCTGGATTAAGAACTCAGTGTGAACTCTTACTCCAGTAGAAGTTGGAAGTGCCCTCTTGTTTTGCCAAGTAGAAAACTCCATGCATAGTGCCTGTTTCATGAGCTACACAGACCTGGGTGGAAACATAGGCAGCTGAGAAGATATGTGGGTCTGTGAGGGATGCCTGTGGGGGTAGTTCATACCAGTGGATTTAGCATGCCGTCCACCTACATCTGGTTGGTCAGGCTGACAGCCTAATGGTAGTGCTGAGAGGAGGGAAGCATGGTTCAGGCAAAGCTTTCTGGCTTCTTGTGCCAGGTTAGCCTTTTGGAAAAGGAGATTCACCGGTTTCCCAGAGAGTGCTTAGATTCTGAAAAGGGCAGGTTCCAGATGTAGGTTGAAACTCACATGCCTAGAAGAGGTGCCCAGTACCTGGATGTTGTGGAAGGCAGGGAAGATCTTAGATGAAGTAGCATTTGGCAATTTTCAGTGTCAAATTCTGGGGTGGAAGAAAACTTGGAGAAGTGATTTTTAAAAGCCTATTATGCAGCTACCAAACATGCCACAGAAAATTAAAAGAAAATGGCGTCTGTTCCCATCCTCTTTGATTTTCCTAATGGCTCTCTTTCAGTGGCCCATTTCCTAATGGTGCTGCCCCTCCTCTCACCCTCCCTCAGGTCTGTGGACATACTGGAGCTGACGGAGCAGGAGGAGCTGCTGAAATTTCACTACCACACTCTGCGGCTGTACTCTGCTGTCTGTGCTCTTGGGAACCACCGGGTGGCCCACGCCCTATGCAGCCACGTGGACGAGCCTCAGCTGCTCTATGCCATCGAGAACAAGTACATGCCTGGATTGCTGCGCACAGGCTACTATGACCTGCTGATTGACATTCACCTGAGCTCCTATGCCACGGCCAGGCTCATGATGAACAACGAGTTCATCGTCCCCATGACTGAGGAGACGAAGAGCATCACTCTCTTCCCTGACGAGAACAAAAAGCATGGCCTCCCTGGGATTGGCCTCAGCACTTCCCTCCGGCCCCGGATGCAGTTCTCCTCCCCCAGTTTTGTGAGCATTAGTAATGAATTTTACCAGTACAGTCCAGAGTTCCCGCTGGACATTCTGAAGGCCAAAACCATACAGATGCTGACGGAAGCGGTTAAAGAGGGCAGCCTGCACGCTCGGGACCCCGTTGGGGGGACCACTGAATTCCTCTTTGTACCTCTCATCAAGCTGTTCTACACTCTGCTGATCATGGGCGTCTTTCACAACGAGGACCTGAAGCACATCTTGCAGCTGATTGAGCCCCGTGTGTTCAAGGAAGCTGTCACACCAGAGGAGGAGGGCCACACCCTGGAGAAAGAGCTCAGTGCAGAAGACTCGAAGCTGGAGGGAGCAGGTGACGAAGGGGGCAAGAGACCCCAGGAAGGCCTGCTCCAAATGAAGCTGCCTGAGCCCGTCAAACTGCAGGTAACCAGAAGAAAGACTCCTGTCAATTTCAGAATTGCCAAGTATTATCGCAGTTTGCCTCTGTGTGCATGTACATAGTTTTCTTCTAAGGTGCATTAGCTACTGCCTTCCTTCTCCAGTCTTCAAGTTATCACCCAGAACTATGTATCTTCCTAAAGTTAAATTACTTCTCATTCTTCTCCAAGTCTTAGCAGCTTCCTTGTGTCTCTCGTTCCTGTAGATGTGTTTCACTTATGTTGGGATACCTGAAATCTGATTCACTAAACTCCCCTTTCCCTACTTCCTTTCTTGCCACCTTAGAAGAGGAGCTTGCCAGTGGATGTGGCCATTCTTACATAGCAAGGCTTTACCCCACTGACTGTCATGTTATGAGGAATTCACTCGGCCTGACTTGCAGTGATCAAGAATGAAGGGTCTTTCCTTTAAGCCTGTGTGTGTGGTTCACTGGAATCAGTTTGATGTTTGCATCACTGTCATGATTTTCAGCTCATCCCCTTGATCATCATCAATTGAGTCTTATCTGGGCTGTGCCCTTGAACCTAAGAGCAGGACATAGGCTTGAACCTGCTTACAGAAGCTCAGTCTATAAATACTCTGAAGTAGAAGAATGGGTTCCTAGAAGAATGAAAATTGGATGACTATTAGAAAGGGAAGGGAAGGTCTCCTGGGGATGGTGACTTTTAGACTGAGGGCAGATGAAGGAGCTGGAGTTGAGCAGGGCCAAGCAAGAGAGCAGCAGGGAGTCTCAGGAGCAGAAGCCCAACAGGTCAGGAGGCAGGGTAGGCCCTGGCAGCTCCTGGGAGAAAGTAGAGAGAAAGCACTCTCAGCAGGCTTTCCCGCTGGTGCAGACCTCAGGGGAAGGTGCTCCTTCAGGTGAAGAAGGGGACGGATCTGGGGGCAGCTTCAGAGAATGACAGAAAATTCTCTTTAGAAAGTTGACAGAAATGGTTATACTGTGGATGGTGGCGTGCAGGGGTTTAAAGTCCTCCTAGGTACCACTATGTATATATGTCCCAGTTGGTACTTAGTGTATACAACTGTTTTCCTAAAGTTAGCAGGTGTCTCCTGGACACATTTCTGCCTACTACATGCTATCAGTTGCACATCCTTTTGGCTTCCCGTAAGGAAACACCCGGCTGAGTAAGCAAGCATTCGCAGTCTGTTAACTTCCATGCCAAGCCTGCAGTTCCAGAACTGGTATTCGGGAATGTCGTCAGGGCCCCAGACAGTGATGTCTCTGCTCTGTGACCCTCAGCCTGTGGTTTTCTTCTAAGGTGCATTAGCTAAGGCCTTCCTTCTCCAGTCTTCAAGTTATCACCCAGTTATGGGAAGCATTCTGTTCTAGTACTCATGATGAAGACTTTCCTGGATGGCTCCTTGCCTGCCACTCCGTCTGAGTCCACTGGCCATACCACCTGTGACTGCAAGAGGGGGCTCAGAGTCTCAGTGTCCACCACAGGGATGTATTTGATGTTTGGGCCTAAACAAATTATGTTTTTTCCCCAGGACCGAGCATGTTGCCACCTACACAAAATTAGGATTCATTCTTTAAGGGAGGAGAGGGGGTAGCTGTGCATGTTTAACAGGCTGCAACTTGGGCTGCTCCAACTCTTGAAGGACTTAGAGTTAAATGTGCCTTTTTAATTGTCTTTTCAGATGTGCCTGTTGCTCCAGTACCTCTGTGACTGCCAGGTCCGGCACCGGATAGAAGCCATAGTAGCCTTTTCAGATGACTTTGTGGCTAAGCTCCAAGATAATCAGCGTTTCCGATATAACGAAGTCATGCAAGCCTTAAACATGTCGGCTGCGCTCACAGCCAGGAAAACCAAGGAATTTAGATCACCACCTCAAGAGCAGGTACTGGAAGGACGTGCACGTGCTTCCCTTTTCCTTGGGAGTTAAGTGCATTCAGGATCTGTAGATGAAAAATTGTGTCATACATTGCAAGAGTGTTTTCTTGTTGTTGTTGTTGTATTCTGTTCAAACTAGCCAAGTTAATTTAATCAATATTCTTAATTTTGCCAAAAGAATCTACTTGGTAGTCTAAATAGAAGAGGGACTTATTGACAGATATCAGGCATGCCCCAGACTCTCTGAGAAGCACATATGCCAGAATCTGAAGCTCTGTGGATAATGGTACTGCCTAAGCACAGAGGGTACCTTGGTGGGCATGAAACCTATTGCCGGGAACCCGTGACTGCCAGGACTCCAGGCAAGGTGCTTTCTGAGTGGCTCCTGTAGAAGAGCCAAATGTCTCTCCACATTGCTTCCTGGAGGCTCGACCACCCTGTTTATGGTTCTTTCTCAGATGACTCATCTCCAAATCCAGGTCTCTGTGTATGTTGCAGATTTCAGGGCACAGGATGGAGAGGGGCTGGCTAAAGAGTACAGCACACAGATGTCAGCTTCCATGTCTTTCACCTGCTGTCTCCTGTCTCCAAGTTAGCTCAGAGCAAAAGTGTTTACAGAGTAAGACAGAATTCATTCTTTTCACAACAGAATGTAATCTCTTTGGGGGAACAGCATGAACTTTTTGTTTATTGCTGTAAATAGCATTTATTGAGCAGAGAACAAGTCTACCCTCTCATAGATGAACTGTCTACTAAAGGACTGTTGGAAGACTTCTGCTTCTGGAAAGATGGAATGCGTGTGCCTTTCCCTATTCTTCCTTTAAGTGCAACTACAATCCTGGATAGGGCATCTAAGAGGGCTATGTAAGGCAGAAGGAGGGCACTGGCTACAGAACCTGGGACCCATCAGCAGTGTGGTGGTGAGTCCCAAGGACTTTCTTCTGCCTCATCCATTCCAGATACGGAGCTGAAGAAGCCTTTGACCAAGAACACCAGTGGGCAGAGACAAGAAGGGCCTAACAGAAGCTTGCTCCCACCTGCCAAAGGACTGGGAAAGGGGCAGCTGAGCAAGATGAAAACTTCAGATAATAGCTATACCATAGTATCCAAAAGCCACAGAGAAGCTGCCCCCACTCCACCCCTACTCAGCAGACGAGCAGAGTGGGGAGTCCTAACATCCACTTGCAGGGCTATAACAAGTTGCCCCCAGAGGAGAGAGCTGGACTTCCATCCCTGCTGAGTAGTAGCAGGGACAGCCCCTCCCAGAGTGTCAACAGAGGCCAGGGAAGGACAGGCAGCCACCCTCTGACCTTTCCAGGGCTGGTGTCCTCACTAGAACTCCCACCCCTCCCCTGCAGCAACAGGGGCCCCTTCTCTAAATTTTTCTGCTGAATAGTGTCAGAGGAAGACAGCTATGGCAGCCTTAAATGAGACCCAGAACTTACAGTACACCTGATGTTCTTCAGATGTCAATTAAAATAATTTATAATCCCAAGAACTAGAAGAACCTATGTGAAAAAAGACAATAMACACCAACACTGAGATGTCAACGTCATGACAGAGCTTTTAGAGCAATTATCTCAAGATTGCTTCCAAATAGAAAAAAAAAATGGGATTCTCAGCAAAGAAGCAAAAGATACCAAGTGGAAACTTCAGATCTGAAACATACAGAAGCTGAAATAAAAACCTCATTCAAAGGGTTTATCAGTGGACAGGAGAGGGCAGAGGAAAGAGCCAGTGAACTGAGAGGGACCAGTAGAAACAACTCCATCTGAGGAAAAGCAAGAAAACAGACCTTCAGAGGCCAGTTGGAGAGACTGAAGGCCTAACACCAAGATGCTGGAGTTGCTGAAGGACAGAAGAAGGTGAACCACAAATGATAACCGAAGATGCGGGGATGGAAAATTCCAGATTCACTAAAAGACAGGAGCCTGGGGACTCAAGAAGTTGATTAAACCCTCAGCATGAAAAGCCAAAGAATTCTGTATCTAGATACCTCATAATCAAATTTCAGAAAACTAAAGATCTTGAAAGAAATGACACTTTTCCTACAGTTGGAAAAACAATTCTAATGACAGCGAGCTTGTCATAGGGAAGCATGCAGCCCAGTGGGAGGTGGCACAGTGCTGTTTGTCATGTGCGAGAGGAAAAGCTGTCAGCCTGAGTTCATTTGTAGACTCTTCAGGAGCAAATGGAAATGGGACACTCCCAAGTGAGGAGAAGTGGTGGGATGTGACTGCAGAGGGCTAAGGACGGTCTTTGACACAAGTGACAGAGGAAGAAAATCTGGAAAATCAGGAAGAAAGAACAGTGGAATGTGTTAGTATCTGGGTAAAAAATGCACCTTCCTTCTTTGGAATTCTCTGAATTATATTTGGGATTGAAGCTGGTGTTCTGAAGCTGTTGGGGGTGGTTCTCAATAGGTGTGTTGGAAAATTTCAAGACATATTGTAACTGGGGGAGAATAAAGGGACATTAAAGGAGAATTTCTACACTTCAAACTGGTCAAATATTAATATTAGTAGTCTGTATAAGTTATGCAAAAATAGTATCATTAGCAACCTCCAAAAAGGCTGTATAAAACCTACACTAAGAAATAACATGGAARAATCAAAACGGATCCTATAAACTGATCAAGTTACCCACAGCCTGTTGGGGTAAATAAATCACAGACAAAACAACAGCAAGGAAAATGATAGTCTTAAATCATAGCCTGTTAATAATTATGTGAATATAAACAASCCATACAATGTGAAAGGAATTAGCAGAGTGAATTTTAAAAAGTCAGTCCAAGTCTATAATGTCTAAACTCACTTCAAATATAATAATGTGGATAGGATGATGTCGCGTTCCACAACTAAAGCACTCTGGGTCACTCTAGGTGAATTGCGCCACATGAAATAATCACACAAGAAACAGAGATACCTTTTTCTTTCAGTTCTGTGATGGCTCCTCTGACTGGGGTCTGTGAAAAAATAGAGAGAAAGAGAGCAAGCACACCGCAACCCTTTTTTTGGGAAGAAGCCATTCAAATGAGTSAAGGGGTCAGGTTTCAGGGGGTTGATGTCTGCTTACTGTTGTCTGCTGTCAGCAGATTGACATTTGGGGAGGCCACACCCAGAGGCAGAGCAGGAGAAGGGGACACACAAAGGGCATTTCCATGGTACATTCTATCCAAGCAGGGCAAAGGGGTAGGATTACTAAGGAACAGCTTAGTGTAGCTCCACCCCAGGAGTATGCCCACTCAGAAGACTGGCCTTGCTATTTGAGTAGGGAAAAGACCGAGTCACAAGTCATGGCACTACTGCACCAGACTACAGTGATCTTTCAGATCCCCGTGTTGCATCAGGACTGGAAGGTGTGGTCACTCAGTGTGACTCCCCGTAGGTTGAAAGGAAAATAATGAAAAATGATAATATGAAAAATATTAATTAAATGAAAGCAGGGGCCACATGGTGAAAGCAGACTTCGGCGTAAAGAGAATCTCTGGAGACAGAACATCATGCCGTGATGAAGAGGTGCTCGAAGAGTTGCTTGTCAGGGAGAGAAGGGTCATGCACTGAGTTGCAGGGCCCCAGAGCAGGTGGAGGCAGAACTGACGGAACTGCAAGGAGAAGGGGCCAAGCCCACAGTTACCATGGGGACCCCAGCACCTTTGCCGCTGGGCAGGAAGAGCAGCCAGGACTGAATCTCATGTTGGCGCCTTAGAGGTTGGCCTCATCCATGGGTGTTGACCTTGGTGGAATACTCCACCTAGCCACAGATGCCATGCTCTTTTCAAGGTCCTATAAAACATTTGCAGTGATGTATAACATCCTGGTCTATCAAATAACCTCAACTTAAAAAAAAAAAAAAAGGAATCTCATAGAATATTGTTTGACCCTGTTGGAATCCAATTAGAGATCARTAGCACAAATATTTCAGGTGTATCTACAAATCCTTAAAAGTGAACAGTATACTTCTAATAATCAATGAGTTGAGGAGGATGTCTCAAAGAATATCTAAAAATRCAGTGAACTGAAAAAAGTAGAATATCACATAGAAAAATCTGTGACAAGATAAAGCAGTGCCCAGAGGGAAATATATGCCACTCAGTGCTTACATTTGAAAACACACATATTAATAATCTAGGTTGCCACCTTCTTAAGAATTTAGAAAACAGCAAGTAAAATAAACAAAGCAGGCAAAACCCAGATAGGCATGAATGTAGACCAGGACAGAAGTCAGTGAAATCAAAAACAAGACATTTGTGGAGAAAATGAATCCAAAAAACAGTTACTTTGGAAAGATTTAATAAAATTGACAAACCTCTAAAAAGCTCCCCTCCACAAAAAAAGTGTGGGAAGATACARATTACCAACATCTGGGTTGAAATGAGGTGTCGCTATAGACCCAGTGACATTAGAAGGATCATGTGAGATATTTTTGTCACTACAATAAAGTGGTAAGTAGCTGAGGTGACAGATGTATCAATTAACTTGATTTACTCTTTCAAAAAGAGTGTATACATTTATTAAAGCATAAAGATATATCTCCCATATGTATGTTTGTCAAATAATTTTTTTTCAAAAGTGGATCATAGGGAAATACATACATATATTGCATTTTGCTTTTAAAAATAACATTCTTAAAATGACAAAGAGATGGAAAACAGGTCAGTGGGTGACAGGAGTTAAGGCTGAGGGCAGGTAAGGTAGGGAAGTGGGTGTAGGCAAAGAGGAGGCTTTGGGGCCTTTTAGGTAAAGGAGTCCTCCTGTGTTTTGAGCCTGTCTTGCTGACAGCCTGCTGTGATGCTGTGCTGCAGGCCTAGGGTGTTACCATGGGAGGAATTTTGTGAAAGCTATACAAGCCCTTTGTATTATTTTTAACAATGGCATCTACAGTTATCTCAGAATACTTCAACAACAACTCCAAAAGTTACACAAAATTCTAATTTTAAAAGGAAAACATAGAATTGCATCTGACCTGTCTTTCCTTCATAAGTTTAATATCAATGTGTATAAACTAAATCAAATGGAAGACAGTATCCCACAGTTGGTTTCATTTAATCATTAAAAAAGGAATCTCATAGAATATTGACAACAGTGTTGTCATCCATTTTATTATATTTTAATTTTTCCTTCTTTGCAGCTGTATCCTCGAAACAAGTTCTTTAAGGTAATTAAAAAGTTTTTTAAAAAGTCAGAGAAAAAATCATCAAAAATTATAGATACCAGTTAGAAAATAATGGAATTGGAGGAGAAGCATAGTAAATGACCTTTAATAATTAGCTCGTAGGATCCCTCAGTTAAGGATTTTAAACACATGCAGGAGTCTTACTGTAGGATGGAGGAGGAATTGACGCTGCATAAGTTTTCCAGCCTGTGTAGCTTTGGATGATTTGACTTCTTTGTTGGTATTTGTTGGGTTGAGTAATGGACGGTGACTTGCCTGATTGGCCAATGGTTTGTGTACCTTCAAGGGCTGATTTCATACAACTTTGCTCTTTTCTTGGTGTATCTTTCCGGAATTCACAATTTTCTCCCTGTTCCTCCTCCTTCCTGTTTTCCCTTCCAGATCAATATGCTTCTCAATTTTAAGGATGACAAAAATGAATGTCCATGTCCTGAAGAAATTCGTGACCAACTATTGGATTTTCATGAAGATTTGATGACACACTGTGGTAGGATCTTCTTGATTTGTAATTGCTATTAGATGGACATTCCTAATCCATACATCCTGGTTCACACTTAAGTATCTAGGTGAATAGCTCTAGCTGTGTTACACGTTCATATAATGGTATTTATTATGGCAGCATGGCTGACTGTCCCTCTGTGTCAAGTCCGAAGAGTCAGAAAAGTCAAGAGGCAGTGAGCTTGAGCAGAAGATGGCTGAGAGCCTCTCTCGCTCACCTTCTTTTGTTCACCACTAGGGAATCAGAAGAAGGGTGGGGACTTCAGGCAGGCACTTCTGGCAGAGAGATGAGTGTGCAGTTGGTTTAGTCGGTGGCTGTGAAGTTTCTGTAAAAGAAGATGAACAAGTCCTAGAGACCTGTGGTGCATGTGCCTGCAGGTAGCAGTACTGAGCTGTGAACTTGAAACTTTTATAGGGCATATCTCTTGTTAATCCTTCTGACAAAAAAAGYAGAAGGAAACTTAGAGGTGATGGATTTATATCTACAGCTTGATTGTGGTGATGGTTTCATGGTTGTACACCTGTGTTCAAACAAATCAAATTATGTACATTAAGCATGTGCCATTTTGTCTATCAGTGTGCCCTAATAAAGTTCTTTTTTAAAAAATTAAGTAATTTGATRACAAACAGTTAAAGCATTTATGCCTGTGTGCTGCGACCAGCATGGACAAACTCTAAGTTCCAATGAAGGGAGATGAGAAACATATAAAGACTCAAACCATACAGATGATTTTGAAGACAAAGCTGGGCGTCAAGCAGAGTGCTGCTGTCTGATGAAAAAGCCGATCTAAAGAGTTATGCCAGCAGTCTTTATTTATATATGTCTCATCAGTTTGAAGACTATGCAAGCATTATTCTTTGTATTCAGGAAAGTTACAGAAATTAGAAACATTTATGCAGCTTTTCCACAGTTGCAATGTGCAATGTTAGGAGCTTTGTGTGGTGCTCAAGGAGGTCCATTGTTTAAAGCTACTGTTAAATAGACAGGCTCAGGAGCAGCAGAGCTGGTGAAACATTGTGGTTGTATAGCAAGAGGATTCGTCTATTCCCTGGATCTATGTGCCTAAGATCAAGGTTGAAGCTGATAAGACTCTTCTGCAGAGCCGCCTCATGCAGGGCATTACCAAAGGAGTGGGCATCCTGTGCCCTTGCACAGGAGCATTCCCAGGCACCAGGCACACCACAGCCATGAGGTCATCAGAGCCCCAATCTCAGTCACTGCTCTCCAATTCCTATCAAAGGGCCATCATTCAGGACAGGCCTGGGAAATCCAGTGGGTCTTTTGAAATTAATGAGTGTCTATGGAAGGCCTCCATTGCTGAATGTCAGTAGCCATAATCTGTTAAGGGACTCACCCCTCCTTGTCTTCTTAGAACTTTTAAAATGGAATTGATTAGATGGATGTGTAGTTCTTCATTCCTTTATGAAACAATGTGGAAATTGTTGTAATAAAATGAATTTGTCATTTTTACATGAACTATATAGATACAGTTCTGATGTGAGATGTGTGTCACATCACCAGTGAGATAATGTTAATCTTATTTAAGTGAAGAGAATAAAACAGCCATACATCTTAATTCATGTTATGGATGAAAAGCCACTAGAATACTGCCTGAGAATCACAGCATGCAGATTCTGTCACCAAAGGCAACTGTAAAACAGTGGAATCACTGGTACAGATAGCAGCGTTCCCTGGTTTAGGGCATCTGGTCATGCCTGTTCTGTCTTATAAGTCACCCAGATATCACTGTTGCTTTGGGAGGGACAGCAAAGGATGGAAGCTGGGCAGGGTGGGTTGGGGTTAGGCAGAGCAGGACCATGGGCTCCAGCAGTTAACATCCCGAGTCAGAGATGCCCAAGAGTACCTGAAGGGCAGAACTGATCTTGGCTCCTAATAGTATCTTTGTGGTTTCTGCTCAGTTTTTGTTTTKTACTGGTTGTCAATAGCCCTGAGCTCCCAGGAACCGGGGAGGAGGGGGAGGGAAAGCTGACGGGTTCATCTTACTTGAGCGCTGATGGGCAASTCACTTAACTAGCGCTCTTGAGCTTCTTAGACTTTGCTCAAAGCTACAAAGCTATTAATGGAAAGGTTTCAAAGCCTGAGATTATTTCTCCAGATGTATTGTTTTCAAATAATTTTTCCTTTTTTGCTTTTTCCTCTTTTCTCATGCTAGGAATTGAGCTGGATGAAGATGGGTCTCTGGATGGAAACAGTGACTTAACCTTTAGAGGGCGTCTGCTGTCCCTGGTAGAAAAGGTGACATACCTGAAGAAGAAGCAAGCAGAAAAGCCAGTGGATAGTGACTCCAAGAAGTCCTGTAAGCAGTTTAAAGGGGCACTGGCACAGTGATGTGACCCCTGACATTTATTCATCCTTTGAATGCTTAACATAGTAGATAAGCCAGCATGGTCATGAGTTTGCAACTTCCAAGAATTTGATGCTGAAGTCAATGTCTGCAGCTCCCAGAAGCAGATGGCAGCATCTACCTGTGTGTAGGGCCAGTTGGAGAGGTAGTAGCGCTGGAGGGTGGATGGGCTCTCTAGAGAGCTCCACACTTAGGTTTGTGATCAGAGACCATCAAGAGAAAGTATAAAGAGAATTTAGCCTTCGTATCCAAATATTATACACTCAGTTGATTTCAGTTATCACATCAAATTAAACATGTGTCTTAAAAGGTAAATGTATATTGCCTACAATTATATTTCATTCTGAAACATTCACTCAAACGGTAGCATTTCTGGTTCGTCCATATCCCATTTAACCAGGAACCATGGCTGCCACTTCCTGAAACCCTGGAAGCCCCCCTGGGCTTTGAGTCTCTCTGGCCCTGGTCCTGAAGGAGTCCTGGAGCAGGTCTGAGGGGTCTACTTGCACATTACTCCAGCCTCCGATACGCCCGTGATTTTAAGATGCTGTATTGGCTTACTAAGGGTTTCTTTTTCCTTTCTGAAAGGAAAAAAGTACTACAATTTTTACATTTTCAAATCTTTAACTTATAATGGAAAGCCTTTATATAGTTATTTCTAAATTTATTCTTCAGTCAGAATGAAATTTGAGTCAGGTCATCTTCAATATCAGAGTTCAAGTTTCTTATAAACCACTTTTTATTGTTAACAGATTTCCAATCTTATGCTTTTAAAATGGCAAAATGTTTTTGAGATATTATGGAAATTTTTTTGGCATTTTGTTTTTKAATAAAATTGGTAGTTTTTGGTTTTCCTTACATAATACCTACGTTAAAGGTAAACATCTTCTTTAAAAAATCAGCCAATGTACTAGTGATGGGAATTAAGTATTTCCTTACTATTATTTATGGATTAGTTACATCAACCCCACTTAATTTTGATAATATTATTAGAGGTTAAGAAGTTTCTATTTTAAAGTAATTGTTTTGCATATTATATTGCAAGTGACCTGTGTATGAAATAAATTTCTACTTTGATATAACTTCATGATCAAATCCTTCTGAAGACATTTTAAATGACAAGAATTAGATCCAAATCTAAAAATATATATAATTCTGTGTGGTTAGTATTGCATAAYCAAGGAGTCAAGTAGATGAACTCCTTCCTCCTGAATGTCTGTGACTGACCTTTGTAGGAGTTCAATGTCAGACCTTCTGAAAGGGAAACAGTGGAACAGAGGAAATAAAAGTTCAGGCCCCTTGTATCGGTTGCCACACTTTCAATTACTGGTGGACCAYCAGTGCTAAGTTTGGAAAATTAGTTGCAAATTTGAAATGGCTTGTTCAATTATAAAAATGKTTTTTTAAAGAAGAGTTTATTATTTTTGTCCTTGCTTCACTAAAACTGATCTTTTTGAAGTGCAGGTAATATTTAAATGAAGTTCATTTYCTTTGAAGAATATTCCTAGCCTTATAATAGAGGTGGCAGCTTGGGGCTGTGTCATGTGGTGCTGAAAGGTCCTACTGATGTCTTCTCTTCTGTTTTTTCCCCTTGAACATTCCCAACATGACTTTGCAGCCACTCTTCAGCAGTTGATATCTGAGACAATGGTTCGGTGGGCCCAGGAGTCAGTCATTGAGGACCCTGAGCTGGTGAGGGCCATGTTTGTGTTGCTGCATCGTCAATACGATGGCATAGGGGGTCTGGTCCGGGCACTGCCAAAGACTTACACCATCAATGGCGTCTCTGTGGAGGACACCATCAAYCTGCTGGCATCTCTCGGTCAGATTCGTTCTCTGCTGAGTGTGCGAATGGGCAAAGAGGAGGAGAAGCTTATGATTCGTGGGTTGGGGTAAGTTATTTAACCTGGCAACATTCTATCTTATAAACCTCTTTCTTCCGACTTTGATCCAGTACAGTAGGTGTGTGGATGTAAACATACTGTTTGGACTGTATGATGGTCTTACAAATACCAAGAGGAGGAGACAAAAAAGCTGCTGACTGAATGAAATAGAACCAAAGAAACACTGAAACCAGCGAAGGAAGCCTAGAGGGGGAAAGGCAAACAGTGAAATAGAATAACCAGGTTACTCCTTGACAGACTCAGAAATAATCCCCAGGGAAGAAGATACGGGTGTAAAAATGCAGGTTGCTAAATACTATTAATGTACATTTTAAACTTGGAAAGCAAAACTGTGGTGCTTGTGAACCCATTGAGTATTTAACAGTGATGAAAATGAACTGGAAGATTCTATTCCAAATTCACAATGATGGTTCCACACTTAGAATAAATATACAAATAGAACAAAGGAGGATGAGGAGAGTGTACACGCAAGTAGGTTGTGGTCCTCGGTGCAGCTGCATGAGCGTGAGTCTGAATATTTAAACCCATCTGGAGAAGGCCTCCCTCATATTCATCTCAACCAAAGAAACAGGAAAGTCTTCCAGGAAATAGAGGTTGCTGTCTTTCTTCAATGAACACATCAAAATATTATGAGTCATTAGTGATCAGACTCAAAATGATACTAAAACCACCATTTTACACTAATAAAAATTTAAATAAAATTCTAATTTTTGTGGTATTAGAAATGTTTCCCTCAAAGGACAACCTGTCTATTGGGGAGTGGAATCATACATCTACTTAAAACTCGATAACTACTATTTATCATATGATAAAAAAATGAGCAAGTGAGCCATTCAATTAAGGTGTCAGGTGAAGAGCCATCTGTTGTCTTGAAGGCTTTGTGTTATTTTCTTGCTAGCAAATGTCTTTTCTAGAAAATGCATTGATTTTATTTTTGATGGAATTGTAAATGAGAAGTTCTATACAGAACTTAGTGAACAGAAGTATCAGTAATACTACTTGATGAACTTCATGATCCTGACAAACACCTTGACACACACGTTGCAGTAATATTTAATGCAGTAACAATGATATGAATCACTTTACATATCATCTGCCTCTACTTCTTTAAATCAAGGGCCCATTTTAGTGAGCTGGGTTACTTGTACCTGGAATTCATACATATTCAGTTTCTCTTGAAGAATATGCTTACTTTCAAGCATTTCACCAGAATGATATCATGAATATAGCAAAAATTAACACTACTGTGATTATATATGCAAATACTGAATTTAGTAGTAAAAATAGCATGTATATGTAAACCAGAGATACCTATATGTCAATTTATATAGGAATTTTTATTTAAAATGTACAATATTGATTATTGTTTCTGTACAAAATAAAGTTGAATACATGATTGAATATCCATAAAATTAGGAATAAGKGTCTGAAATGTGTTTCATGGAACTAAAGTCCACATATTTAATGTTTCTTGTCACTGAAAAGAATAGACAACTTGTATGGTACTTTGGGTAGGTTATCAATATTTTTAAGGAAAACTCAATTGCCCTCATTAAAGTTTGTGGTGCAACTATGATCACTTTTGCTTTTCATGCACATAAGTTATTTCTAGAGACTTATTAAAATATCAGGACAATGTCCATTTAAGCTTTTCTCTAAGCACTCTGCTCTCTTCAATGCCTCTATTGTCCTTTGCAGGGATATCATGAACAATAAAGTGTTTTACCAGCACCCGAATCTCATGAGGGCCCTTGGGATGCATGAGACAGTGATGGAGGTCATGGTCAATGTCCTCGGAGGTGGGGAATCCAAGGTAAAGGAAAATCTTTGATTCTTGGAGTGCTATTTAGCATAATCTAGAGTACACGGATTCCAGAAAATTCATGAGAATGAGAATTTCTTAAATCCTCTTTGAAATACTGCTTTTTTAAAAAAATACATAGAAACCTTAGAGACTGGAAAGTTAGATATACTACTACTATTTTCTTAATGTTGATAAAAGTTTCTATTTTACACTTTATAATTATTCTCATTTGGGGGATATTGGAAATGCCAAAAATTAATACTATATTAATTTGTTTTTTAATTTTAAGTCTAGTCCCATCACATTACAAATCTAACACAAGCATGTCCTTCAGACCCTACTGTTGCTCCTGGCCTGGATCCTGGTTGGGTCCAATAAATTCCTGAATCAAATCAGTACTGGGCAGTGATCCTCTAGAAAGTATGTGTTGTGAGACAGAAAAGTAAACTTCTAAGTGACTAAAATTTAAAACAAAGTTCTGGAAAAGCAAACTGATAGAGTAATATAATAAATAACTTGATATAAATCAGTATAATTTTATGTGCAGTATATTTTTCTATATTATAAATTTCAAGATGCATCTTATATGTTATGGGAACAAGTCATATTTCCCATGATCAGTGTGTCTACCAGTTGGGCTTATAAATTATAATTTCATATACATGCTATTTTTAGTACTAAATTCATTATTTGCATATATAGTCCCTGTATTTTCTGTTAAGGAAGGACTGCAGGGATCATCTGGGGGGATGTTTGTGTATGTTTGATGGGCCCACCAGGCAGGTCTTCTGATCAGTGGACTYCTCTCTGCAGGCAAGTGGTGTGCAAGTCAGGGAGCTTGTGAATCCTCAGATTCTCAGTAATAATAATAATGATAGTAATAATAATGTTAATAATAACCCTGTTACGAGGTTTCAAGTTCTGAACTATGTGTTTTTCAGAAATTTTCTTAATGTGTCCTCTCCCTTCCCTCCCTCGAGTATTAGTATCCATATTATCCCAGTTTTACTAAACAGAATCAAAGAGGTTGTTTAGTTTCCCAGGGAACCACAGCTGTTGGTAATAGTCAGGAACCACAGCTGATTCCTAAGTGAGGCTCAGGCAGCCCTCAGTGATACAGATGAATTCTAGATTCAACCTGATGGTGATAGGGAKGTTTCTGAGTTGGTGCTGGGCTTGATTTTCATTGGCCCAAGGACTAGGTGGCTCGTAGGCCGTGTATTTGAAGGCCACCTATATCTGATGTTTGGTGCACGAAGACAGACAGATGGACAGTGTGACTGAGACCCCCACATCTGTACTCAGTTTTATGGAGATTGCTTGCTTTCAGTGACTAATCAAACATCCTTTCTGTAGGAGATTACCTTTCCCAAGATGGTGGCCAACTGTTGTCGCTTTCTCTGTTATTTCTGTCGAATAAGTCGGCAGAATCAAAAAGCCATGTTTGATCATCTCAGTTATTTACTGGAGAACAGCAGTGTTGGTCTTGGTAAGCAACTGTATAACTTTTATTTTATTTAATCTTTAAGATAAAATTAGTGTACAGACCTCATTTAAAAATACAACTTCATGTTAATATGGCATGGGATCTGAATAGATACTGTCAAAAGAAGACATACACATGACCAAGGGGTATATGAAAAAATGTTCAGCATCACTACTCAGAGAAATGCAAATTAAAACCATAATGAGATATCACCTAATACCTATTAAAATGGCTATTATAGAAAAGAAAAAAAAAGTTTTAGAGAGGATGAGAGGAAAAAGGAACCCTGGTACACTGTTGGAAGAAGTCTAAATTAGTACAGTCATTATGGAARACAGTTTGGAGGGTCTGCAGAAAGGTAAGAATATTGCTACCACATGGTCTAACACTTTCATTTCTAGGTATATGTCCAGGGTAGGGAAGTCATCTTTTGAGGCGATGTCTGCTCTTCTGTGTTCACAGTTGCAAGAATCAGCGTCAGTGTCCATCGGCAGATGAGGGAGTAAAGGAAATGTGGGATATAAACACAGTGTAATACTATGCCTCCTCAAACAGAAGGGAATCCTATAAATTGTGACAGTGGATGGATCTGGAGGACATTGGGTTAAGTGAAAAAAAGCCAGGCACAGAAGGATCCATGCTGTAGAACCTCACTTACATGTAGAATCTGAACAAGTCAAGCTCATAGAAGCAGAGAGTAGAATTCTGGTCACCAGGGCATGAGGAGATATTGGGGAGATGTTGGCCAAAGGCCACATTGCACACAGGAAGAATATGTTCAAGAGATCTGGGTATAACACGGTGACTGGAGTTAGTAACAATGTATTGTAATCTCAAAAATCATTAAGAGAGCAGATTCTCATCACAAAGAGTGATAAATATCTGAAGGGATGTATATTTTAATTAGACCAGTTGGGTCATTCCACAATGAATACATATTTCAAAACATGTACACAATAAATACACATAATTTTATTTGTCAAAAATAAATAGAAACTAACTTTGTTGATTGTTTTAGATTGGTGCATTCTGTATGGAAATTAGATTTTAAAAATTAGAGTATTTTTATGTAGAGTTCATAGTTACAGCACAATTCAGGTTTTATTTCACCTTTTTTTGCATCAGCCTCACCGGCTATGAGAGGTTCAACGCCACTGGACGTGGCAGCAGCCTCGGTGATGGATAACAATGAGCTTGCCCTCGCTCTGCGGGAGCCAGATCTGGAGAAGGTGAGCCCCACTCCTGCCCTGTGTGTCTGAGGGAATGAGGCTTGTTCACAGCTCTTCCTCAGGCCTGCTTAAATGTGAATGGCTATGTTACATTTCTAGTAGGGTTATGGAATAGTCTTGCTGTGTAATAGGTATTGCATTTTAATCCTTTTGCACATTATTTTATGGTTAGTCAGAGATCAAAAAGTTTTAAGATGTGGTATCTCCTCTGATGACAATTGTTTTCTATGAAAAGGAATCAACTTCATCTGTGTTCTTGGATGTTCTGCCTTTTCATGGTGTTTGCTATGACTTTTGCTTCAATGACACAGTTTCAGGGTTTTTTTTTTTTTTTTTTTTGGTGGGGAAGGGATGTTTACTGGGAATTGAACACAGGACCACTGAGCTATATCCCCAGCCCTATTTTGTATTTTATTTAGAGACAGGGTCTCACTGAGTTGCTTAGCCCCTCACTTTTGCTGAGGCTGGCTTTGAACTTGGGACCCTCCTGCCTCAGCCTCCTGGCAGTTTCAGTTTTTTAAAAGGTTGTTTAAACATGTCATACGTGATTGTGACTGAGGACTGCATTTGTGTATCCCAATACAAGGCTTCAGCTGTGCACTCTGGCCACGCACTCTGAGCGCATTTAGCCACATGTTTGCTAACCAGTGTGTAGAGATTGTCCCTCTAGTGCCCTTGCAGTAGTGTCCCAAGTGGCCACCTCTGCCTTCCCTGTCCCTCTAGAGTCTGTTCTCACCTTTGCAGCCAAAGTGTTCCATTTAAAAGGACACTCTGACACTCTGACGTGTGCCTTTATCCCTCTAAGTAAAACCYGCAGGTGTTGCCCCAGCTCCTCTGCTGTCCGACCCACACATCAGCAACTTCACACCCTGCAGCTGTCCCTCCTGCCCTACCTCCTTCTTGTGGTTGGTGTGCCCGTCTCCTGGCCTTGCACTTGCTGTTCCATACTTCATGTACTATATCGTCACTCCAGGGGTTTATGGCTCTTTTACAGATGTCCTTCCAGCTGTGGCTTCACTGTCACCTTCTTGATCAGCTCTTCCATGTCCCTGATTTTTAAGTTGAGACCTCTGTCCTGCTTCCTTAAGCTCTTCTTATACCCTTTGCTACTTTATCTCCACAGTTGACAATATATTTGTATATTCCATTTATACATACATACACACATATGTAAATGCCCATTTTTATTTTATTGGTATTTATATGAATACTTTTTATGTATATACACAGCTTTTTTTTTTTTTTTTGGTAGCAGGATTGAACCTAGGGTTGTTTAACCACTGAGCCATATCCCCAGCCCTTCTTATTTTTATTTGAAACAGTCTCACCAAGTTGCTTAGGGCCTTGTTAAGTTGCTGAGGCTGGCATTATATTCAGAATCATTATGCCTCAGCCTCCTGAGTTGCTGGGAATACAGGTGTGTGCCACTGTGCCTGGCATTAAAGTGTGCTCACACATACTGTGACGGCTCAGCCTCACTAGTGGTTATAATCTTATGGGATCATCTGGGGCTGGATGTGTAGAGAGGAAGGGACTGCAGACGGCACAGGGGACCTTGGGAGAATGATAGATATGTTCTGTATCCTGGCTGTAGGGTGTTTTTTACAGCTGCATGCATCTCTCAGAGCTCATTGGATTCCTGCTTTAAATAGAGGGCTCTATTGCACCTCACTTCTACCTCCACATTGTTGATACACATTTTTAGCTATATTGCTTMTTTTCAAACCACTTTACCCTCAGCTATACATAATTTTGTATGCTAAATTGCTCCTATAACAGTGTGTTACCATTGATGTTGACTTCTGTGGGGATTTCTTTTAAAACTGAATCTCTTATGAAATATTGAAAAGGGACCAACATTCATATAAAACAAAATGTTTTAAAAGGTAAAGCTATGCAGAAATTTTGGATGCACTACTTTCAACAGTACTGAAAACTAGGTAGTATATAGGTTGAGTATTCCTTGCCTAAAATTCTTGGACCTGGAGGTGTTTCAGACTTTGGGGTTATGGATTTCTATTGATAATAATTTCATTCCTATTGATATATTGCTTATCTATAATGAGATCTCTTTGGAAAGGACCCAATTCTAAACACTTTGTTCACATAGCCTGAAGGTGATTCCCTAAGATACTTTGAGTGCACTTGAGTTTTGACTGCAGCCTGTCGTTTGAGGTCAGGTATGAACTTTTCCATTTGTGGCATCATGTTGGCACTCAAAATTTTTAATTTTGGAGAATTTTTGATTTTTGATTGTTGAATGAAGGATGCTCAACCTGTCTCCAGTTTTCTAGACACTGAAACAGTTCCTGAAATGCATGAATAGCTTGCTCCCAGTGAGGAATCCGGTGAGCAGTACGGTTCTGATTTTAAGTGGGATGTTTGACTCCATATTGGGTTTTCCCTCCTCTCTGTGCATCTCCTCACATTCACTCCCCCATTAACTGATGTGTTGTTTTCAAAATAATCCACCTCTTTAAAAGATCTGTGCATTTTAGAGAGGTCTTTTCTTATCTTGGATTTTGTTTCAATATTGCGCCAGAGGCCATTTGACATATGTTTCTTGAAACTTAAGAAATATACTTGTTATAGATCAGGGTCTCAATTGATATGAAGTTTAAGAATATTGTTCTTCCATAGAGCAGGTTTTTAAATTTTTCATGACCATACTTTATTATATTTAAATATTTCTTAAATCTAAGGTTTTGCTAAAGGTATTCATGTGGATTATCATGAGATTAAAAAGACGTTGCAAAGCTGCACTTGTTGAAACCATGCTCTGAGGGTGTCACATGCCACGCCCAGTGTAAATTCTAATGCTTCCATCCACAGGGCAATCTTTGCCTGTCACCTTGCTTCTAGGTTGTGCGCTATTTGGCTGGCTGTGGCCTGCAGAGCTGCCAGATGCTGGTGACCAAGGGTTATCCAGACATCGGGTGGAATCCAGTGGAGGGGGAGAGATACCTTGACTTCCTCAGATTTGCTGTCTTCTGTAATGGTAGGACCAGGCTGCTTGAGKTTTTTTTAATTAAAAATACATGAAAATAAGAATTCATCCCTGTATTTTCATGGAGAAAGTGAATGCTATTAGAGAAATCATGCATTTTATTCTCAGAAGGTTTTCTTAGTAGTAATCATTTATTGTACAAAATTTGCATGGATAATGCTTTCATCATTTAAATTAAAATCTTTAGGTACTTAAATTCTTACAAAATTTTAAATTGGATTCTAATAATTAGGGTTAAGACATCTTTTTCCATAATTAGTCAATGAGAATGAGTAGTTTGTGCCTCTATAGTGATTTTCTTAAATAATCTTAACTATTAAGAAATTGTGCTTTGTWTTATAAAGCTAGTGATTTGGGTTAAGTTTTGGCTTTTCTAATCGTTCTTGAGTTTAACTTATTGCTTTGAATAAGAACTGATTGTCTTAAAATTTATTTKCTCAGAGCTTCTATATAACCCATGATTGTTTATGTCCCTCTTTTGAATTTAGGGGAGAGTGTGGAAGAAAATGCAAATGTCGTGGTGAGATTGCTCATTAGGAGGCCTGAGTGCTTCGGTCCTGCTTTGAGAGGGGAAGGTGGGAATGGTCTTCTTGCAGCCATGGAAGAAGCCATAAAAATAGCTGAGGATCCTTCCCGAGATGGCCCCTCTCCAACAAGCGGATCCAGCAAAACCCTGTAGGTCTCATATGCACACTCTCATGTACAGTATGCTACTTGGTGAAGTTCACAGAATACATTTGGCATTCTATATATTGAAATATTGTTTCTGATACTGATGACTTCTCCCATTGAAAATAAAATGTCCCATATAGGTAAGAATAGAAGGAGTTTACTGATGGAAGAGGTTGAATGAGCAGAGATTGTTGGGGAAGACTGAGTGGATTTAGTAGAGAAGCTTGTGTTGTAGGGGGATGGATAATGCATCTTGCACATGTTCCTGGGAAGCTGGGCAGGTGGGAAGTGAGCATGTGGGACTGGACTAGGGTTCAGTGGCAAGGGAATTCAAATGAGTTCTTACAATGCTCGCAGAAAAAAAAAGACTTTTAACAAGAGAGTGGGAACTGGAACAAATGGATATGGTGGCAAAGAGAAAAGATGTCACTCTGATGAGTGGAATGCTGCTCAAGATATTGGAGTCAGAGCTAGAAGGTGGTCCCTGTCGTACATCTCTCCCCATTAGACAGTGCTAATACTTGGTTCCAGCATGGACGAAGGTCATCCAGGCTTGCTGTTTATCTGTGCCTTTATGTTCTTAAATTGTGGAGGTAAATGTCCTCCTTCATGTACTGACACTGATAGCCTCAGTGGTAAGACCAAACACATGGCTCACGGGCAGATTTTCAAGCAGAAGTGTGGTAGCGTGCATGCAGTCCTGCAAACCCATATTCTTCTACATGCAAACCAAGGACAGATGTGCTATTCACACTATGGCTGAATTTCAAGCCTGAAAATGTACCAAGAGCAGAAATGAGCATCCGCCCCTACACCATGCTGCTTGTTTATTAGCATTGGAGGAATAGGGAACCCTAAGATTCTCTCACAGTAGATAATGTACCCAGAGGTCTGGGCACCACACTATGTTTGCACCTGAGGAATGAGGTATGAGCAGAGGCCTCACATCACTCTGCATACTGCCACTTCCTGCTAAGGCAGCCTCTGCTGAGTTACCAAGGTGGAGAACTGGGAACCTCCAGGGCCATCCATATTTGTGCCTCTTCATCAAAATAATGAAATATTTATATTTTCTTCACAGAGATGGGGAGGGAGAATGCTGGGTTATTTGGGGGAGGTGAGGAGGAGGGTCATTACCATAGGGGTGGGTGAGTTTATGAAACGAAATTTCTAAAGTACTCACTTTGGACTGAGCACTGTTCTGGGTGGCTTGCATGTGTTACCTTGTGAGACACCTCTATGTGTGTGTGACTTAAAAAGTGGGCTCAGGATCAGTCCTTCCATCAGTTATTTTCTTTTTTATCATGTTGCCACTAAAATTGAGCAGAATCCATCAAACTAGCAATTCTTCCTTTTCCCTTTTGAAGGAACATTAATACTAACATTCCTGCAGGTGTGTTCTTGGCAGTAGAATCTCACCTCCTAACTCATTGCTGTTTTCCTTTAAAAATGTCAACCTGTAAATTTAGAATATCTATGAAAAGTTTCAGTGGGACAAGAACGTGCTGCCACACAGGTGCCTTTCTTCTGAGACGTGTATGATAAACGTGAATGTCAATTACCCCGTTTGTTTTCTGTTTCTTTTGGAAAACCCATGAAAGTGACACAGAAGAGGAGGAAGATGACACCATCCACATGGGGAACGCCATCATGACCTTTTATGCAGCCTTGATTGACCTCCTGGGGCGCTGTGCCCCTGAGATGCATGTGAGTGCCTGGGGACTCAGGAGCAGCAATCCTGCTTGATCTGTGTTAAGACATCCACGGCTGGTAAAGATCCCTACAGAACCCCAAACCCATAATTTCCATACCCACTGAGAGCAGTGGCTGCAGCCTAATTGCTGAGTGAGTGTTTGTTTAGTTGGAAATGTCTTGTTGGCTGTAAAAATTAGTAATGACGTTTCAGTTAATAGAGTATTTAGTCACTCCTATGTCTGAAAACTCAGAGAGCCTCCCTCAGTTTTAAGAAGGAAAGAGTACATTTTCACCTCACAATTTTCTTTACTCTTAGAGGAAATATCTTTCCACTGAGTTGATTTCTAAGTATCATATTTAGCTCTTGGTGTGCTTGCAGTGAGGGAAGTAGAATTTAGACCTTCAGAGATGAGCATTCTCCCAAATTTTCTGTCCAAGTTGAAATTAGAGCTTCTTGGAATAATATTTTTACTCTGGAACACATTCTGCTATTTTCTGCTTTATTTTAATTTATTCTGTTTTAGTTTCTTGTTGGTGTTTTTAAAAAATGCTACCCAGTGGCAATAAAAATTACCTTCATGATCTGTGAAGGGAACAACCCAGAGTTTGAACTATACTGACCAGGACTGGGACAGAAGGGTTCAGAACTACAGGTTCACTTTTAAACCGGGTGCACACCAAGCAGAGGGGCTTGCTGGCGCAACACTTTTCTCCCCTGCTCTTGCCATCTCTCTGGTTTGGTTTTGGTTTTGTCTCTCTCTTTCACACCTGTAGGCTCACACTTACTTGGTCTACTCTTCTGTTACGAGCAGAGAGGAATCACAGGATAGAGAAATATTAGAATGTTAGAACCTTGTATCTGATTTTTGTAAAAACAGGTTGTGCTAAGGATATTTTTAATTTTAGTAAATGAGAACAGATTATCAAAAATTTGTTTGAGGCTCAGGTGTAATGCTCAGTGGTAGAGCATTTGTCTAGGATGCAAGAGGGCCTGGGTTCTGCACTGCACACACACACACACACACACACACACACAAAAAAAAAGAAGCTATCAAGGTTATCACAAGCAAAAAATTAATGCTCACAGTACTCATTCTTTTTCCCATCTCAATGAAAAAGATCAGAGGAACCAAATAGAATTCATATTAACGTTCTGTTGTCACATCTGTGGTTTGGGGTACTGGGTGAATTAATAAGCAATCACTTTATTGATTCTGAAAGTAATTCGTCTTTGCCATCAGTAGACCTCCTGTATGTCAGAAATCCTGCTCGGGGTCCCACCCTGTGTTACAGGAAGCAGATATCTGTCCTGGGTCAGGGATCCTATGGCCTGAGAGATTTTCCACTGATCTACTCCCCTCATGGGAACTTTGCCAGCCAGTGATAGTCTAAGAGACCCCTAGGATTTGTGGCCACCATCCTCCCACCCTGGAGAAAAGTCGGGTGGAATATGGATGGAGGTTCAATTAATTTCTTATTGCAAGACAAGAAGGAGGCTAGCTCAATCGTCAATGTTAGTGTATGCTCAGTGATTAAGGTAATGATTATTGCTTTATGTTATTGATCATGTTATGAGGAAATATTTACATGTAATGGAGGGTAAGCATTCCTAGACCTATTGGATTTGCAGTGTTTTCACACCTAACGAATAAAAACTATGGTTCTAATGGGTAAACCAGTTGGCCTAGACCACAGTGTATACAATTTGGTATATGCTGAAGTAAGTGAAAATTGGGAGCAAGGAGATACCTTCTGTAAACCTGAAATAGTTTCTGAGAAAGGCCTAATTTTATACCTATACCTGATAGAAAATTACCTTTTGTCCCAATGTCCATACTTAGAAGTTTCTTAAACAAAACTATAGTGTTGACTTCACAAACTCACTCTAATGTCCCTTTGTCTTTCTTCCTGCTCAGTTGATTCATGCTGGTAAGGGAGAAGCCATCAGAATCAGGTCTATTCTGAGATCCCTGATTCCCCTGGGAGACTTGGTGGGAGTCATTAGCATCGCTTTCCAGATGCCGACAGTTGCCAAAGGTAAGGCCACCTTCCCTTCTGTGAGACTCAGGAGGACCTGGCAAGACAGTGTCAGCATCCCTTCCCTGTTGTCACAGCCTGGCTGCCTTGCTGGAGATTCCTTTAGAAAGAAAGAACTGTATCATGTATTTTCTTTCTTTTTTTTTTTTTTAAGAGAGAGTGAGAGAGGAGAGAGAGAGAGAGAGAGAGAGAATTTTTAATATCTATTTTTTAGTTCTCGGAGGACACAACAYCTTTGTTGGTATGTGGTGCTGAGGATCGAACCCGGGCCACACGCATGCCAGGCTTGAGCCACATCCCCAGCCCTCATGTATTTTCTAATGAAATGTTTTCCATTCTCATTGTTTTTAAGCAACTGTTTTGCCAATGGTATCCTCATTCTCTTACCTGATATCTCAGGTACTTTCCAGAAAAGAGGACACAGGCACCCCTCCCATTCCTGTGTCCCGTCCTGCTTGGTTCTCATTCTGTCTTCCAGACCTCGGTGCCTTTCTTCATGTTTCCTCATAGTTCTCAGGATCGCTTTCTTGTAGTGCTACTCTTTTCAAAGCACTGATCATAGCTTTTGACTTTGAGATTTAAAAACTCCCTGTGTGTTGTGAAATGAGTTCTTTTCAAGATGAAGGAGAAAACTTTAGAAAGATTGCAGGGTATTATTTGAGACATCTAAAAGATAGGTTAGATCTCCATTTGTGCTTTTTTTCACTTTTCTAAAACTCCACTATTGCTCAGTTTTCAGTGGGTAAGGTATTCATGTGTAGTGGGTAGGCCTAGGCCTCTTAGATTTTCAGTATGTTTCAACACCCAAGGAGGATAAAAGCTAGTTCTAGTGTGGTCTAACGTTGGCTTAGACCATGGTATATATAATTTGCACATAATAGTATATTTTTATCCAAACTCTTAGATAAAAGTTTTAGTTTTAGAACAAAAATGTAATTATGTAGGAAGCACAAGCTATAATCTGCCTTTCATTGATTATACCCTAAAGAAGGCAGGCTGTTGGTGCCCCAACACCAGAGGGAGGAAATTACTATACAGCCAGAGGGAGTTTGCCCTGCTTGTCAGCCACGAGGTTGCAAGATGGGGAAGCTTCCTGTGTGCTCACCTTGCACACCTCCAGGAATCACAAACTGCCACTGTGAATCTATATACATTATAACTGTAGGTAAATCTGGGACTCGAAATTGTCCCCTTACTTTACCTGCTCCCACCTGGGGGACAGTGTCTTCCCTGTATCTCTAGATGGTCCCCACCTGCCTTCCTGGCACTTCTAAATCGTGTTCATTTGCTTTCATAAGAGATCTTTTCCTCCCCTACATTGCAAGCCTCAGATCTGATACCAACAGGACAAAGAACAGTCAGTGGCCACAGGTTAGGAGATGGGGAGGGCTGAACCCTATGATAGTGTTGGTAGGAACCAGGTGTCACTGTGGTGGGCTGTGAGTACGCACAGGGGCCCTTTACATGGCTTGCAGCCTCCTCCCTCCTGTGTCCTCCAGGCACCTGCCTTCACCACCCCTGACGGGTTTGGGATTGCTGTTCTCCCCACTCTAATCTTACTGATTAGTCATGTTTGTCTTCATGGATGTACAGTGAGGTTTGTATATAAAAAACTCTCACAGTCACAGTAGAAGTTGATTTTACAGCTGCAGTCCATTGGTCACTGATCATTTTCCTTTTCTCACCTTCTTTGGAGACCTGTACAGTTGTAAGCCACAGTGCTCACACATTCCCCTGAAAACCTTAAGCCATCAGTGTCCCCTCATCTGTTTCAGTGACAAGTCAGTGGGCTCTGATACATCTCCAAGCATTAGTAATTTAGGTTCTTCTATATTCTGTACTTAGCGTGTGAGGTTTACCTCTAAGGACTTCTTCACCTCTTAGTATTAGCTAAGGCATTCCTCAAACATTTCTATCCCATTCATTCTAGAAACAGAGTGTGCCCCAGAATAATCATGAAAAAAGGGGGAGTCTAGAAGACTTGATGGACAAACCCACTACCTGCAGCTCTTGGCCCAGCAGGTCTGGGCAGCCTCTCTGAGGCTATAATTTCAGGTGGATGAAGAGCTCAGGTGTAGCAGGTGCCCCAGGGAAGCCAATGCACAGGCCCACCTCCTTCCAGATCAGATGCTCCCCAAGTGTGAGAATCACACTATTGTCGCAGTATGTTTGGGGAAATGGTGAAAACAAAACAGCAGGAGACACAAATCGATGCACTTGGAGCCCCAGGAGGTGTAGCTTTGGGGTTCATTGAGCTGAATGTATACTTGAAGAAGAGTCTGGAAGGCAAGACTTTCATTAAAATCACTGAGTGGCTCCTTTTCTCCTTTAGGCACAACTCTCTGTAAATAGTAGCATCCTATTTAAATTTAAATTACTCATAATGTGAGTTTTAGGCAAATTGAACCAGAATTTTATATAGATTTTTATTTGAAAGTGAGAGTATACAGATGTAAACTGAAGGTTAAATGGGCTTTGGTTGTAACTCTGCTAATTACTAAGAGTACAACATTGGACAAGTGCTTTCCTTCTCTGAAAGTCAGCTTTCATCTCCTGTTATAGGAGTGCATTCCAGCCTGGTGGTAGGACTGGAAGTGGTGTGTGATCATGCTGGTGGCATTGCTACCTTCATATCTGAAACTGCACCAGTAAGAGCTATTGTGCTTCCAAGGCAAGGAAAGTAGTAGTTGTATAGGGATTAGTACCATTATAAGGAGTAGAAGCTATTCARTATTGTTCTTCAATTTCCTTTAAGACATTATTTGTTCATTTTTCTGATCCAAATGTAAAATTCATTCATCAATCACAAGTGAAAACAGGAAAAAAGTTTCATTTTATCCTTTCAGAATGGTTCTGGTCTTGYGTGGTCTTCCCCTGAGCTCTTCTTCCTTTAACCTTGCTTCCCTGTTCCAAACCCTGTGATATTATTTCCAGAATCTTACAGTGCACCAGGGTGGCGTAATTACCATAGGGTCATACAGGAAGCAGATTAGCTCTCCAGTATTTTAATTGGCACACAGTCTCATAATTGTGCATAGGAGTGGTCCCCAACCTGTGCACCTACAGGACTTGCTCCTATGGGTGGGCATCACTAGTGACCCTGGACAGCAGGAGCCATGCGGCTCAGGGTTCTAAATGAAGTTGCTGCTGCTGGGACTAATGGCACACACCTCRTGGCAGTCATGCTGGTTTCATGGTGTTGATTTATCCTTTGGTGATTATTCTAAGCCACAGCAACATAGGTGTGCCAAAAAGATCACACAGGGATCTCTAAGCTTTATTGATGTTTTAAAGTCTGTCCTTGGCAAGAGTGGAAAGCCTGCTTTATATTTCAGCTTTTCTGAGTTTTCCAAGGGGCTCACAGATGCCTTCCATTCCCTCCTCATCTCTAGTGTAGSGCTGTCTTTATTGAGTATGCACTTAGCAAACAGGAACCCAAGTGACGTTTCCCTGACTCCAGGCTTTGATTGTACTGCTTGTCCCTGGGTGGCTGCATGCCTACTTGAGGGCAGTAGATCAGGGAACTGTTTCATTGCTAACTTTACTTAAAACATGAGCCTCCCAGCCATTGACACCTGCGTGTCGCCTTCTCTCTTTTAGATGGGAATGTGGTGGAACCTGACATGTCTGCGGGGTTTTGCCCAGATCACAAGGCAGCCATGGTTTTGTTCCTTGACAGGGTCTATGGGATTGAGGTGCAAGATTTCCTCCTCCACCTTCTCGAGGTTGGCTTTCTGCCAGATCTCCGGGCTGCTGCTTCTCTAGACACGGTACGTCCTGGAGCATTGGCTGGCTCCCTCTGGGCTGCGCAGCTGCTGCCTTACAGATACACTCACTCTCTCATTGGCAAAGAGTTTGCTGCATGCCTGTTTTATTTTTAGGAAGCATTAAGTGAATAAAACAAAATAGACTATGTCTACAAAGGATTCACTGAATAGCCTCGAGAGTGTCATAGAAATTTTGATTAGTGCTGTGGGACTTCTAAGAGGTTCACATAACCCAACTTGGGGAAGGTCACAGTGGCTCCTATTGACCTCTGTTGAGTRCTAACCTCTAAACTGGCCCAGTTATGCTTCTCAATGGAAACAAAGTGTTAAGAGGATTTAATGGGCATTGTTGAGTCTTATCAGTTATAACGGCAACCTGATATTTTCATTTGCTGAGGTGCAGTTTGGCTAAAATCTGTCCTGAATATGCACCCCACATGGAGGACCTGTTGTTGCCAGTGTAAACACATCTCTCTCTAAACATGGTGGAATAAGCTGAAGTTTCAAATGTTACCCTAGTATACATTTTATTTATTTAATCAATTAAATGGGTCATCTTGATTTGGGGGGAAGCTGGACCTCAAGTTGACAATAGCCCTTCTATGAAATTATGCCTGTGGAATCATAAAATGAAAAGTAAAGTTCTTTTGTCTTTCTTGAGTGTTCACATGACATTCTGCCCTGAACAGTAGATAAGTTTTGGTTATAGATGCTGATGGACACAGAAATATGAATATTGTTTCTAGAGAGAGAGAGAAAGAGAGAGAATTTTTTAATATTTATTTTTTAGTTTTCGGTGGACACAACATCTTTATTTTTTATTTTTATGTGGTGCTGAGGATCTAACCCATCGCCCCGAGCATGCCAGGCGAGTGCATTACCGCTTGAGCCACATCCCCAGTCCATGAATACAAAAAAATATTAATAAACAGAATTCAGAAAGACTCTGAATAGAAGAACTGAATGAAAATGAGCCTCCTCCCTAACCCAGGAAAGTGCTCATGTCTAAGACCATGTGGATGTTCTGTGATAGAACCTGGATGGACCCTCCTGGGTTTTGGAGAAGGTKGATATCATTTCATTCATTTGTATCTACTTATCAATTGATAGTTGATTGGTTTTAGTGACAAAGATCACGTGAATCACATTTAAAGATCCACCTGAGTGCATTTCTGTTTTCATGATGTAGCCATTTTCCAGAGAGTGAAGGGTCAATTTGTGGATTCCTTTCAAAACTTTCTCCCAATAGAAAGCACAAATGGCTGTGTGCTCTCTGCTTCCCTTTCAGGCTGCTCTGAGTGCAACAGACATGGCCTTGGCCCTCAATCGATACCTTTGCACAGCTGTCTTGCCTTTGCTGACAAGGTGTGCTCCCCTCTTTGCTGGGACAGAGCACCATGCGTCCCTCATCGACTCATTGCTGCATACCGTGTATAGGCTCTCTAAGGGCTGCTCGCTCACCAAAGCTCAGCGGGACTCCATAGAAGTGTGCTTGCTCTCCATCTGTGGGTAAGTGGGCAACTAACTCCATTCATTTAAAACTAACTTCCTTCTTTCTTCATTCTCTAGGATGAGCTCAGGATACCAACCATACAGGGTTTTTCTTTTTTTAAAGATTAGTGCATTTTAGTTGTATTTACTGATGGTGTTTGTTGTTACATTTTGATATGTGCACACAATACACAATATAACAATATAATTTGGCCAGTATCATTCTCCAGCCCTTCCTTCCTCCTTCCTCACCTCCCATGCCTTAGTCTTTTTCCTCTACTGATCTCCCTTTGATTTTCATGAGTCACCTCCCTCCCACTTTCTTTTCCTTTTTCCKTGTTACCTTTCATGTATGAGGGAAAACATGACCCTCAACCTTTTGCTTTGATTTAGTTTGCTTAACATAATGGTCCCTAGTTTCATCCATCTTCCTGCAAATGACACAATTTCACTTTTCTTTATGATTAAACAAAACTCCATTGTGTATTTATACCATATTTTCTTTATCCATTTGTCCACTGATGGACCCCTAGGCTGGTTCCATGTTTTGCTGTTGTGAACTGTGCTGCTATAAACTTGGGTATGCATGGTATGCATGGATCACTGTGCTATGATGACTTTAATTCTTCAGGGTAAATACTGAGGAGTGATATTGCTGGTCGTGTGGTGGTTCTATGACTAGTCTTTTGAGGATTCTCCAAACTTATTTCCATAGTGGTTATACTAATTTACAATCCCGAAGTGTAAAAGTGTTTGTTTTTCTCCATATCCTCTCCAGCAGTTATTATTGTTGTAGTCTTGATGACTGCCATTACAACTGGTGTGAGAAGAAATCTCAGTGTAGTTTTGATATGCATTTCCCTGATTGCTAAAGATATTAAACATTTTTCATGTATTTGTTGGGCTTTTGTATTTCTTCTTTTGAGAAGTGTGTGTTTAATTCACTTGCCCATTTATCAATTGGGTTTTTAATATTTTGGTATTGTTTGAGTTCTTTTTATATTCTAGATATCAATCCTGTGTTAGAAGAGTAGCTGGCAAAGCTATTTCCCACTCCYCACAGGATTTTTCTAACCAGGAAGCAGAGTGGGGCACTTGATGTCGGCCAAGACAAGGCTGTTCACTGCTCATTGGTTCTTTCTCCCTCTGCCACTGTTGAGTTGCTGTCTCAGTGTTTTTTTCCTCACTTTTGTTCCTGAACACCCTCTTTCTGAAGGCTGCAGTTGTGTGGCTGGGAAGGGAGGGAAGGAAGAGTGATCTCCTGTAGCAGCGGGGGTTGGTCTTCAGATCTGGAGCTGAGCTGGAAATGCAACCTACCTAGGCTGGACTACAGTCAGGCCTTGTACAGCAACTGGGATGCATTCTGAGCAGTGCCTTGCTGGGGATCCCGTGCCTTGTGAAGAGCATACTTGCGCTAACCTAGAATATTGTAGGCCTGTCGCCCAGTGCAGCCTCTTGATGCAGTCAAGAGACCCAGTCCCTCAGGCAGTTGCCAGCACAACATGCCGTGCTGTTCCATCACCTTTCTGCTGTTGACATGAAGTAGAGGAGGTGCACTCCAAGATAAGAGGGGAAAGCGTTGTACCTACAAAAGCAGTGGAAGAACATTTGTCACCATCATCGGTGTCACGCACGGGGTGGGGCATGATTTGTGTGCTGTGCTTTGCACATCTGCAGCACAATAGGTTTGTTCAAATGCACATGGAGCCATGTGTTACTAGGATGTACCGCTATGATGCCACTAGGCAGTAATGGTTGTCAGCCCCCCTCAGTCTCAGAGTCACTGCTGGCTAGCATGAGGGTCAGCACCTAATGATGCCATCTGAAGGGGGACAAAGTGGAGGTTCTTGGTTAAAAGGTTTGGTCTAATGAATTGGCTACTGAGTGTAAACTTATGTGTCTCCATTATTAAAATTCTTTTTGTTCCAACAGCCAGTTGAGGCCTTCTATGATGCAGCACTTGCTGAGAAGATTGGTATTTGATGTCCCCTTATTAAACGAACATGCAAAGATGCCTCTCAAGGTGAGTGTGTGGTTATTTGATTGCTTTTGCCTCTGATTTTGTTTCCTGCTATTAGCCTGTTTGAGCTTTGATGCTGGGAAATTTCTCCCAATTGTTGAAACGGCTACATAAGTTATAGAAGTGTACGCATCAGCCTGAAATAATCAATAAAGGTCATAGGATTCTGAACATTGGTTTTCATGAAATGCAGTGGGGAAAAGGACACAAGGAAAAGATAAGCCAAGATATTCTTAAGCGGAAAGGCATGGTCATAGGCCTAGCCTAGAGTATCACTAGCAGACCTTTTCTAAGTTGGTAACTACATAGCAGTTTCCATACATCATTTTACAGGGTTGGAAGGTAACCTCTGTGTGTGTGTGTGTGTGTGTGTGTGTGTGTGTGTGTGTACAGTTAGTTTGTTACACGGTATAGAAAAGTCACTGACAATACATGATTAGGTCCCATTCTGTTCTACCTACTTTCTGAGTATTTTCCTATCCTTTAGTATAATAATCTAGACTCAGGAGAGTCTCTGTGTATCAAGGTTGTATGGTAAAGAGCAGTACTTTTCCAGGTGACCACTCTGAGTAACATCTAGTAGGTGTCTGTCTTTCCCTGGGACCACCCAGGAACAGCACTGTAGAGAGGTTGGGGACATGTATGAGTCTTTTTTTTTTTTTTCTTTAATCTGGTATACTAAGGACCCCTGGTTATTTAGCAGAAACAATTTCATCTATGATAATTGATTTGGGATAATAAATCTAGGTAAATTAATTAAGTAGATTATATCCTTGCTCAAAATCTCATTTTCATAGTTTCTGCCATGTAGAGTAGGCCTTGTCAAGAAAAATATTCTTATTGCAAATAAGCTGAAAGATAGCTGATAAAATATACAGTGTGACTTYTTATCTTCATGTAATACAATTTACGTTGTAGATACTTCCTTCTAAACAAATTAGATTATGATGGAAAGGGAGACAGACACTAAAAGTTCTGTCTTTAACCCCAAAGCCAGTCCAATAACAAGGATGAGGTTTGAGGGAAAAGGAGAAGGATATCTACTGATTTTCTAGCAAAGGAGAACACACGCTCCTGTCCCAGAGGCTGTGATTCTCACTGCCAGGTGGAGCGGTGGGCTTTTCAACAGAGGGCACAATGGTTGAATTCCAGGTGTGCATGACAGGAGTCATCATTCACATCCAGGTGGTAGCCTCCAAAGAGAGATTCGCTGGTGCCAGTCCCAAAGTCTGGATTTCTTTTTTCCTGTGGTCAGTGGTCCAAAGGACAGATAACTTGGCCTAGAAATGGAATAAGGATAATCTTGTTTCTTGCAGGGTGAAGGAGTAGGAGAGGGAGAAAAGAAAGGGAAGAGTATGTCAATTTTGAAATCAGCTGCCACTGGTCAAGCAGCAGGCATTAGATGGACCCTTTGACCCCTGTAACAAAATGAGAAGAAATATTTTAATAGTAAGGAATGTATTGGCTTTAACAACAATAATCTTAGCCAGAATTGGTGGCACAGGCCTATAATCTCAGCCACTGGGAGGCTGAAAGAGAAAGATTATGACTTCAAGTCTAGCCTTAGCAACATAGCAAGACACTTTCTCAAAAAAAAAAAAAAAAAGAGAAAAATTAAAAAGGGCTGGAGATATGGTTCAATCCCTGGTACAAAAATACCCCAAACTCCAAAACAAACAAAAAATTACATAAAGAGAATCCAAATAGCTATAGTTGATACATACAGACCGTTCTATAAATTGGCAAGTTTAGATGAAGAAAAATCCTTCCAAAAATCTACCAAATTTAAGTCTATTTTTGTCTTTCACATATGTGAAAAATCAGAAAGGTAATAAATCACATCTACAACCAAAGAAATAATCCAAGTAGAATAGATTTGGAAGCTTGCTTAGTATTCAGACTGCCTCATAAAAAATTCTGTTGAAGATAACGTCAACTGTAAAATGGAACGTTCGGTCCTCATAGTGTGACCAGTGTTAGAGTTTGAAGAGATGCAGCAATTGTGTTCTCCAAAGGGACTTGTGGGGTTAAGCAGTTGACCTTGTTGGGTGGCCTTAAAATGCCACAAGAAGGGAAATGGGGACAGAGAGGGTAACAGCTCACTGCCTCTGGACTGGYTTCCCTGCAGCTGTTGACTAATCACTACGAGAGATGCTGGAAGTACTACTGCTTGCCTGGGGGCTGGGGCAGCTTTGGTGCTGCCTCCGAAGAGGAGCTTCACTTATCAAGGAAGTTGTTCTGGGGCATTTTTGATGCCCTGTCTCAAAAGGTAATTTAATGTTTAGTGGATTTATTTGTATTGATAAAACAATAAAATGCTGTAGATTTCTGAGAAGATAGTATTTCCGGTGGAGTAATGGCTGTACTATCGGACTTACACAAATTTTTTTCCCCTCATTTTTCAAACTCATGACGCACTGAGAGTGCAATCTATGCTGATTCTTCACAGTCATTATGGTAGCATGTTGCTTGTGATCATGAATTTAAAATAGCTGAGCATTTCAGGAACTTGGGTTCATAGTGAAGTTTCTAGTGCATTGGACTTAATTTGGACTATAATTCTCCCTAGTTATCTTTCAAGCTTATAAAACCTCAAGAAATTGTGTCAAATATAAGACTATAAAACATAAAACTTTACAAAAATACATATTTATATATATATAAATAATTGTAGTATTCTAGTGGTCTACCAATACCTTCTACTTGCTTCTGTGGAAGCTTAARTACCTCTGTGGTGCTGTTTGCCTGTGTGGATTTACTTTGTAATGCTGCGTTTATAATGAATATGATTCAGGTATGCTTAGATGACTGAAGGCAATCAAAACACCACATTTGGTAGGTTCATGTTTAATCAAAATCTGCTTGAATTCTGCTCAGTACCATGAATGAACAGAGCAGCTTAACARCAAATGTGCTGTATAGTAGGGAAAAGTTTATCTGTGATTACATTTGGTGGCTACTCGTGGTGCTTTTTTCCAGTGAGTTTCCATTGGTAGTCTGAGAGCCCTTCTAAAATAATGTTTCAGTATTTCTAGAAACATTTACAACATCAATTTAAAATTGGAAATTCTAAGTGAAATATTTTAATTATTTTTGATTTTTTTAAAAAAATTCACAACTATAAATTTTAACTAATTTTGTAACCAATAGAAAAATACATCTTCCCAGAAATTTTTATTACATACACTTCCTATAGAACTATTTTCCCAGTTTGGATTATATTTTTTATCCCTTTGAAATGCAACAGGGAACAGTAAATTTTTCACTCTCTGGAGTGGTGGCCTTTATACGATTTCATATATGATCATTGTAAAGTAGTGCAGCAGTTATCCGTAACTGTTAGGAATGCAGTCTCTGTGGACTGAAATCACACATTCATGTTGAAAGAGGTGATAAATTTAGAATAGTCAGGCTTATGTCGTTTTACCTTGGGAGAATGCACTTTCAAGGAGCAGAGACTGTGTACCTTCAGCTGGTGGCTGGACACTTGGCTGCAGCTTCTCATGACGCTGTGTTCCATTTGCTAGAGAGAATCTCATGGAGTGGAGTTAGCCTAGGGTGGTTCAGATCTTCTCCTGAGTCATCTTTGTCACAGTGATCATGCTGATGGCTTTTCCTATGAAGTCACTTGGTAAATTTTTGGCCCTCCTTTTATTCCTAGAAATATGAACAAGAACTTTTCAAGCTGGCACTGCCTTGCCTGAGTGCAGTCGCAGGAGCTTTACCTCCAGACTACATGGAGTCAAACTATGTCAGTATGATGGAAAAACAGTCATCCATGGATTCTGAAGGGAACTTTAACCCACAACCTGTTGATACCTCCAAGTATGGACTCTTTCTATTGCAGCAGATTTTTATTGTAAATGATGTGTGAAGTCTGAAATTGAATAAGGTACTGAAGTGAACTTTCTTTAATACATGCCCCCTTTGAATTGGTATCCTTTTAATAGGAGTCCTTTAATTTATCAAATGATAGGAGTAATAATGGTGATTATACCAATATCAAAAATACATAAGATGTGCCTTCTAGGATACTCTTAACATAACGAGGAGTCCATGAATATAACCAGGTGGTAGTATCTGTGATGGTGAGAGTCAAGAAAGTATATGAGCTCTATTTTTAGTTGAAAAGTGACCCAAGATGTTTATCAGTAACTATAGTCAAACCCCTCTCTGGCATCTTGTAGTTGCAGTGAACCCAGCAGTGTTGCAAAGCTGTCTCTGTGAGAGTCAGGGAATTGCTCCACCCCCAACTCCATCACCCAAGGTCAGGATGAGTGGCCAATGTTTAGCATTATAAAACACATTATAAGATGGAAGGAAATATCAAATAAGATTTTTTTTTTTTTTAGTGGAAGATTTAGCATGCAGTTAGAATACAGCTTGACAACCTTAACCAAAAACATCAATCAGCATGACAAAACTCCTTATGTGTGATTAACTACATGAATTGTTCTATGGATAGGATGCTTGGATCCTCAAGTGTCCCAAGTCTCAGCACTTTGTCTTTCCCCTTCTCTAAGTGGAAGCCTGGATCCCTGTTTGCAAGGACAGCTGCCTCTTCCTGCTATAAGATCTTATTGATTCCACCATGGCTCAGCAAAATCGGTTTGGCAGGGCAGTTATTTGGTAGTTCTGTGCCCTGCTTCTGAATTTGCTTGAAAATTCAACTTTTGAGGCTCCTAGGCAGTTCCTAGGCTGTAGTTCAGCCTCCATTTTGAAATCAAAATTTCAACCCAAGTGATAAGCCATTAGTCAATGCTTTAAATTTGCATATTTGGTGTTTGATGACAGTTCTGTGGGGAAAGAATCTACCCAGTATTTGGCTTATATGATTGATCCTTTGTATCTCTTCCAAAGCAAGTAATCAAACATCACAGGTTCATATTTCTACCTGGGTAAGTTTGTGATTTGTTAACATACTGTATAATTCAGGATTTTAAAGTAACATTAGGACATTGTMATGGTTTTAGTGTTGATTAATTAAATCCAATTAATTAATAAGTGTTGGGCATGTATATTAATTAACCTAGTCTTGATCCTTTGGGACTTCTTTACAGATACAGGTCTACATCATGATAGAGATAATTGCTTGTGTTTTATACATTGCTTCTTAAGTACATGTATGTTAGCTACTAACTGATTACTTTTTTGGAAAAGAATGGAAATTGTCTTATTATTCTAGGGTTTTATTTAGAACTCTATTCTTAAAATTAATTGCTTTGTTTTGAACAACTAATAATAAAAAAAGAAAAAATTAAATTAATTGCTTTAATATGTTGCATTCTTTAATGAATGGAATTATACATATATTTAGTTTTTCATTCATAGATGTATTTGATACTCCCAAGTTGGACTTGGTCATCAACTGGATGTGCTTGACATCTGTATAAGGGATTATATGTGTATTTAAACACGGAAGGAGTCAGGAATGAGTGTTATCAAAACCATGAAGCAAAAAGTTAATTACTTTTCCCTGTGGTCAATATCAGTAACACCTATAATATTTTCTGTAGACCCTTAATATTTAAAAGTATTGTCACATCACTTGTTGGGTTAAATTAAAACTCTAAAAGGTTCAATTTCAGCAGTCTTCTCCAATTACAATTGTTGCAGAGGAGAGAGTCAGAGAGAGTGGCTTCAAAGAGTATGGAAGACAAGTGTGTCTTAAGCTTTTTGAGTCTAGCCATATCTTGATGTAGGGTTTGTTTTCTTTTTCATATAATCTATTGTCTTCATCTTTGAGTATGTGTTAATTAATATCATGCCTATTTTATTATACCTAATTTGTTATATTAACATAATAAAAGATGTATCAACTTAAGATGAACAGGTGGAACATCATCTGCTTGACTTTTCTCTCACTGTTCTGAAAGATGTGAAACTTTGTTAAAACTGTTTTTAACCTTTATGCATTGAATAGGATCTAAGCATTTGTAAATTATAAATTATGAATATGATTCCCTGTAAATTCTTTGATAATCAAGCTTTTTTTCTTTATTTTTCTCATAGTATTACAATTCCTGAGAAGTTGGAATACTTCATTAACAAATACGCAGAGCATTCCCATGACAAATGGTCAATGGACAAGGTAAAAGCACTACTATGGGGAGGTGGCCAGTGCCTCATTTGGGGGTTCTTCTTCCTGCCAAAGAGGGTGTAAGCCACCTGAGAAATTAAAGTCTAGAATAATTAGTGAAAAAGAAAAGAGTCGAAAAAATAGTTTCAAAAGGGGAGCTCCTGATAGGTCCAGCCCACACAGAAGCTGGAGCCAAACAATTGCTCTCATGGTTTATTTAATGGGGTACATCAGAGGCAGGGGTAAGGTTTTAAGGGTAGAGTCTTATTTCGTCATATCTTGCAGTCAGCAGGTTGACTGGCATCTTGGCAGGTCATACCCATCTCAGAGGGGCTGTGCAGCTACACACAGCAGGTTACCTCATCTCCAGTGCTGTGTGGGACATAGCAGAGCAGAATAGGAATTCACAATGTCTCTGGGCAGTCAAATAGATTAAATGTCCACTAGAAGTTCCCAGACATCAGATTATCCTATTCACTAGGCTGCACTGGCAACAGAGTCCACACACAGCCCACAGATGGTTCTCCACACACTACATTCTGGTCCAGGCTGCTGTGTTCATAATGGTCATGCTCTGACATATCTGGCCTGATCATTTTCTCTTTCAAAGGGAGAACTTTTTCTAAATTAGGTAAGAATGCCRGGCATAGTGGCACACGCCTGTAATCCCAGCACTCTGGGGGCTGAGATGGGAGGATCACAAGTTCAAGGCCAGAATCAGCAACTTAATGAGGCCCTGTCTCAAAATAAAAAATAAAAAGGGYGGGGTAAAGTGTCCATGGGTTCAATCCCCAGTAGCAAACCCCCCAAAAATAATTTAGGCAAGTACATCAAATTTCAATTTGCTAGTATAATATTTAGCTTGTTCTGCCACATTAACACAGTTATGATGTACAGAGAATATTTGTGTTCATAAAAAATACAAGTTTAAGATTCCAAAAAGATCTTAATAAAATCATGAGTATAATTCTGAATATTATTTTTTGTGGAAGTTAAAGGTAACAATCACCAAGGTCTTCAGGGAGAATTGGACGAACCAAGTTCGAAATCCATCTTGGTTTTATACGTAGTTTCATATTAGATCAAAAATCGTGAAAATTCTTCATCAAGATTCAGTAATAGTTTATCCCTTCAAGTCCACCATTGTGTTTCCTATTATCAAATAGATCTGTAGTTCACTAAAAGTAGATTAAACTGACCAGATGACACTTGTTTTGTGTTTTCAAGAAAACAACCCAATTGAGAAAAGGAAAGCAGTAGAAATCTGAGATTTTTGCTACTGATCAAGAGATGTTCTAAAGGAAAGGCTATACATGAGGATTAATTTAGTTTAAACTTGAAAAAGACTCTCAGACTTGTCAGAGAATTCAGAAGGTGCAAGAATCTAAAATCCACATGCAGATTTGGTGAATGAAAAGCAGCAGGGGGTTCCCAGGATGCTGGGTAACCTGGTAATAGTGTGAAGCTTCCCTCTGGCCAGCCAATCCTTTTCCCACTCAAATAAGCACTTTTTGTTGGTTTGTATGATAAATGTGTGACTGCTCATCAGTTCACTGATTGATGAGGTAAGTCAGTTAGGACCATTTTTACATAATGACTTTGTCAACACCACGTGGGTGGAATAGTGATGGCCAAGAACATGCAGGATGCGGTCCCTTGCAGTCCAGTTCCAGCTGATGTAGGGAGGTACTGATGTATCCAGATGGGCGGAAGAATGTGGGATGGATCTATTGAAAGACTTTGGAATATAGGAATGGGCAAAACAGACAATACTGTCCTGTGAACCTCCTGAGGTGCATGCTCTAGTTTTCCCATTTAAAATGAGCATTTCATTGGGGCTGGGGTTGTGGCTCAGTGGTAGAGCGCTTGCCTAGCACATGTGAGGTGCTGGGTTTGATCCTCAGCGCCACATAAAAATAAATAAAATAAAGGTATTGTTTCAAATTACAACTAAAAAAAAAATTTAAAAAATTAGCATTTCATGAGCTCCTGCCACAGGTGGGGTCCCAAGATGTGTCAGAATAAATATTGTCACTGTCACAGTATGCATCCCAGAAGCTGCCTCCTAGGGTACTGTTTATTGGTATAATCAAAGACCTGCATCTCTTTAAGGAAGACAGATGTTTCAATCTCTGACAAGAAGACTTGTTTGAAATGATGACTGAAAATAGCATTAAGTTGGAAATCTTTATAGGACTTATGCTAGATACAATTTAAACCTTAATTCTCATCTTGGTTCATTTTACACTTGGTCCAGTACACTCTCAAACACACGCACACACCTGCATTGTCTAAAATCATACACGTAAAACAGGTTTTGGTGTTTGTATTTTTATAGTTGGCAAATGGATGGATTTATGGAGAAATATATTCGGATTCTTCTAAGGTACAGCCATTGATGAAGCCATATAAACTCTTATCTGAAAAGGTGAGGTTTTTAAGTTTATAAAGTTTTAATTTGTGGGAATTTTTGTCTTTGTTGTCTTTTTTTTTTTTCCTATTGAGATACCTTCTTTATTTTACACTTAAGCTTTTACCTTTATTCAAAGGTCCCATTTTTTATCTTCTATTTTTATCTTTTGCTCTCCAGTCTCATTTTGGGTCAGTATTTCATTGCTTACTATCTTGTCTCTTAATAATTTTCATTTCTCTTCTGCTTTTTATCTCTCTCCCATATTTTTGAGAACTATAGAACTAAATAGTCTGTACTTCAGCCTTTCTTGGTGATGAGTGATAAAGTGGTACTTAATGTGCTTCTGAGGTGGGAGTCCTCAAGTCTGTTTCTGCCACAAGGGAAAAGGCATGTGTGACCAAGGAGCACAGAGGACTCTGTGGCCTGGCAGGTGATGCAGGGGGTCCCGCCTCTGTTCAGAGAGCAGGAGGCCTTCACACGGGCCTCTTCTTCACCCTTCTAGTCTTCTGAATCCCCTCTCTAGTCTCTGAGGGCTCAGGAGCATGGGGCCTGAGAAGACAGATTGCTATGCTGCACCAGGAGCCAGGACCCCTCTTCCACAGGGGTCCGATTAGATTTCGCTCACGCTCCGCCCTGTAGAACTTTAACTTTCTGATTTTATTTTTAAGTAAACTACGCCAATCAAGTTTTTTTAAAGGTGCAGTCTGTTTCAGAAGTAAATACTAAATATTTTACATTTCCATTTCAGTTCATAATAATATCATTTTTTTTTCTCTAGGAAAAAGAAATTTATCGATGGCCAATCAAAGAATCCTTGAAGACTATGTTGGCTTGGGGTTGGAGAATTGAAAGGACCAGGGAGGGAGACAGCATGGCCCTTTACAACCGGACCCGTCGCATTTCTCAGACAAGCCAGGTAAGAGTCACAGTGATGAGGCATTTTAAAATAAGTTACTTAAAAAATATTTTAAGCTTTATGCCATGGGACACACCTATGGTGTCAGCTAAAGCAGGAGGATCACTGGGGCCCAGAAGTTCAAGGTCAGCCTGGGCAACAGAGAAAGACGCTGACTCAAAATAATAACAGCAATAGGAATTCTAATCTTTTATTTAATTATTGTCTTTAAAATAAATAATTTGAATGTTCTGAAGACCAACAAAATTAGAGAGGAAAAGATATTGCTTTCCTTTTTGTTTGAAGTGAGCCAGATCGTGAGTGGAGTACTGGAATTTTGCATGGAGCCATGATTTCCTGGCTGGTGTAGGAAGCATAGAGCTTTGTTATCCAGCCAGAAAACGGAGGGCTGGTTCTTAGGGGACAGTGGAGACCCAGTTCCAGACCCCAGAGGGTGCACTGTCCTGCTGCAAGGGAAGGTGTGACAGGCAGAGCTGATAGGCAGAGCCAGACTCTTGGCTTTGGGACTCACTGGCCTCTTAGGACTCCAGCCCTGGGGTCATGCTGCAGGCAGARCCAGCCCTGGAAAAGCAGTGGGAACCAGGTACTAGGCATTAAGATGGTCACAAGGCTCCCTGCACCCTTCACATCTGACCCTTTGCGTTTTTGGGGAGCTAAACCTGTCATTGTCCCTTTCCTGATTCCTCAGACTGATATGAACTTGTTTTACACAAAATATTGCTTTATATTACTAATTGTTTTATTTTTGAATAAATAAAATGAGGTTACTAAAAGCATATTTGAAAAATGCTTTTAAATAAATGAAATTCAGATTCGGGCATATTTTACTTGACCGTGTGGGTGAAGACCATAAAAGCATATCTTACCTACTTTTCATGTGTCCATTGATTCTGGAGCCTGATATTCCCAGGTTGCTTCACCCACGAGGGCTCTAGGAAGCACAAGAAGTCTGTGATGAACTTGGCCAGACCTGGCCAGGCCCACTTCTCACCACTGAGTAGCTGGCTGTGTGACCTCAGGCAAACTGCTCAACCTCTCTATGCTTTGGTGTTCTCACCTTTAAAATGAAACTGAGCTGGTGCAGTGGCACATACCTGTAATCCTCAGGAAGATTGTGAGTTCAAAGCCAGCCTGAGCAAAAGCAAGGCGCTAAGCAACTCAGTGAGACCCTGTCTCTAAATAAAATATAAAATAGGGCTGGGGATGTGGCTCAGTGGTATAGGACCCCAGAGCTCAATCCCTGGTACCCATCCCCCACCCCAAAAAATGAAAATGAAAAGAGCATCTGCTTTCAGAGAATGTTTGAGGGGTCCCTGTTGTGATGCTGATGACAGTTGTAAGAATGACTGGCACATAGCAGTACAGGTTGGCCACAACTTTTTTTTATTAATTTTTAAATTTCTATATGACAACGGAATGCATTACAATTCATATCACACATTAGAGCACAAATTCTTCATATCTCTGGTTGTATACAAAGTACATTCACATTGATTCATGTCTTCATACTTTGGGTAATGATGTCCATCACATTCCATCATCACTGCTAACCCCCTGCCCCTCCCTTCCCTTCCCACCCCTCTGCCTATTGTTATGTAGATCAATAGCATTGTTAGCCCCCTTCACCATTGCAAGGGGAAACTTAATCAGGGTTCTGTAATTTGCATATTGAGGGCATGAATGATGTCATAGACACTTGATAACCTACTTTAATGGCTATGGAGGCTGACCGAATTAGAAGTTTACAGAGAGGGATTGCAGGACTGGCTTTTGTCCACCTCCTTGTGAGCCAGCACTGCAATCAGCTCAAAAGGACCTTCTGGCCATCTTGGGCACATGGTAGAAATTGCTTATTTATCCATGTATTCCAACTTCTTACCTTGTATTTTTTTTTYCTTTGGCATTACGTATATAGGATGGAAATTATTTAAGCAAATGAAAATTATTTAAACAAATGAAGAGTGAAAAGAGAGTGAAATTTTAGGGAAGTGTTTCCCATCTAGAGCAAAAACAGAGGCCAACATGGAGGGGTGATCCCCCCATTCCTCCAATGAAGAGTTTTGAGCACCTGTTAGTTTTCAGGCATTATTCTAGGATTCTCAAATCAGTGAACAAGAYATCAAAATTCTTTGCTTCATGGAGCTTACATTTTAATGGCAGATGAGCAGTGTTATAGAATATGATGCAGAGCAGGGAAAGAAGAAAATGCATTCTGGGCGGCAGGCAGGCTGGGTGTGCCAAGGATGAGGTAGGAAGGTGTTTGGGGCAAACTCCATAGAGTTTTCAAGGTTGACCTCCTTAAGAAGATGATTGAATAAAGACCCCAGAGAGGTCTCTGGAGGGGTTTGGAGGAAGATTCTCCCAAGCTGGCTACATGTGCTAAGTGGGAGGGGGCCCTGGTGTGTGTGTGAGGGAGATGAGGAAGCCAGTGAGATTGGGGCCCAGTGATTAGCAGGTGGACACATGCAGGAGTTTCAGGGGCCCAGTGGTGCAGGACATTGGGGGCCATTGGAAGGACTTTGTAAGTGCTTTAGAATTAAACTTAATTCTACTGTTTACTATTTACATGATATGGTGTCATATATAGTGCTTTAAGTGATTTATTCAGGTTCTTTTTCTGATTTTAAAGTGATTACAAAGTAATATCACTTTTCAAAGATGTTCTGACAGTTCAGTGGAATAATCTGACTTTTGCCAACTCATGGATGAGTATCCCTCACTCTCTCAGAAGTTGCCATTGTTTTCATTACTGCCAATTGATTTTGAATTAATGTTGAAGCTCTTGATTTGAAGATGAGTGCTTGTTTCAGGTCACCGGAAATCACATAGGACCTGGACAGTCTTCTGATTTCTACGTATGTAAATAAAGAAACATGTAACAATACACTTAAAAAACCCTGTCCCTGAATAAAGAAATATTTGCTTTCATTCTTAAAAATGGCCTCAAGAACTTAATCTAAAGCTAAAAGAATGTTTCAGTTATATAGGGTACACAAGGAACATGGTCTAAGAGGAAATTAAATAGTGCGAAGATTTTGAAAACAAAATGTCTTGATATCTCTATTAATAAAACTTATAAAGAGCCTGATACTGATTCTTTCTAGGTATAAAATACACATTTGCTATTATTTATACCTGTGAGATTGGAAGTCATTTTATAACCTAAAGTATATGAAAGCTGTCATGTCACAGGCTCCCATGTGAGAGGGCAATGGCAAGGGCTGAAAGCYAGAGGTAATGATAATCTAACAGGTAGTTTTTTAAGTGGAAGGCAATGAGTTTTAGGCTATTAATGCCCATTTAATCTTCTTTTTCTCTTTTTGTCAAAGTAAGAGGTATCTTTATCCGTTAAATGTCATGAGAATAAGAGGGGAGTGTTAGGCAACTTTGCCTTGCTCTAATCAAAACACCCAATCTGAACAACTTAGAAGAAAAGGTTTATTTTGGCTCATGTTTGCAGAAGCTTAGTCCATGGGTGGAAAGTCCCTTGCTCTGRGCCCAAGGTGAGGCTGAACATCCTGGTGGAAGCACTGCTCCATTCATTCACGGCCATCAGAAAGGAGAGAAGAGACCACAGGGCAGAAGCACCCTTCAGGTCCCCTACACCCATAACCTACCTTTTCTAGCCACACCCAACCTGCTACAGTTATCCCCAGTCAGTCCATTTAAACTAGGATGAACTGATTATGTCACAGCTCTCACCATCCAGTAATTTTGATACCACCAGATATCAGATGAGTCCTGCTTCCTGAAGTGTAACATTAGAGAAGCACGCTGAGGCAAGAATATAAAGTAGGGTTTATTTTAAAAGGGGTAACATAGTCTTCTCCTGGGAGGGAGAAGGGGGCCATAGCTGATATCCTGGTACCCCAAGGAGGAGGGTGTTTTGCCTTTTTATGTCCTAAGCTTCCTTTGTTCTCCTGCCCTTTCCTTTTTCTCTTTCCTGTGTATGGAATAGGCCCAGGAGATGCTCAGGTGGGATGGCCAAAAGGTGAGAAGCAGATGGGCTGGAGGGGCCAAGTTGGAGTGATCTGGGCAGGAAGAAGCATAATGAACAACTCCCTGTAGGGAGGGGCAGTTCTTGGCACAGGTTACCTTAGCAACAGGTTGGAGCAGGGGCAGGTTAACTTGATAAGGGTGAAGGAAAGACTCTGAAGGAATTAACATTTCAATTCTTTCATTCTCTGGATGTGACCCTTACCTATCTGCCTGTCTGGCTTCAATTTCACCTCTGAATATATCTATATTAACACAGGAGCTTCGGTGTGTGGGGGGGGAACACTCATATCCAAAACATATTTGAAGGTTTGAAGACTAATAACTCCCGAAGCTTGAACTAGTCATCATTGAAAAGGATGTGAACCAATAAGGAGTAACTAGAAATACTGCTGACATAAGGGTTCTTTTTGGAGTGGAATTTATGATTTTTATGATTCCCTTTTCTGAATGGAGCAGAAATAACTATCTGACTAACCCATGAATTCTGTAGATAGCAGATTTATGACCTTCAAAATTCAGGCTTCATTTAATAACAATATACAATTTCCTTTAAAATCGTATAAGCTTCTGAAATAAACCCAGAGCTAGTACAGGAATATAATTTTACATTGCACCCCAGATTGCTTGGGTTGCGCTAAACCAAGCAGGATCATAGTCTAATGGTCGTTGGCACATTCCCTGTGTGAGACTCCTGAGCCATGGCGAAGTCACAGATGCCAGGGTTTGGTCAGAAGTCACTAGGAGACTGAGTATCACTTATGATCCCAGTGCTATTTATAGCATATGTTAGCCTCATTTGTATTTTACAAGCACGGATTTATGCTACAGTGTACTTCTCTGTTATTTGTTTATCCATTTCTAATAAGAGAATGTGTACAACCATGGAATACATCAAGATGGAATTCCAGATTTGTAAGCGGCACTGAGAGCTCATTCCTACCTACTGGGTGGAATGGAGCATGGACACAGGATGATGGTGAAACATTCTTAAAACTGACAAGGAGACAGTTTTCATTTTTAAGTAGCCAAAATTTAGAAATTAAGGAAGTCTTATGGTTTTGGGCATTTGTCATAAGACACTGAATACCTTATGGTATACTTTTGTAATTAAAAATTGAATTATATTTTATTTTAACATTTGGCCCATAAGGACATTTGTTTACCCCTTTGGTTCATTATTGCTTGGGTGAGGAAGAGTAAATTTCATCACAGCTAAATAGGATTTTGTAAGAAGCCCAGGAATAGAGTGACACTTTGCATAAGTTAGCATTTCTGAATTTTGGATTCATTCCTTCATTGTACAAATTTAATAGAACGGTAGAATTAGAATAATAGAATTCTAATTTGAATTAGAGTAATAGAATTCTAATGAGAATTAGAATAATGGAATCCTATTATTCTGTTAAATTTGGGGATTGACAGCCCCTAGGTATAAGATTAASATGAATTATTCTATCATCAATAATCGTCAGACACTCAAATATAATTCAGTGCGTTAAATATGTTTGTGAAATCATTTTGTGTGGACATTTGCTATTTTCATCTGAGAAAACATTATGTTTGATTTACATTTTAAAGCATCATTTAAGACTCTTTGCGTAGGGTTTTAAATGAGGCTTTGCCAATTTTCTTCTTTTACATAAATGGTCTAGGTTTCTGTAGATGCTGCCCATGGTTACAGCCCCCGAGCCATCGACATGAGCAATGTTACACTGTCTAGAGACCTGCATGTAAGTATTAAGTGTTTAAAATAGTCTGCAAATTTATTTTTAACAAGACTTTCATGACTTGTTTGAATGTGGTGACCATATAATGGGCCAATATAATTTAAAGCTATTATGTCCCTAATTTTTTTAGTGCTCTAGGAAATGCTGTAGAGGACTCCCTGATGGGTGGTTTTTCCCTTCCAAGGTTTTGCTTACTCATGCTGAACTGTGGTCTGATATGTGAAGTTTCAGAAGCAAAAGATTCATAAGTCTTAAATCTCATTCCATTCTGAGTAGGGTAATGGCATCTCTTGCCATCCTGCTATATCACCTAGGATGTGAATCCTGCCTTTGTCCAACAAATCCACACTGTATTCGCKAGCCACCCTTAATCACTTAATGGCTGCTGGCTATCATATCAGCTGTCTGGTTTTGCACTGCTGTGTTCAAGGAACAGTAGTGATGCAAAGGAAGCATCAGAGTATCAAACATGGAAGGACAGGTTAACTCTGCTACTGCACCTCAACACTGCAGGGCATTGTATACAGAGGATTCTTACAATCTGACGTTTCAGCATTCACTGGGGGTTGCAATGAATTCTCAGGATTAGGGGGACTACTGAAAAACTTTTTCTGGGATATCTCTTTCACACAATATATTTTCCTTAAAGGTAGTATCCATTAAAAATCCTAATATAGCTAGGTATATATGTAAAGAGAATAATTAATAATCCTGTGCTCAAAGGCCACTTTTAATTATTCAGTAAAGAATATATTTTTTTTAGKTTTTTTTTTTTTGTGGTCCAGAGAAATTGGTGGCACTTTGTCTTCTATCCATAGTCATATCTCCTCTRTCACTAAGGATCTGACTTTGAAATGGCTGATTTTAACTGAAGATTAAATGGTCTGTATGATGTAATTATATGGCTATTGTTAGTATTATTCCAAGAGAAATAGGATCTAAATGTAAGATTTATATACTGTTAAATTGTTTGGTTTGCCCTTTTTTATTGCTCCTGTAGGAATATATTAAAATGATGTAATAAGTTGAGTATCAAAAGTGAAAAGAAACTTAGAGGTAATTATATCAAAATCCAAAAGGCCACAAAGTGAACAATGTAGCTTAACCAAGGTSTCTTACAGTTTGAACAGAGAATGGTCTTGAAATCAAATCTCTGTTCATCTGATTTTCTTTCCATTCAGTGTTTAGTAAGGTTTGTTATCTTTTATAGTTATGAAAATTAAAATAAGAATTTGTAAATAAGCATATTTTCTGTGGAAGTCTACAGCTATATTGAAGTTTCATTTTAACAATGTTCCCTTCACCTTCTGAATATAGCCCTCCTTGCTCCAAGGCTTCTCCCCTCTCCCACTCCTTAACAAGATTAGGGAGACAGTGTTATGTTTTCTTCCCCCTAGTTAATTGCTCCTGAACACACCCACTACAGGAAAGAGATGATGGCTGAGGATCTGGGAAGTGAACATCTCCCAAATTAATAAGTGAATCCTAACATGCCATCAGGGTGCCCTGGGGCCCCCTACTAAGGCATACCTGCAATGTGACCCTTAAGAGTTTCTTTAAAACCCCCAGTCCCTCCTGATAGAGTCACAGCCTTTAGGACAGGAGTCCCCTGTGTTTCTTTCTCCTTTGGTAGGAAAGCAATAAACCTTCTTTTTTCCTTTTTCTCAAAACATGTCCTCATTATTAAATTGGCATTGATTGGCATTGGGGACAGAGACTGAGCTTTTAATTACATCATTAGTGAATTATCATAAATATGTGTTTAAGCATCATGCATAACAGTGGCTTCCTATCAGATCTCCTATGCTATTTACATACTATGTAATTTCACAAATCATTAGAATTCTCTGGRATTTCAATTTCAAATGCAAGAGAGTTTTTGATTATCTTTTAAAAGTATTTTGGCATTAATACTCTTTCATTCATTTAGGGCATGCTTTGATATTGCATATTGGAAAGCTAACATTGTGTTTTGCCCAGTAAAGTATAAGTTAGCTCAGAAATGTTTGGTTCATTTCAGGCTATGGCAGAAATGATGGCTGAAAACTACCATAACATATGGGCAAAGAAGAAGAAAATGGAGTTGGAGTCCAAAGGTAGTATTTTCTAAAACCTTCTTTTAAAAACTATGAGGGGTCTGGGATTGTGGCTCAGAGGTAGAGTGCTTGCCTAGCATGTGCGAGGCCCTGGGTTCAGTTCTCAGTATCACATAAAATAAATAAATAAAATAAAGGTATTGTGTCCACCTACAACTAAATAATAATAAAACAAAATACAGCAACTATCAGAGCCATGGTGGGGCATGCCTATAATCTCAGGGGCTCAGGAGGAGGCTAAGGCAGGAGGATCCTGAGTTCAAAGCCAGCCTCAGCAACTTAACAAGGCCCTAAGCAACTCAGCAGCACCCTGTCTCTAAATAAAGTCTATAAAAGGGCTGGGAAGCAGAGGCAGGAGGATCCCGAGTTCAAAGCCAGCTCGGCAAAGACAAGGTTCTAAGTAACTCAGTGAGACCCTGTCTCTWAATAAAATACAAAATAGGGCTGAGGATATAGCTTGGTAGTTAAGTGCCCTTGGGTTCCATCCCTGGTAGCAAAAAAWGGAAAAGAAGAGAAACCAATCAATGAGTTGAAGGGAGTGTGTGATATGGAAGGAAGAACTATTCTATAAGCTTAAGACTTGTCCTGCCCTCATTTTATGGGAATGTTTCATATGCAGCAGTGCCAGATTAAGGATGGAAATTCTGTAATTTCCTGATTACTAGTGTTTAAGAATTTTGATGGCTGTCTTTGACCCATTTTAGCAGAGATTTAGGTAAAATTTAATTAGATCTGCCTCCCTTGCTCCTTCTCCCACCCTTTTTCATTTCCTGTCTTCACCTCTTTCTCTTGTCTAGTCCAGCTGTTACTAGAAAATGCTTATGCTTGCTCTTTTCTCCTTACTTTTTAAATATTAAAGTGATATTCTATTGGTAATTTATGAATTTCTTTTTTTTCAAAAATTTTTAATTTGTTTTAATTAGTTATGCATGGCAGTAGAATGCATTTATGCACTTTGATATACATAGATGGGATATAATTTCCTATTTTTTTTGAGTGTAAATGTTGCAGAATCATATTGATCRTGTAGTCACATATATACATACAGTAATAATGATGTCTGTTTCGTTTTACTATCTTTTCTATCCCCTCCCCTCCCATTACTTCCCTCTACCTAATGTAAGGTAATGCTAATGACTATTCTTGCCTAGAGCTGCCTTATTGTGAATTAGCATCTGCATATTATGGAACACATGTGGCCTTTGATTTTTGTGGGATTGGCTTATTTCGCTTAGCATGGTATTCTCCAACTCCAACCATTTACTGGCAAATGCCACAATTTTACTCTTTCAAGCTGATTAATATTTCATTGAATATATATACCACATTTTCTTTACCCATTCATGTATTGAGGGACACCTAGGTTGGTTCCATAATCTAGCTACTGTGAATTGAGCTGCTATGAACATTGATGTGGTTGYATTACTATAGCATGCTAATTTTAAGTCCTTTAGGTATAAACCAAGGAGTGGAATAGCTGGGTCAAATGGTGGTTTCATTCCCAATTTTCTGAGGAATCTCCATACTGCTTTCCATAGTGGTTGCACCAATTTGCAGTCCCACCAGCAATGTATGAGTGTACCTTTTTCACCACATCCTCACCTACCTTGACCAGCTTGGCCAAACTAGAAGGTTCAGGCAAGGGGTGATGGGAGATTGGAAGAAATAAAGAGTCAACATATGCAGCTCTTGAAGATAAAGCTGGGGTCTGATGGGACACTGCTCTCTGATAGAGAGGCAGGTCTAAAGAATTACACTGGTAATCTTTATTATATATATCTCTAAATCAGATTAAAGATTATGCAAGCATTATTCTTTGATGAAAATTACAGAGTTAGCAACAGTAAGCAGCWGTTTCCTCAGTTACAATCTACAGTTGCAATGTGCCCATTTATTGATTGGGTTATTGTGCAGCTCTCAAGAAATTCCATTGTTTAAAGTTACTAATTTTCGGACAGATTCAGGAGCAGTGGAACTGGTGAAACATTATTGTTATCAAGGCAGCTCATTCCCAGGAGCTGCTGGGCTTGAGATTAAGATTGAGGCTGACAAGACTCTAGCATGGAGGGCATTTCCATAGCAACCAGGCATCCTATGCCTTTGCACAGAAAGTTTCCCAGCCACCAAGTATGCCACAGCCATGAAGTCATCAGGGACCCAGTAGTCTCAGACACTGGTCTCCCACTCCACACCCACCAACATTTATTGTTGCCTGTATTCTTAATGATTGCCATTCTGACAGGAATGAGATGAAATCTTAGGGTAGTTTTGATTTGCATTTCTCTAATTGCTAGAGATGATGAACACTTTTTCATACATTTGTTGATCTGTTGTGTTTCTTCTTCTGTGAAGTGTCTGTTCTTTAGCCCATTTATTGGTTGTTTTTTTTTTTTGGTGTTAAGTTTTTTTTTTAAGTTCTTTATATATCCTAGAGATTAATCCTTTATCAGAGCTGCATGTGGTAAAGATTTTCTCCCAATCTGTAGGCTCTTTCCTCATGTTATTGTTTCCTTTGCTGAGAAGAAGCTTTTTAATTTGAATCTATCCCATTTATTGATTCTTGATTTTACTTCTTGTGCTTTAGGACTCTTATTAAGGAAATCAGATCCTAGGCTGACGTGAGGATTTGGGCCTGTTTTTTTTTTTTCTATTAGGCACAGGGTCTCTGTTCTAGTGACTAAGTCTTTGATCCACTTTGAGGTTATTTTTGTGCATGGTGAGAGATATAGGTTTAATTTCATTTTACTACATATGGATTTCCAGTTTTGTCGGCACCATTTGTTGAATAGGCTATCTTTTCTCCAGTGAATGTTTTTGGCACCCTTATCTAATATGAGATACCTGTATTTATGTGGGCTTGTCTCTGTGTCTTGTGTCCTCTATTCTGTGCCATTGGTCTAAAAGTCTATTTTGGTGCCAATACCATGCCGTATTTGTTACTAGTGCTCTGTAGTATAGTTTAAGATCTAGTATTGTGATGCCTCCTGTTTCACTTTTCTTGCTAAGGATTACTTTGCTTTAGCTATCCTGGGTCTCTTATTTTTTCAAATAACTATCATGATGGCTTTTTCTATTTCTTTGAAAAATGTCATTGGTATTTTGATTGGAATTGCATTAAATCTATATAATGCTTTTGATAGTATAGTCATTTTGACAATATTAATTCTGCCTATCTAGGAGCATGGGAGATCTTTCCATCTTCCGAGGTTTTCTTCAATTTCTTTCTTTAGTGTTCTGTAGTTTTCATTGTAGAGGTCTTTCACTGCTTTTGTTAGATTGATTCCCAGGTATTTTTCTTTGCATAAGATTTTCTTCAGTTGCATGCATCCTACACTGAAGATCCTTCTGTGCCACTTATTTGGTTTTAATCTCTACACATAGTGAATTATGTGTGTGTGAAAATCAGAGACTTTGAAAGAATCAGTGCCAATCCGCAATTTCCCTTCCAAGCACTCGTAATCTCTTTTGTCATCCCTGCATCTGTTGGTAGAAGATGAATCTGCTGTAGAAAGCGCTGTGTAAAAATTCCTGCTTTGCTTGCTCTGGTTATCTGGTCCTCTTTGCTTTCTCAATTCCTTGAGGGATATAGGAACAGTTAGGGGGAAATCAAGTGTCACCAAGAGAACATGCATCAGTAATAGAGAAAAAGGGGTGAAAATTCTCACAAGTATTAMCAGCAAGCCCAAGTCAGTGAACACCACGAAGGGCTAGTGCCCTGCCTCCCTTCTCCCTGTCCCCTCTTCCCTGGCTGAGGCACTGTGTCCTGAGGCCAAGGGCAGCTCTGGGGCCAAGCATTCTGACCCGGAGGACTTCCTGAGCCAGCACTAGCAGGCTCCAGGCAGCAACCTAGGAATTGCGCAGCCACTGTAGACACATGTAACTCTGGGTTTAGATAGCTCCCCTAGGAGCTCCTGCCCGAACCMATGTCATCAGGGGAAAAGGTGAGGGCTGAGGAGCAAGGGAGTTCCCATAGCCACGCTGCTATCAAGAGGTCAACTCGGACTGCAGCTTTGGTCTGTGGCTGACTCTGAGSCGCTCACCTGCCCTGTCAGGGGAGATCTAATAGGTGAGAAGAATTTCAGAGTTAGAGGTACTTTGTGTTCTTGGGATTTTAAAATTACAGTTTTTATTTTTTCATTCTCACTCTTGCTCTCTCTCTCCCCATCTCCCTCAGAGTAACCCTTTGATATTCGACTCCAGAATCCTCGTGGATTACATACTGGGTTGCCAAATATAGTTCCATAGAACCAAATGCAGTAACAGAGTTGGAAATGAGTGGTATTAACTAAGTTGGATGTTTGATGAGATTTTTTTTCTCATAAAGTATCCTGTTATAAATTACATATTTGATTCCAACAGCCAGATTTGGTTTCCAGTGCACTTAGTAACACCTCCCCTATCCTTGACTGTTCACACCATCTTGGTGGCATTGTCTTCTAATGATCATTTTACACCTGATATTGCTATTGCACTATGAAGTAGTGCTGGCTGGTCAGCTGGTTTGCCCTCACCTGGTCTCCTGCAGTTATGCTGGTGCAGCCTCCCCCGATGGCCTTGGGCCTCAATACCAAGCTCTTCAGTTGCTGCCACTTTAATAACTTCTTTACATGGTATCTTTACATATGAAATCAACAGTGTATTTATAATATTTTTATAACTTTGACAAAGTTTAATTTTTTTAAGTTATAATTTTGTCTCCTGATTCTTTTTAAATTTAAATGCTTTCTAGAATTTTTAAATCTAAAGGAACACTCCATTCTTTCTATTTCTCAACAGAATTAGATGTACTCAAAATCTTGACTCTCGCTAGAGGTTATTGGCCAAAGCTTTTTAATCACTCAAGTATTAGATACTTATTATTTATAAATAATGTGACTATAAAATATTTTCTGGGAGTTAGAATGTCTTACATAAGAAATTTTTATTATTTCTCTTTTCTCTGTGGGGCAGAATAATGAAACATAACCATGAATCTTGCCTTTTAATTTTACTAGATCCAGCTGTGTGTGATTTATTGTCTTTTTTCTACTCCACACTTTCAGACTAGTGTTCCTCCTTCCTTGGTGATTGCAGAAGTTATTGGCACTTGATATTACAGAAGCGTGTATGTTCCTGTCTTAAATTCCTGAAAGAGGGCTGTGCAAGTCTTTCTTTGAGCAGGTCTGCTGAGCTGATTGGAATGTTGAGGCAATCAGGGTCCAAGACTAGCAAGCCCACCTGCTGCTGGTGTCAACAGGGGACCTTATCAGCATTCCACAGTGGAGTCCTGTTACCTGCAAGCAGCTGCTCCTCTCAGGTTGTCCTCAGGTTGCTGTGCTGAGCTCCCATCTTGACCTTCTCTTAGGTGGTGGAAACCATCCCCTGCTGGTGCCCTATGATACCCTGACAGCCAAGGAGAAAGCCAAGGATCGAGAGAAGGCACAGGACATCCTGAAGTTCCTGCAGATCAATGGCTATGCTGTATCCAGGTAAAAAAAAGTGCACCTATTCCGTGTTCATTTTGTTCTTTTTGTGAGACCGAGTATTCAAATACCCCATCAGATTTAAAGCTGAAAGTAAATTCAGTGGTCTGCTTAAAGCTTGGGGGTGTTATTTAATATATCCACTACATAAACATGTCAGAATCGTCAACACCCTTAGCTGTTTGTTGGCCACATAACTGAATTCCTTTTGATGCGTATGTTAAGTGGTCATCCATCATGTAGGCAGAATCCTGAGGCAAAATATCACACCCTGTATTCATAAATGCAGCATTTTATTTACATAGTAATGAAGTTACTCACTATGGTTTGAAATCAGATGCAAAGTACTCCTTATAAGTCTCACTTTTGCTTGGAGCTACAAGAATATCAGATAACCCTCAGACTTTATATGCAATTTTTGACCAAAATTTTACCTTCTAAGAAAAAACTGCCTATATTGGTTTCCTTGTTTTCCTTTTGCTGTTGTAGAGGGTTCAAGGACCTGGAACTGGACACACCTTCCATTGAGAAACGATTTGCTTACAGTTTCCTCCAGCAGCTTATTCGCTATGTGGACGAAGCCCATCAGTATATTCTGGAGTTTGGTAGGTTCCAAGGTCCAGATTTTGTTGTTCTTAGTCATTACATCAGGTATAGAAGAGCACAGACTGCAGGCTATCTCCTAGTGCTGATACCGCCCGTTATCAGTGACAGGTTCTGCTTCCTCACCTGTTGAAGTTTGAACAGTAGAGAAGCACGTGCAGACAAGCATATAAAGCAGAGTTGATTTAAAAAGGGGCAACACAGTCTTCTCCTGAGAGGAAGCCAGCCTCCCTCTGTTACTTCATGATCTGCTTCAGCGAGTACTGCTCCATTGAAGTTCTAGCTGTTGATGTCCCTGCTCCCTCTAGTGCCCCTTTCAGCCTAGGTGGTGGAGAGACCCAGGGGGCTGCAGTCTGTCCCCTTTGAAGACAGCTCTTATTCTCTTGTGATCTCCTCTTCACTCTCAGGTTTTGTTCTCAGTGCCTATTCCTTCTGTCTTTTAATGCCTTTTTTGGGACCTATCATTCTCCATTCCTTAGCTACTGATTTTTTCCCCCCAAAATTTAACTTTCGTTTCCAACACAGCATTAGCTTAGTTTATAGAAATCTGAGCTCTGGTATTTGTTGCTCCTGGCCTCCTGCATCCTAAATGTGCTTTAAAATTTCCAGTCCAGCATTGTTCTTATAAAAGAGCTGAACTCTATTTCCACCCACCTCTTCCTTTATAGTTCAGATACTGTATTTTTGCTCTCTTCTTAATTAGTTTTTTATGTGAACCGATAATACAAACCAATTTAAGGTACATAATCTCTCTATAGTTCATACAACTATAATTTTTAAAAATAGGATTCCTGATCCATCCTAACAAGTAGCCAAATTAGTGTGAATTAATGAAATTTAACCCAGCACAAAAATGAGACAGGATTGAGTGTTTGGCGCCTTCACACACAAAGTTTAACACTGCTTCTGGCTTCCATTTAGAAGGTTCTGATGCAGGCAACAAGTCCAAGGTCCAGTATTCTTTCTAGGAAGGCAGGATAGAGGACAGAGAGAAAGAACATAATTTGGAGAAGGGAATGTATATACATTTTATGTATGTATGTGTGTATGTGTATATTTGAAGGGTGGCAATGAGTTTCAATTTTGTTTACACTTACTCATGTTTCTGAATAAGCCTCTTAGCACAATGCTTGTGTATGGAGAGCCTTGAGGATCTTGCTGTAGGCAGAGTCACCGCTGGGTACCCTTCCTTCCCAGGGTGAGGGCCTACACTGGGAACACCTAGGCCTCCAGGAGCCAGCTGTCACAGGGTGTCCTCTACAGTTTCTGATGTTGCATGTCCCTTTTTCCCATGGCTGTGACAGAGCAAATAATGTAGTAAGAACCCACTTAGAGGGGCAGGTGGGGCTGAGGTGGTCAATGCTGCCGTCCATTTTAATTCCCATCTTCCATGGTCACTGTAAGCAGAATGCTGTGTTGTCTTTTCCTCTGTCCTTGACTTAACTGACTTTAAAATAAATTGAGTTTACTCATTCTTAGATCTAACTATGTTGTTAAGAATATTCTTTGCCTTTTTAAATTATACTAGAGGATTCTCTTCAAATTCTTTTTATGTGTAGCACGTAAGCTTTTTTGTTAAAGTGAATAATGAATAGGATTCCTTATTTAATTCCTTGAAATGTTAGCATACTTGGATGTGCACAAAGCTCTACCCTAACATACTTTCTAAGGTTTGAGAAAGTATGTCTTGTTATTTTTATTTCTAATTGCAAAATGACTTTTTCAAGTTGCATAAAATCTGGAAGCTTTGCCTACAAATTCTACTGAAACATACAGGTCTGCTTTTCCAACTCTCCAGTATGTTCTGCATATCATTGTGATTATTGTAGTTTATTATTACCTCATCATTATGCATAAAACCTCTTCTGTATGCGTGAAATTGGTTAGAAAGGCCACTTTCTAAGCTAAATGCAATAGGTCAATCAATTCTTAACCTTGAATCATTTTTTAAACCATGGGGAAAACGTGAGTGTTTTTGCTTCACTGATGGAAATTATCTTTTGACATAGGTCAGAACTCCTTTGTTCTTTACAGAATGCTAATTTTGCAGCCTAATATTGAAATTATTATCCTCCTCCTCATCATAGGTCCTGGCATCCTGTAGATTTTCAGTTGGTATTTTAAAATTGAAGCCTTAACTCTGTCACACTAAGAGGTAGCCATCTTTCTAAGAGACAAGGGGTAAAACACAACCAGCTATGTGCATTCCACATGTCCTCTCCCTGGACCCTCCTTTCTTGAAAACTAGCTAGGATGTAGGATTTTTACTTTATTCCCCAATAAAGGGAATAATGTCAATAATGTCTGAAGGCTACATAAAACGTATTTTTACTCATCACTGTAAACGTGGGCTTACCTCCATATATTTCTTTGTGTGTGCTGGGGATTGAACTCAAGGCCTTATGCATGCGAGGCAAGCACTCTACCAACTGAGCTATACCCTTAGCCCTCTTCCATAGTTTTTAAATTTTAATTTGAGCTTTTATTATAATCCCCTTTTTAAATTGCACTGGTGAAGTTAGTTTTTGCATTTTTGTTGGCTTTTTATATGTAGATTGGTGGGATTCAGCAATGCATTCTGAACTTTTGCATTTGGGGTGAATATCTTGGAATGTTTGAAGTGCAACATGTACCTAAAAAACTCTTCCTATCTACAGATGGTGGCAGCAGAAGCAAAGGAGAACATTTCCCTTATGAACAAGAAATCAAATTCTTTGCCAAAGTACAGTATACAATCCATCTTGTTTTTGCTTCAATATGTGTGTTTATAAAAATACTCATTAGATCGTTGGTGCTTTYCAGAATGTACTTGTCTGTAATTCAATTTCACTGTAAGTAAATATTCTGTGGCACAAAAATAACTGTATGAATCATGTGGGGTGGATTTGCTGCCAGCATCCTTGGTCACACAGACTCGCCCAGATCCCCTGCCACGTTCCTCTGATGAATTGGCGCTGTCAGAAATTTAAGTCAAAATTAATATTTTGGTTTGCTCCTATGACATAGAAGAAAAGTGTCGGTTTATTAACATTTGAATATTATTATGATTTAATATTTTATAGGGATCTTTCTTTTAGAAGGAGGGAAAACATTTACTAATTTGTACATGGGCACAACCCAAGTATCATTATTGTGGGACCTTTGTCCCACTCACTTTACAGATGAGGATGCTTAGGCTCAAAGAGGATACATTGTTCATATACAAATCATATCCCATTATTCTTCATTCTATTTAATAAGAATTGATCAAGGATTTGCTATATTACTGGGACATTCATAACTTCCTTCTAGCCACAGAGGGAAGGAGATGAAGGTTTGAGAAGCTCCCATCCTGAGCTCATTCACTTTCTCAGTACTAACTATGTCCCGGTGTGGGAAGGCAGTAGCTTGGCCTAGGTGCTATTGGGAAGGCCTAGTGCCCTCAGTAGGTGTCCCTGTCTAGGACACCTTGCAATGAGCCTGAAGATCTAACCAATGCTGTCAGTTTTCCTTCAGTGAAATTGCATGCTTTTTTACTTGATATTTGCCTTCCATGATGTTTTCAGAATTGTATGTTTACTGTAAAGATCATTTCTTTTGTTTTTTTTCTTTCCACTCATCAGAGCACTCAGAGTCTGTTCCGGTCACCCCAATTGTCCTGGGGTGCATGTTGCTAATGATAAATAGAAAGATAGATAGATCAGGTGACCCACCATCTCCTGTCTCCACTGGATCATAATCCCCCTTCATAACCAATTACCAAAATGCTGTATTGGTGACTTCTAACACAACCTTAAAATGCATCATTTTTTCCCATTATTTTTGTCTTGTGCCCCTGGTAATTTTAGTTACAGGTGCTTAAATGTAACTTAATTTCTACCAAGTCTATAATTCATTCATTGACCATATTTATTCAGTACTTACTATGTGTCAACCACTCAATTTAATCCATGGCACAACTCTCAAGGAAGATAATGTAAAATGTGTATATTCCTCATATGTAACTGTGATGTACCACATGAAGAGGTATATTTAGATGGGCTTGAGTTTGAATACTGGTTAATTGCAACTGTCATCAATTATATATTTATTTGTTGAACCATGATTTCCCTAGTTCTTGGTATGGGCCCAAAACAGCCCTGTGCACTGGAGAATCTGTGGTAAGCCAAATAGACCAAGTAGCAGTTCTAGAAGCTAAGAGAGGATCACAGTGGGGAAACAGACCCAAAATGTCCCCCACTCTCTTGTACCATGGAGGCTCTTGGGAAGAGAAACTTCAGCACACATATGAAATGCAGAATTGTCGGAGGTGTTAGAAGAGCAGAGAATACAGGGATTGATGCAGTTGGGAGGTCAGCAAAGGCTGATTTGAGAAAGTGCTGCTGAGCTGAGGTCTGCAGGAAGCAGGGGGCAGTGGGAAGAGGACTCCTGACAGGGGTGCCTTGTACAGAGTATGCAGTGTGTGTGGGCACAGTGCCAGTGGGACTGGATGTGTACAGAGATGGCACGGTGGCTTTGGGAAGGGTGAGGACTGGGTAGGCAAGCAGTGGCAGTGTGACGAGCCACTTGCTCATCTTTGTATGCTATTTGTAAGGCAGGGACCAGAGCACCTGCCACCCAGTGCAGTTACCAGTACAGGGGAGGTGGCTGTGTCCACTGCAGACCTCACTCATGGTAGAGACTCAATTTGTGGTCCTCATAATTATTTTTCAGACTTTTGAGCTTTGGATCATATTATATGAAAACACTGAGAATATCTCATTTTGAGAAAAGGTTGAAAATACTGAGGATCATTCCAAACTGTTGAAAACCTGCTCAGTTCCCCATAGTCACATTCCCCTGCATCAACCCCCCCACCCCCAACCCAGGCCTGCATGTGCAAGCTCTTGTACTCAAGAACTAGAGACACAGGGCAGATTAGAGAGTTGTACCCCAGGGGGTGTGTACCTGGGGCCTGTTGGCCTGTGAWCAGAACTCTGACTGCTCTCAAACTTCAGCTCTTGCTCATCCCCCAACAGAGTCCACCACACAGATCTGTTTTCTTTTCCTTTCTTTCAGGTCGTTCTTCCTTTAATTGATCAGTATTTCAAAAACCACCGTTTATACTTCTTATCTGCAGCAAGTCGACCTCTCTGCTCCGGGGGACATGCATCAAACAAAGAGAAGGAGATGGTGACTAGGTAAACAGCCACGCCAGAAAGACTATTGCTTGAGTTCAGTGCATTTGCATTTGGGGCAAGAACTGGGGGACCCTGAGGTGGGACTGTGAGCAGAGTCTCCTTCCTGTCCTGGATCCGAGTCCCATACTAGATGAGGAGAGTTTCTGCAAATTTAGATAAGTGCTATAGATGTTGAGTTTCTGTATATTTTGCTACTAAATGCAATGCTGAATAAGAGGAAAAAACATTGTATGAAACAGAATCCTCAGAAAGAAGGCTGGGCAGGCATTGCCATATTTGTATTTATAAGAAATGATGCTTATAACATTAATTTATTTAATATTTCTACAAATCTATTATTTTTGCTGGCATTTTTTGAGAACAGCAAATCCTACCTACACAAATTTAATTAGAAAAATTTAAAGTAATGGCCAATTTTGAAAAGTAATGAAATAAAAATATCTATTTCCTGAACATTTCCCTTCCTGGCCGGTGTCTTAGAAATGCTTTCTCATTTATGCTTAAAGCATTCATTCTAGATATTTTGTGAGAGTGATTTTGCTCGGTATTTGGGATCTGTTTTTCTCAAAATTCTGCTAGAACTTAGTACACATGAGAATTGGTAAGTAAGCAAGTCCACTTCTATATTATTTCATTGCTCAATCATCAAAACCTTTTATAATATGTGTAACTTTTTTTTTATTGCTGTGAGATACCTGAGGAAAACAACTTAGAGGAGGAAAGGCAGTTTTAGTTATAGTTTCAGGGGTCCATGGTTGACTGGCTCCATTGTTTGAGCCTGAGATGAGGCAGAACAGCATGACAGAAGGGTGTGCAGTAGACAGCAGAAAGATCAGGGAGTGGCAGGGGCTGAGGACAAGATATGCCCCAGGAGCCTAGTTTGGGGACACACCTCCTGCAGTTTTTATCACCTCCCACTAATGTCACATTGGGAACACATCAGTGGATGAACCCACTGATGAGATCAGAGCCTTCAGCGTCCAGTCACTTTCCCAAAGCCCTACCTTTATACATTGCTGTCCTGGAACCAGGCCTTCAGCTTGGAGCCTTAGGGGGACATTTCAGATTCAGACCATATCAGAATGTATTGGAATGAGATTTCTTTAACAGCAAGTAAAGGGTGTAAAGTAGAACACCGGAGGAACTGCGGTTTTCCTGGGCCCTGATGGAAGATGCAGCTAGGAGGGAGGTATTAGCTCTTCTTTTTAGTTAATTTTCCATTTTTAGGACTAATGTAGACAGCCACATGACATAGAATTGTAACAGCATTAGAAACCTCAAACCTCCTCAGATGATAGTTTTCCTGTGAACTGATAAAGCTGTACTGTAAACAACAGGGGGAGTCCATCTCAGTAACAGGTTTTTCCCACATATGGTTCCAGATGGACCACCTCAGCACCCTCTGTAGGATGTGCATGCCCACTCACCCTTCCCGTGGATGTGGCCTTCCAGCCCTAGGAGGGAGAGTGGAGGCCCTGGGCACCCCCTAAGTGCCCTCAGACACTTCTCAGGGCCAGCATCACTGTGGTCTGTGACTGCACACCAGCAACAGGATTCCCAGGGTCACCAAATCCCCAGAGAGCATCCGGAAACCGAGGACACTGCAAGGTTTTCTCCTCCTCCCAGGGACAGTTGCTTTATGTAATAGAAACTTTGTTCCCGGAGGGTGTTGTTAATTTAGACATCACTGAATTATATAAATCAAAAGAAAATATAGTCAGAAAATACACACACATTGATGCAAATTCTGCTTTCTTCCCGTCTTCTCTCATATTTTGTTGCTGCCATTCAGCGTTAGCCTTATTCTCAGAAGTATTCAAGGACCATGAAATACATACATGTCAAAACATCAAGTTGTATACCTTTAACATACACAATTTTTATTTGTCAATTATACCTAAATAAGGCTGAAAAAATTTATAGATCTATACACCAAAAAAAAAAATAATAACTTTTCATTACCAACTCCATTTTCCCCATGGAATGAATCAGATCATTGCTATTCTGTTGTAGCCTCAGGTGATGTAATTTTGAGGCCCTAGACTAACTATAGATTGTTCTGCTCTCTGAGCTCTGCACCAGGATTCTTTAAATTATTTCCTCTTGAGTCTTTCCTCACTTCATAGAAGGAGGGTTGGTGAATTTTACTTCTCTTTTTAACATTTACAAAAAAGGAACGTATGCTATTTAAAATTCTAACACAGAAAAGGATGCCTAATAGAAAGTAATTTGTTTCATGATAATGTGTTAGTTTCACACAAAGGAATTTAACCTCAGAAAAATTCATCAATGAAAAAATGAATACTGTAATGAAAAGTAAATACATGTGTAATGCTCTATAATAATGGCATTACAAAAATTATTTTTATATGGATATCTAATAATAGGAAAATGATTGTGATAAAAAAATGAAATATGTGCTCAAATAGTATTAACCCAATTTAAAAATACTAAACTTATATATGTAGATATCTAGAAAGTACATGGTTTTTTAGAAGTTTATATAATGAAAAAAATTTCATTATACAGATAGGTTTTAAAGCAACCAATAGCAACATTACAATAACAAAACCATCTGAATAATTTATCGAGATTACTTAAATCTATAAATGTATCCTTTCTTTTTTTTTTTTTTTTTGAAAAATTTTTTAACTCATAGATAGACACTATACCTTTATTTGTTTTTATGTGGTGCTGAGGATTGTACCCTGGGCCTCACACATGCTGGGCAAGTGTTCTACTACTGAGCTACACCTCCAGTCCTACATGTCTCCAATCTTACCACTTGAGATAAACATTAAAACTTAAGTGAATTAAATGGGTAATAAAGTCACAAAGATAAAATCTGATAAAGTAGATAAAAAAACTGGCCCTGCTACTGTGTGAATAAACTAGTACACATTTACATACATGATAAGCATTATCGTGACATCTATAGTGTATATTTAACAGTCATGAGTAGTGTATATTTAACAGCCATGTGGGTCTAATTCTCCACAATCCAAAACTTTTTTTTTTTCCGTGCGATGCTTAGATATATACTTCCTCATACTATAAATTATATATTGAGCATTTACTGGATCTAAAATCATCACCATCATGTCTACAAAGAAAAGCAGTGTTGGCCTGTGCCTGTAGGAAGGTGCCCAGCATAGCTATTCTATGAACATGGATGCAGCCTTCCTGGGAGGAAGTGGCCATGCAGTGGGGTTCAGAGTCAGGCTATGTCAGATTGAGCTTGCAGGAGCCAGAGATGGTGGAAGTCATGCCACAAAGCTGGTTTTAAAGATTTTATAGGTCAAAATTAAGAAAGGGGACTATTTTAGAGATATACATAATCATATCAGTAGGTGTAGACTCTGGTGGTTTAGAGGGAAGGTGGATTACATAGATTGGGATAGATATTAACTGCCCAAGTGAGGCAGGGCTAACTGTACAAGGCACCTGGGAAGAGACAGGTCAGGGTACTGGGGGTAGAGGAGCTCTCAGCCATGGGCAGGAGCTACAGAAGAGGCATAGTCTGTGTGTCCTGGCCACGAGCAATGTGGCCAGAAGAAAGAAGGAGTGCAGCACTGTGCCTGTGCTCCTGCTATGGGTGCTCGGCATGTCCCTGGTGTCATCCTCAAAACAACAGATCTTGGAAACAGAGCCAGTTTCCAAGAGCTCTTGTTAGATTTGGCCAACAGCTACTGAAGTAGAGGCAGGTCATTCAGCTGCAAGTGTCCAGCAGGAAATGTGCCTTTGGTGCTTGTGGAGGGATCAGGGCAACAAATGGCATGTGCACATGGAACGCCCAGTGCTGTGGAAGCAGATGATCCTGAAGGAAGGTGGAGAGGGAAGCAAAAAGATTGGATGCCCATACTTGGAGAGGTGCTGCATTTGGAGAATTCCAGAACCTGTCTCTGAAGAACATGGAGCATAATCAATTAGGAAGTGAAAAAACCTGCTATAAAACAAAATCCAAAGGGGCAAGAGTTTCAAAGATGTAAGTGTTCAGCAGTGCCAGGTACTGCAGAGAGCACTCCAAGAAGGCGAGTGAGAAAAGGTCGTTGGAGTTGTTGCTGAGGGCCACTGATGAGCCCCAGGGAATGCTGGAGTAAGGCAGGAGCAAGTGCTGACACAGCATTCCGAAGGACGAGGCAGCCATAGGAAGAGGAAATGGGACGGCGCCATCAGAAGGACTTTTAGAGAAAGTTCAGGCTGAAATTTATCATCATCAAATCTCATAGGCTGTCCAGCAGCTCTGGCCTGGGTGGAGGGTACAAGAGGGAAACGAGATGTAACTCATCTCTCTGAGGGGCCAGGTGATTAGGAGGCAGCAGACATTGTGAAGAATATTTTCTCTGACAGATTCTCAGCCACTAAATAGAACCCAGTGGATCAGATGCTGAGTCGTTGATTCCATTAGAAAAAGCGTCCTAATTGGGTTAAAACCTAATCCTAGCACTATGAACCCCACATCACCAAGAACCCCTCAGAATGTCTTACTTTGAACCAGAGGCTTCAGCCAAAGACATCACCTAAAATGGATTGGAATACGGGGATCCAGGGTGAACTGTTCTAAAGGCGATTGCTCTTTTTAAAGACAGACCCTGGTTGACTCACATGCACAGACGTCATCTGTGAAGCATGGTAGATGGATGAGGCTCCTGGACAGAGTTGTTCTCATTTTATTGTCTTTATTTTTAGCTTACAGAAGAAAATTACAGTATAGAAATGCAGACCAAAGGTCTAATATGTAATTATCTAATAACTACTCTAATAGATCATTATTTTTCCAATTTTTGGTCTGTTATTTCCCCAAACTCTCAGCTTCACTCAGACACTTATAGATGAACATTTTTTTGGAAAAAGCTATAAGATGCCCTCTTTAATTAATTTTCATCAGTAAATTAGTCCACATTGATACTGCAGTGAGGTACGATGACTGGAGTTTACTATTAACGTAGTCGCCCTCTCAAGCATGACCATCTCTTCCCTCTCTCCCCCTCTTGCCATGGATCATTTGCCATTGTTTTCCTTCTTGGCTGGTCTGCAGCCCTAATCCAGGTGCTTTGTATGTTTGGRTGTTGCTGGTGGCAGGAGAGCTTTCCAGAGCAGCATGGCCCATGAGAATCTATTCTTGGAAAAATCTGGCAGAGTGTGGGTGGGTTATTCCAGGTTGTAGGCAGTGCTGGTGGGGCAAGCCTCTTCTCCCCAGGAGCTCAGAGAGTGTGGGTGGGTGTGGGGAAAACACTAGTTGTAATCTTCAAGGTTCAATCCTAGGGCAGCGATCAGCAAATGGAACTGGGAGCAGCTGGGACAACCTCGACCTCTTTTGGCTTAGGTTGGGAGTGGTAATGGGGCACTAGGTGTCAGGAAAGACTTTTGTAGTGGACAGGATCTGAGCTGATCCTGAGTGATGGATAGAAGTTCACAGAGCATGAGGTGCATGAAGGGTGTTCCTAAAGGGAGACCTGCAGGAGCCCATTGGACTGAGGCTCAGTGAAGAGACCAGGCCGCAGACTCTCCCAGGGTGTGGGGTCTGATCCAAGAGGCAGTGGGCACCAGGGTCATTACACCAAATGCAGCAATCAGTATTTAGAATCTCCTGCCTCTCATGGCATGCAGGGCTTCCTAGGGGCCTGCTTGGAGATGAGAAGTGCACAACTCATTCACTGGCACTAAGAGTTCTCTCAGTTATCACGTCTGATCTCCTCTGAGTGATTAGCATTCTTCAAGTTCTCTTTCTAAATTTACTGGATATTTGGTCTATGTCAAGGATGGGAAAGAAGGGCATTTCAAGTAATAAAGCTTACTAAAGTTTAAAGAAGCATTTACCAAAGCACCACATTTCTTCTGTTAAACAAAGACCATAATAAAAAGAAATCTAGAAATACAGTGGTGCAGTTGGGAAGATAAAACTGAATTTTTCTTTTTGGATTTTCAGCAGTTATATTTGTGTGGGTTCATATAGATTGCTTTTATATTAATTAGCTTTGCTTTCAATTTTTTTTTTTTGTTTCTTATACTATGTGCTTTTTAACCATGTTTGTTGAAGGTATGCACTCAAAGACTCTTTCTTTAATCCCTTTACTCCACATTCTGCTCAGATAATTGATTCTTTCTGCGTGACATCATGTTGCTTTTTTTCCGGCTCATATCAGCTGTTTTTTTTTTCTTTCTTTCTTTTTTTTTTTTTAATTTTCCCTTGTCTTTTCTACCTTCCCTCCCCCCTTCCCTTTTCTCTTTTGTTTTTCTTTTGTCTTCAGCCTATTCTGCAAACTTGGAGTTCTTGTCAGGCATAGGATTTCACTATTTGGTAAGGAGACCCTTGAAAACCTATGAGCATGGCCACCACTTGGTTTTCTTTGCCATTCCTGCACTGTGTTGTGTGCTGCAAGGTTGCATGGATGCACGTTTGCATGGCTGCATGCATGGTTGTAGGCCAAGACAAGGTCCTCAGGGTTGTTTATAAGCAGTGTTATCTTTGGTGAAATGGAAGACTGTCTTTTTTTTTTTTTTTACATCAGTCCCAAGCATAATTGCAAATGCAAAGGGTCTATTATTAAAGAGCAAAGGAATGAAAATGGCAAGTTCTACCATGTTTTATTGGAGGGCTAAAGTAAAACTGGCCCTGAGTTTTTGTTTGGTAATCTTTGCTATGTTATTTAATGCTGTTACAAATCAAAACTTTACACCGCACTTATGTTCTCAATGCTTTTGACCACAGATTTGCATGTCCTCCACTCCAAACTTTGGAGCTCTGTAGTCCAGAAGATGGAGCCAAGGAGCTTCCCTTGCCAAAAGTGGCTTTTCTAGCACCACTCACCCTAGACTCAGTTTCGGTTTGTGTTGAAAATTCATATAGCTGAAGTTCATGCTCCTGGGCACTTGCTTCTGGACAGCCATGCAGGGTGGGCACTTACTTTCTGTGGATTTTTCCATGCAGTGGGACCTTAGGATTCTATAACCGCTGGCAGAACTCACATTGTATACATCCTTGCCTAATTTTATCAGCTGCCCAAATGTGAGCCCTTCACTCTACAGGGTTTGAGATAGCATTGAATGATTTTAGCAACTAGACATATAACGATGTGTTGTATACATTTTCTAAGTTCAACACATGAAAATCTAAGGATATAAAAAAGGGTAACCATTTTTACAAAATCCACAGTGAATAAACTGAAATTGGATGCATGCACGTGCGTGAGCGGCGCGCACACACACACACACAGTTTACATTCTTTTTTTGTTCTTTTTATATATACATGTCAGAGTGTATTTTGACATGTGTACATGGAGTATAACTTTACATTCTTTATAATTTTTGAGAAATGATAGCTTTTTGGTTTAATTAATGTCGTACTACTGGACTTGTAGAATTTACAATATTTGGTAGTTAATAATTAAAATGTAAATTTCATATAAATTGCCTGAATTTTCATTATTATTTCAGTTATCTAAAATAAATGGGGCAAGTGTCTTCAGATCAATTTCCAGTTGACTGACTTGTGTTTAATTTCTCCTTAACAGATAACAATTTTTATGAAAATTATTCAAACAGGGTTCCTGTACTCGTAGCATTCTCAAAGTAACAGAGGGTTCAGATATTGATTTGCCCTTGAGTGTGCTATGAGGTTTCACATGGCTGTGATGGGAGCTTATTTGCAGGTGCTTTTTTTGCACTTATCAATAAGCATAATAATACTCTGCAATGCTAATTCTAACTTCCTACATACTACATATTCTTATTTTTCTGTTATAGCTCATTATTTTTTTTTTTATTTTAAGGAAACTTTCTTGAGGTATTCCATACATACAGTCATGTTCACAAATATTAAGGACAGTTTAATGAAATTTTATGGCTTTCCTATATCCTATATGGATTACCCATATCCATTTATTTGGTAATTTCTCAGATCAGGACAGAACATTTCCAACATCTCAGAAGCCCCCCTTGTACCATTTTCTAAATTATAATCATCTATAAAGGAACCAAGCATAGCCTTGTATTACATTAGGTTAACTTTATCTGTCCTGAAACATCCATTTTTCATTTTGACTAAATCATCCAAGGGTTTGATGGATAAGATAGATGGATAATTTCGTTTGTTTTTTCTGTTGGGAGAAGACCTGTACTTTGTGTTGTAAATCCCCTAACCTTTGAATGCCATTACTTTCATTTTTTAACAGGAACTTATTAGAGACCTCTCATGTGATTTTACAGAATTTTATGCATTCTTTATATTATTAATGTAGGTATTATTGCTTCCAATATGTTTTGGCATTATTTTTAAGTACATAAAGTTCAAGAGACCTTTATTAATCAAACATACCCAAACAGAGACTTGCCCAATTTATAGGATTTTTAAGCCTGCAGCCTGTAACTCTACATATTACAGCTATAGTCTAGCTTTACAAAATATGATGTCATAGAGGGAACAATGGGCTTTGAATAAAAAAATAAACTGGATATAAGTTCTATCTTTGTAAGCTATCCATCTGAATGATTTAGAAAAGGAACTTAAATTTCTAAACATTTGCTTTTTCATTTTCCTCATGAGTTAAAACTACTTCTAGTCTTAGATAACGATTATGTGCATCAAATCTGAGATAATATTGAAGTGCTATATGAATTATAACCTTTCAGCTTTCACCTGTAATGTTTCCAAATTGATTAGATTTTATTTAAATCTCTTTATTAGATCTTATTTAAATAAAYTGAATTATGTACAAGCCATACTAGGCAACTTGGCCATTCAAACTACATGTATAATGACACACTTAAAATCTTGCCGTCTCCAGAATGATTCAGAAGTTGTGTAATCCAGGTGCTTGCTTTCTGATTTTCCAGTTGTGCATTGTGGGGGTCTTCCTGAGGACCCAGCAGACAGGTGCAGTGGTGATCTGTATAACCAGGTTGGATTACTCTGATTTATTCCCTTCATCATACCTTTATGCTCTACATTTCCTGCATTCTGGCAGGAAATAAACTGATTTCTAAAATGTATCTCCTGTACTGTCTTAATTAAGGGGAAATTTCATGACAGAACTTAATTGACCCAATTGAAAGTCAAGTTAACAAAGAAATAGTTTGGTGAGAATGAGCAAAGGTGAAAGTGTAGAAAAGTCCACATTAATCTTAAGTACATCAGGAACTGGGGGCCAGAGAGGAGCATTAGGATAAACGAAGACTGGTGCCTTCTGGTGGTAGCCTTGATGAGCAGAATCTGTCAGGCAGTGAATATTTACTCCAAGTTGGCCCCACATTGTTCCTACACCCCAAACATCATCTGTAGTTGAAAGGTTTTTCTTTCATCTGAAGGATTACCAGATCCATCTGGACTCCATGTTTGTGTATATCTTTTCTGTACTTTAGAATAGTTCCCAAGCATTGAAGCACCCAATCTAAGAACAAAAAGATCAGTAGTGCTCTCAGGCCTCATCTCTTCTTTTGGAGGCTTTGAAATCACTTTATTTTATATTGGGGAAAGGTAATTTCTTAAAAAGAGGGGACAAACTGTGTTACACGTAGGTTTCTGGTGAATCAAACAATGTTTTAGAAGGGGAAGAAAGAAAATATCATGATGTTTAAATACAGGCATTCAGTTGAATTCTGAAATGCTTGCTGATGACTGTAAGTTGGAGCATAGATAAGTTTTGGAAATTTGGGATGTGAACGGCACTCAGGTTGATTAGTGATAAGGATCCCATTTGCCATTCTCAAGGACCCAGTGTTGACTGGAGAAATATGACTCTTTCCTTTCTCTCCACTTTTGCTAAGTGGAAATTCTGCCTACTGATTTCCAGGCAGTTGGAAGGTGCACGTACCTTCAGCCATCTTTAGAGGCAGCAGAACACAGTAGCTATGACTGCAGCAATGCCAGTGACAGTGGCACAAGWTGTGCCTATCAGGTCTCCTTAAGGGCTGTATTTTGATACCCAAAGATAAATCTAATGCCTTAAATGCATTTGTTCAATAAACACCATGTGTCTACAGTRCACAGGACATTCTCTTGGGATGTGAGCAGAGAGAAATGTGGTTTTCTGTTTCTCTCCAGTGCTCCACTGAGGCCAGTCTACAAACACCTGTCACTTTTAGTTCCTGGTCCACAGTAGCTTCTCTCTGAATGCCCACTGGCCTCTTTGTGCTCCATAGTCTTACCTTCCCAATGTCTCTTGTCACACTCCTGCATATTGTAGGTTTCTATTTCTTTGGACAGAGATCCTTCTCCTTCACCTGTACCCACTCCACCCTGGCTTCCTGGTGGACCTCTTTCTCCATAATTTCCCAGACCCTTGCTCACTTCCTTGCTCACTCTGTGCTTCTGTTCTGCAGGCCTTCTCCCTTGCTCTCTACTGTGTCTGTGTTGTGTTTCTTTCTGCCCAGGGCCTGCTCGTGCCGTAATGAGCATCTGCCSTGTGATCCCTGCACATACCATTTGTCCTCTGAAGTCCTTGCACTCGGAATGGAGTGAACTCCACATCCTTCAGACTCGGGTGCTGAAGGATGTTACTCTCTGGAAGTCCTTCCCTGGCTGCCTCCTGCTCTAACGCTGTCCTGCTCCATGCACCTTTGCTTCATCTTGCTGATGGTCAGCTTGCTGAACTAACCTCACTGGCACAGGACCCTCCACTCTGCAGGGGCTCACAGTGTCTCCTCAGGGCATGGCAGGCAGTGTGGTTTGCATAGGGACCTTTTCAATAGCTGAGGACTGAGAGAATGAGCCATCTAGATCCTGCCATCCTCCAACAGAGAAGGAAGAAAAAACAGGCACAAAAATAGAGGCTGTGAATCTGCAAGTGTTCTTAATTCACAAATAACCCAAGTTGAGTTATTTTTTTTCTTGAGAGGTTATTAAGGAAAACGTAGTATCCAATTATTCTATAATATATGAGGATCATAGTTTTAAAATTTATTATTCCTTTAAGAGGTCCATGAGAATGCCTACGGCACTTACAGTGAAAAGGAAATGGCGTATGATTAATGACCCTCCAGATGACAATATCATTGAATTCCAGCAACAATTATCATTTCAATTCAAGGACCTAAGAAAGCCAGCACAAAATATTTATCATGTATGGACCCTTTCCATTTTCCAGTTTTCTGGTGATTTTCCATATTGCTGAATCCTCCAGATTCCGCAGGGTCCATGAAGAGTTTTTGAATCTCCAACACAGGGACCTCCAGCTTTGCCCCAAAGCTACATTTTGAATGTAGTCATGATCACTTTAGAATTTCTTGGTTTGACCTCACAGTGACCCTAGAACTTAGTGCATGACATCATCAATGCACCCTAAAGTGCCACAAGTGTTCAACAAGATACATATATGGTTAAGATGAAGCAGGACTATTATTACATTTTTTTCTCCCCAGGCAAGTTCCTGATTTAACTAGTGCATCTTAATCTTACCATGATGTTTGGAAAAATTTTAAAAGTAAATACTAAGTAAAGTAAAACAGTGAATTCTTTCAACAGCTACCTCCCCTGATCCATACATTAGTGGATTGGGTTTTCCATGACAGTTCTGATGCTTCTTCCCTGCAGATGTTTAAATGGTGACTGCCATCCCATGTCAGAGATATTAGGGAAGTAGTCTATGTTTATAGTGTCCCTAGTGATGTGCAGACTGTGCCTGTTTGTTTGGTAGAAAAGCAAAGTCACTTGAAGTAATGAGAATCTCTGAGGATTAGTGCCTATCTGAGAATTAAATGTGCCTTGACTTTGAGCATTTAATGGTTCAGTTTTACTCTTCCATATATCACAGATTCCAGAAGTGATGGTCATTGACAGTCTCCAATTTCTCTCTATCCCCTCATAATTTTGATTGAAATTTATATCTGCTAGCATAATTTTATTCCACATTATTAACAAGGGTTCTGCCAAGATAATTCATTCCTTCAAAGAAGAGAATATAATCAGACACCATTTGAAGAGCTATGTTGGAAAAATAGAGACAAATAATTAGACCAACTTCAATGCTCTTTTCAGGGGGAGAAAAGGCAGCGTTGTGAGGATCCTCTTATATCAGATGACGAGACAGAAGTGGTTCATGGTAGTTGAACTTGAAACAGCTTGATCTGAGAACTCCTCAGTTACAGATACTTATATCAAAAATAAAATACAATTTGAGATTTAAACACTGCTTATTTATATTGGATATTTGTCATTTTCATCATTTAGTGAGCTCTGTTACGAGCGCAGTTATGTTGTTTCAGACCCAGTGTTGTCTCTTGTCACTAGAATCAGACCTAATTTTAATTATGTACATATGTGCCCACACACATTTATACATATATCTTTGTATACATAACACAGTCTTAAAAACATATGGACAAAACTTAAAAACTTTTTTTCTTTTTCTTTTTTTTTTTTTTTTTTTTTTACCACTCAGCAATTAGGCAATTACCTGAGCGTAAATGCATGGAAACCCAGCCACCCCTCCCTGCTCACTACACTGCTCAAGCTTATGTGAACGGGGTTTTAACACGTGCTGGGCACTTGATCTTATGGAAAGGACACTGCTAAACTCAGCACAGAGCACAAACAGTGACCATCTATAATAACCAACAGTAGATCAGAGAGGATGGGACAGAGAGAGCTGTGTGTTTTAGGAAGAGAGAGGGGGGCAGTTGCATAGGCTAGTACACAGCTTTGTCCCCTTCCTGCTCGGGGCCCTCCTCTCTTACTTTTCATACTACGTCTTTCTTACCTTCTATCCTCTCAACCCCGGGAGGCCTGGGACCTTTTTCCTTCTAGACTTGGCTGGTGAATTTCACTCAGTTTTCAAGTTACCTGTTTCTGATGTCCAGATGTGTAGCTCCAGCTGGGTCTCTTCCTTGAATTGCAGTTTCTTATCAACTGCCCATTCTGGGGCTCCTGCTGAGTAACTATACTTTATATATCTCAAGCAGGGAGCTTGCACCCCACTCTGCTTTCCCCTCTCCTGTCTCCAGGGCATTATATGGAACTACCATTCCCCCAGTCGTTCAAGAAAAAGCCTGGGCATTATCCCTAACTCCCTTCCCTCTCAGGTCACATTCAATCCATAAGCAAGTCCTTGCAATCAGTCCTTAAAGTCTTCACCATTAATACCCAGATTCAAGTTCATTGCCACAGAAACTGACTGAGCTCCTGCAGTAGTTCCCTGACTTCCACTCTTGTTCTTCCAGAGCTGCATATGCTGCATCTCTGGAAAATATAAATCCTATTAGCTCAGGTCTTGCTCAAAACCTAACAGTGTCTACCTGTTGCACCTTTCAAAGACCCCTGTGGATGCAAGGTTCCAGGCCTTCCCAGCTCTCCACCTTACACCCGCTCYGGCCACTCTGATATCCTTGCACGTGCTGTTCCTATGCCTAGGGCCTCCTCCTGTGTGGCTTATCCCSTCCTATCATTGACGTCACTGCTCAAGTGCTACCTTGAAGAAGGGTTCAGTTACTCTAATCTGTATTCCCTGAAATTATATATATACACACASAAACACTCCCCTAACCATACATATATACACACTTAAGTATATAGATATGTATACACATATTTTGTGACTTAATTTAGATTACATATATACATACCTAAATATATACTTCTTGTACTGATGAAGACATATACATATATACACATGTTGTGACTTGATTGGGATTTTATATATATATATATACACACAAGCATACAACCATATATATACATATAGACATATACACACATGTATTTTGTGATTTGATATTATGTTACATGCTAATTTTTAGCTTAGTGGTTCATTATCTATACTCCAACTAAATCCAAGATGATAAGAATTGTATTTTGTTTATTAGTTTAAGAGTATCTGGTATTTAATGTTTGTTGAAATAGTTAAGGGCTGTAGTAGAAGTCTTAGGTTTGGCATCTGCCARTACAAAGAGAGATAACAAATTTTGCCTTTCTGCTCATTTTTCTTCATTAGTATAAAAATTCTGAAATTTGAAGCACAGAGTAAATGAGACATTTTCTTAAACTCAGAGTCTCAGTAATAAATACTTTATTCTTTTCATATATTCATCATGCCACTAAATCATATCACTAAACTGGCTTACTCTTATTTTGAATCATTATTAATTTCCATGTGTATTTGCATGATTTATTTTAGGATGCTTTTTGTACAAAGGATATGACTCATCAAATGTTATAAAAAATTAAAATAGGAGTTGTCACCCTCAGGACCCAGGAGATGAGAGAGAGAGAGAGAGTGTGTGTGTGTGTGTGTGTGTGTGTGTGTGTGTAAGAAATGAAAGTATAGGAGGAACTAACGATGTCAACTATATTTTAGTGATCAAATTACTATGTTACTTTGGATTCATTGTTTTATTTATTTACTTCTTAGTATACCTGCCACAAAGCAAAATATATGCAGTGTTTGTATCACTACTACTAGTTCTGTTAATCCTGATAAAATAGTCAGTATATGGGATTCTCCCATTACTTACAGGAAGAATCTGTCCCGTTTCAAATATCTTACAGGAATATTGCTTAATTTTTTCGACTTCTGATATTGTTTATGCAATGGTTTGGTGCTTCCTTTTTGCCAAAGACCAACAAAATTCAAACAAATTCATCTTCTGTCAAATTCAGACATATTAATGCTTCTTAAAGCAGTTGAATGAAATAAGAAAGCAGAGACACCTGGGTCATTAAAACAGAATTAAAATATTAGACTTTTAGCCCATTTCATTTCATAAAGGGTATGAGCTAACTTTTAAAGTTCACATACAATATGACTTAAAAATAAAATGAGCTAGCATGGGGAGGGAAGATTGTGGAAGAATTCAGTTGGAAACCCTTTCAGCTTTGTGCAGTGCTTTGAATGCTTCTGAGCATGTCAGCTATTTCATGAGACATGCTTTATTGCTTTCCTACTTACATTTGCATAACCACTTTTAAGCAGAAAAACTGCATGATTTTAAACTTGATTATTAAAATCTTCAGTTGAATTTTATTAGTGAGTTGTGCTGTTGACTAATTTTTGCAGTACAAACATTGATAGCAAGTCAGGAAGTTCTCAGGGCAGTTCATACAGTGTCTTGTTTCCCCTTTAGGAAATGATGCAACGTCTATCGTCAACTGTCTCCATATTTTGGGTCAGACTTTGGATGCAAGGTAAATGGATACACTTTTGTCTGAATGAATCTATGTAATAATTATATATAAAAATGTTAAAAGGACCCAGGGTCTTGATTTTATTCTTTGGAATTATAATAAAGACTTAGATAAAGAGAAAGCTTTTTGTAAATTACTAATAGTAGTAGTTTATGACTTTACTCAGGTTATTTAAATTTCCAGTAATTTTTGTAGCAGCTGAGATTGTAACTGAAGGTCAACCTGGGAATGTAATGTGAGGGAAAAATGGTGAACTTGTGGATTTAGAGGCCTCTGAGTCTCCAGACATGGTACTTGTGTTTAATGTTCATAACAACATTTGGCTTTATAGAAAACAGGACAGTTTTATTTTCTATTTGTAAATGAGTAAAGTTGTGCTAAAGATTGCACAGTAAGCACGTGGGTAGACAAACTCCCACATTTGAGTGCTTTCTATTTTGCTCTTATGTCAACTTGACTGAAATCCAGCATGTGAACAAAATGTAGCACCCCTTATTTAGCATGATTGAGCTTGCTGCTAAACCATGCATGTAGTTCATACAGTCTGCCAGGTAAATCTAAATAAAATTTTTAAATATCAACTGCAGAAAACATTCCATAGTATCCTTTGCTGATCCATTCCCATGTTTCAGGTTTTACTTGAGGTGTTTTCTGTAATAAATAAAGAAAACAGACACTCTTTTGTACCTCCACTTCCTACTAAAAATGGTGCCATTAGGGTGTTACCTCTGTAGCAAGGTCAGCCTTCACTGTCCTAGAGAAGATTTCAATGCTACCCCTGAAAGCACAAGATATTTATGGTAGATGACTTAGCTAGCTTTAAGGTTTCTTCCATACTCAGTGCCTCAGGATGTGTTCTCCTTTGGTTGGATTTGGGATGAACTACCTGGCTCAGAAGCTTCATTGTGTTAGTTACAAAACCGCCGTTTCAGTGTTGAGACCACTGATGGAACACGTCAAGCTTAGCAAAGCCTTTTGCTCTGAGGTCCTTCATGAAGCTGATGATGAAGCCAGTTCTCTGAGCAATGTTCCTGTCACTTTAGGAATACTGAAAAAACATTTTGGAGTTGATTTAAAAAGTTGGGTTGATAGGTGGATGCCTTAATGAAGAAGTTGGGCTGCGTTGGCTGCTGTGGGCCCGTGCAAGTCCCCTTTTGATTCCCTAGGACTGTGATGAAGACCGGTCTAGAGGATGTGAAGAGYGCGCTCAGGGCCTTCCTGGACAATGCTGCGGAAGATCTAGAGAAGACCATGGAAAATCTGAAGCAGGGCCAGTTCACCCACACCCGGAACCAGCCCAAAGGGGTTACACAGATTATCAATTACACCACGGTGGCACTCTTGCCCATGCTGTCGTCATTATTTGAACACATTGGCCAGCATCAATTTGGAGAAGATCTAATATGTATGTATATCTGTCTATTACTTAGAGTTTCACTTTTGAAAAAATATAGTCAGAAATTATAAAAGACATATCTGGGTCATTCAAACACTGTTTATACATTAAATGTTTTTTTTGTTTTGTTTTGCAAATCATTATAGGAATTATAGGAACCATTTTTTGAATTATAGGAGCCATTTTTATAGTGGTAGATCTCTGGATCATATGGGCTTGCAGAGAGGACCAATATAGTATTGGTTAGGGACAGTARTGTCCACATTGTTGAAACACAAGGTTCCAAATTCTGTTTCTGTCTTGCCTCTCTTCATGTTAATTTTCTAGTGCAGTTGGACCATATGACATGCCACATTAATCACTTTTGAATTGGTTCTGTGTAGACATGGAGTATTGCCACAGGCTGCAACAACCAACACACGTGAAGCTACCGAAACCAAGCCTGTCTAAATTATTACAGCACTAAGGGAACTCAACTTTGATTTTTAGGTTTTGGTCAGTGTTCATGAGGGATTTAATCAACTGGTTTTGACTATAATTTGTAGTTTAAAAAAATTCACAGAATTCTCAAGAGTAAGTGGAAAAAATAGCATGTGAGCTGGCCTAACTTCCTGCTCTGATGCTGTGAACATGGGACAAGAGGGAACCCCGAGGAGCACAGCCACCTGTGCCTACTCTCCCGTGGAGCTTCCTCAGGCCATGGACAATGTTGTGTAAAAACCAATTATTCAGGGGGCTTCTGCAGGGACCTGCTACATAATCTTGATCTTAACCAGTAGGACACTGTTGGCAGAACAGTGTTCCTGGGCAGGCAGCCCTAAGACAGGGCTTGAATCTTCAGGCTTCGTTGTACCCACAGGGAACAGTAACAGGATCTGAACTAGGAAGTCACAGTTCTTAGACTCCTTTGCCTTTTAAATTTGTCTTATGGGATAATAGATCATCTATAAGGTTTCTTTTGCTTTTCTAGCATTAGAAAGTATCAGAGTGACACACTTATGCCTTAAATATCAAGTAATTTGGGAAATAACAGTTTCCTCCAATATTCTCCTTGTCAGTCATTTAAGAGCATGGTAAAAGATACAGATTTTATGTACTTTTGAAACAAGTCTCAAATTCTACCTATATCCCCTGTCCTTCCAGATATTCTTGGGGTTAATTTTATTCTTAGAGAAATTCTTTATTCTTATACCCAGAGAAAAATTACAAATTGCTTCTGAGAATATTCTGGGTAATTGCATTATGTTCTTGAGAATATTTTCAGTTCCCTTAAACAAAACAAACAAACAAAAAACCAAGAACTTTGAGAAAAAAAGTTTTATCTTTCATTTTTATAAATCTGTTCTTATTTTGTTCTTCCAAATGTTAAAAAATATTAGAACGTATTAAATAAGGATTTTAGCCCGAAGTTTCTCAGGACAAAGTGTAAATGTTTTGTTGTTTTGTTGTTAAAGTGTGATTCTCTTTTCCCTTAGTGGAAGATGTGCAGGTGTCTTGTTATAGAATTCTAACTAGCTTATATGCTCTGGGAACCAGCAAGAGTATTTATGTGGAAAGGTAAGAATTTAAGAATTTTAAAGTTTAACTTTTTAGTAACAGCTGTTTGATTTTAGGATGTTTCATTTTATAACTTTTTCCTTTCTTATGCACTTGACCAGACTATCCTAAATTCCTTGAGAGTTATCAGACAAACTTTAAGCTAAATAAGAATTGATCTAATAAAGGACAGTGGAGTTAGGCAAAAAAGTAAAGCAATAATGGCAAAGACCTTTCTTAACATAAAGTTTAAACAGAGTGCTTCTGAGGCTTATGTGAGAATCTGCTAGTGCACTTTCTCACTGCGTATCAGAAATACAGAGTGACCTGAATATAGGCAGTTTATAAAACCAGTTTTATTTTTGTATGTTCTCAAGTTTCCAGAGGAAGTTGTTTAACATTGTCAAATGCTGACAGGTAAAGTAAGAACTGAATTYAAACTTTGGTAAGAGGGCTGGGGCTGTGGCTTAGCGGTAGAGCGCTCGCCTAGCACGTGCGAGGCCCTGGGTTTGATCCTCAGCACCACATAAAAATAAATAAAAAAAATAAAGGTATTGATGACTACAGCTAAAAAATAAATATTAAAAAACAAACAAACAAACAAAAAACACTTTGGTAAGAAATGTCCTTGGACTAGAGAAGAATAACAGAGTAGGCTAAGACATCGTGATAGGCTTAAAACTGAATGATGTAAAGCCTCCCCAAATTAATATTTTTTTATTAGTTATAAGCTTAAAAGTCACTTTCTAACAGATGCATCTTGATTCCCTGGTTCTCCACACTGTGGGCATACTCAGAGGGCAGATTACAACCAGCCAGTATTACATTACCAGTTTACATGTTAGTTCTTGTTTTCCCTATCAGATAGCAAGATCTGTGGTGTTAGCTGACAGTTTCGTTCACTGCTACGTCCCAGCATCTGGGTAGCTGGCACTTGGTCAATATTGAATGAGAGAACACAGGCTTGAAACACTAAAGCTAAACTGGGAGCAGGAAACAACTAGAATAGATAGTTGCATTTTTACCTGCTACAAGGAGAGTGCAAACTTTTTAAATCATAAAACTAAGGAGAGAGACCTTATATGAAATAATTGATAGACTTGATTCTGTAAAATGTCAAAATTCCCATGTCATAAGGAACTCTTGGTGCATTGTGTTTTATAAATGAGAATGATAAAGGCAAAAACAATGTTAAAAAGTATAAAAACAGGAGAGATAACAGGCATGAGGTTAACCATTTAATAAAAGTGTTATTACAAATCAGCAGGAGAAACACATCAGGAGAAAAGGCAGTTTGCACACCTGAACACAAGTGGCAAATGAAATGTGAACAAGAGTGAGCAGCTGGTAATGAGGGGGAGGACTTGAGAATAAAAATGGGATCCTGTATYATAACTGCTATATTTGTAAACAGAAGAAAAAGATAGTTGGAAATGAGATTTATAATCTGATTACAAAACTTGAAAGGGTAAAGTGAGTCAATCCTGTGCAAAGACAGGTATCATAATCATTTCAGATGTGCACAGCTTACCCCTAGAACTTGGACTCCTGGCACCAGAGTTAATGGAAAAAGTATAAACATACACAGGAATCAATGAGAAGAGGTCTAGCTTTTTTGTTGTTGTTGTTAGTGGAAAAGAGAAARTAATTTACATATCAAAAATAGTGCATTACTTCAATAATTTGTAAAGCTTCCTTAGTCTAAAATATCTTTTAAGCATAAAAACTGCTTGAAAAATAGTTTAATTCAAAAAGCAACTAAAATCTTAAAAACATCAGAGTGAACTCCATTACTTTTGTCCACTGATCTAATTGCCTATTTCTATGTAATTGTCACCTTAATTAGTATAGCTTTGTAAGTATTAATGTTTGGTTGTCTAAATGAATATCCTTTCACTAACGTTTCTTTCACTTTAGAATCTCACTGGCTAGTCTCATAGGTTTATTCTTGAAAATGAACTTTCAAATTATTTTGTCAAGATTGATGAAAAGAAAAATGTACTATAATTAATTATTGATTAATTTTAGGAGGCTTTACATCATTAAGTTTTAAACCTATCACAATGTCTTATTTAGCCTACTCTGTTTTTCTTCTCTAGTCCATGGACATTTATTTCTTACTGAAGTTTAAGTTTCAGGTCTTACTTCACCTGTCTACAGCATTTGACAATGTTAAACAACTTACTCTGGAAACTTGAGAACACACAATGCTCACAAAGTCACCTGAGGACACTATTCTCAGAGCATAGTGGGTCTTCAAGGAACACATCATTATATGGTATTTTTTTCTGTGAAGAATTTAAACCTGGCTGCTAAGAGAATTATGCAGTGGTTCTTCAATTAGATCTAGTTTATCAGCTTTAATGTATTTATGTAAAATCTTTTATGTAGATCATAATATGTTAAAGTATTTCTGTTATTATTCTTTATTTAATAAACAAGTTAATGTGCCAGGAAAACCTTGGATTAAGTCGATTGCCAACAGAGAAAGAATTTATGTCATTGACAGGGAATGCATTGAATCCTGGCCTGTCCCAAATTAATTGATCATAGTGTGATTTCTTAACTTCCTTCCTTTGTAAATGATAAATGAGTTTTAAATGTTATCAATACTTTTTGGCATTTAGTATGTCTTAGCAATGCTTTTGTGTAATAAATTTGCAGGGAATGCTTTATTGTGTTAGTGCTTAGTTTTTAATTTGTTCTGAATCCAGTTATTCACCTAGCAAGAATTCTTTGTTAGTAAGTCATTTTATTTTAAGGTACTGGGGATTGAACCCAGGGACACTCTATCACTGAGCTACATCCTCAACCCTTTTTATTTTTTATTTTGAGACAAGTTTTCGCGAAGTTGCTGAGGCTGGCCTCTAACTTGCTATTCTCCTACCTCAGTCTCCCAAATTGCTGGGATTATAGGTGTGGCTACCATGCTGGGTTCAATAGGTCATTCTTGAAGGAAGGAAAGAAGGAGGGAGGAAAGTGTTCAAAGTTGAAGGGGAAGTGACAGAGCTTTTCTTGTTTTGTTTTATGTATGTGTTTTTGTTTTTGTTTTTTAATCTTCTGGCCTGCCCCCCTTTCAAATTCTTTTTTTGCTAACACATAGCTTTTATGAAGTGGCAGGGATTTCGCTTTTGAACACATGATGTTTCACATTAAAGAAATGGAATGTGGGGATTTACCTTATTAAGTAGCAATCCTAGTGTCCCTCTGGTAGGTTGGACTTGCCAAGGTTAATGTTCATGTGACTTCTTCAGCCATTCACATGGAAGACATAAAAAGATAAGCATTTTCCACCTGCAGGCAGCGTTCTGCCCTGGGAGAGTGCCTGGCGGCCTTCGCAGGTGCCTTTCCTGTTGCATTTTTGGAAACACATCTTGACAAGCACAACCCTTACTCCATCTACAACACCAAGTCTTCCAGAGAGAGAGCAGGTAAGGTGGGGTGTGCGCAGTGCTTGAGAACAGAAGCAGAATGTGACACCATGTGTTGTGTTTTCCTAAAGTGGTTCTCCCAGGGAGATTTCGGTCGAGGGTATCCATGGTTCCTTATTCTGAAGGGCTGGTAGTTGGCATTGTGTTTTTTTTTTTTTTTTTTTTTTTAATGTTGTATACTGTTTCTCTCATGTTCCTGAAAGAAAATATGTTTGTTCCCAAGTAAATGAGTCACAGAAAAATCAATACCCTCAAGAATAAGACCAAGTGATCAGCAAATATGGAAAAAAGAAGTGGGTCTGCTTTCCAGTTCAGGTGTCCCTTGCAGTCAGTCAGCAGGGCCATCCTTGCTCATCCCATCTGTGGATTCGTGCCTTTCACTATTCTTCACCCCAGATATGTCGACCTCATTTTATTCCATGTGGGTTTTTCAGATAGTTTAGTTGAACTTTTATCATTAAAAAAGCTAAAAAACATAAACTGTAGACCCTTGGTCAATATCTTGAATTTGCCTGAGTATCCACATATTCTTGGTGTCCACACATGTCCCCTGCTTCATTGATGCCTTCCCTCTGGGAAGATATGATGATCTGCCCATAGAAAGCTTTTAATGACCATTGCTGAGGATGTCAGTGATTAGTCTTTGGATTCTAATTAGAATTATTAACTAGCTTTTGAATTGAGTTGGACAAGCTTTAAATAAAATTGGATGCTAGATATTCTAGTCAGTGCCTTAACCAGTCAAAGCACAATTCCCAAACTCTGGACATTACCCCATGACCCCTCATAGGATCGTCTTCTGGTTGACTTCCTCTGATAAAGTCTATGATATTTGGTTGCTTAATAGCCCTAAAGAGTTCTCAAATGCACATCTCTTTCTTCATGGGCTTGTTTCTGTGTAACTGATGTGTGTTAATGGGAGCCATTGGCTAGTTATACTGATTTTATAGTGGATCTCATCAAATAAAGAACCTTTTAATGAATTGTATGATTTTTTTTTTTACTTATTATAATAGTGATGGATACAGTAGCAGGTGAAGCTAAAGACAAATATTTGAATGTGCCTTAGTAATACTTTTCCACATAATTTCTATAATACATTTGTAATTAGTGAAAAATGGTTAAGTAATCCTCAGTGTAAACACACAAAAAGTTGTCTCATTAGGGCTTTTTAATTCCTTAACACTTTGCTATGAATCAAGCAAGAAGCAATTTATTATCTCTTTACAGATAAGGAAATATACAAAGCAGGTAATTCATTTGCTTAGTTTCTGTAAACAAATCATCTGCATAACAAGGCATAGGAATTGAATTTAAGGATTTAATTCAACTTTTAGTCAGCTAGTGGACAGGAATTTTGTGATGTGCATGGGGGTGGGTGGAGGAGATGAGATAGAAAGATTAATGAGATTTGATTCTTGCCCTGGGGAGTTTCTCTTTGCAGTAGAGGGGGAGAGAGTGGTGAGTGTGATAGAATTGGGAATAAATAGCCCTGGGGACACAGAAAAGCAGTTTTAGTTGAGAACAGCTGGGAAAGCATCACAGCAGATTCAGGATGAGTCTTAAAATTGGGGAGACCAAAAGTCTGTTACATGGGGGGAAACCACAAGCGTTTTGACCTGGCTGGAGAGAGATTCCAGGAGAGAAAGGGTGAAGGGTGAAAGAAGGGAGAAAACCCAGGAAGGAGCAGGCAGGATTTTTGTCAGGAAAGGGGAGTAGACTGTCCTCCTACCTCAGTCTGTCCTTGAAAATGGAATAGCACAAATAGATTTGCATTTTGAAATCTGTCCTGACAACAGTAGGATGGACACCAAGAGCAGCTGTCAGAGAGCCATGGGGCTGGTCCAGAGGCAAGGCCATCAGGCAAGGCCCCTGGACAGAGTAGACGAGGAAGGAGGTCTTGGGGGATTGCCTGCAGGTAGGGTCCTTGTCACCTGGAGGTTCTCCCAGGTTTGCAGCCTGGCTGGCTGAACACGTTAGTGCGTGTTCAAGAGGCAGGTTGGTAGTCGCTTTTGACCAAAATACCTGACAAGAACAATGCAGAGGAGGAAACATTTATTTTGGCTCATGGCTTCCGGGGTTTAGTCTGTGGTCAGCCGACTCCATTGTTGTGGACCTGAGGAGAGGCAGAGCATCATGGGGCGAGGACATAGCAGAGGACGCTGCTCACCTCATGAYAGCCAGGAAAGAGAGTTGGGGGCAGAGGGAGCGAGGGAGAGGGAAGCCAGGGACAAGATAGAATGCCCCCAGTGACACAYCTGCCTACAGTTACCACCCATTCAAACCATTAATCCACCCAATGGATAATCCACTGGTTAGGTCACAGCTCTCAGTGTCTAATCATTTCACCTCTGAACTTTCCTGCATTGTCTGACATGAGCTTTTGGGCKATGCCTGATATCCAAACTACAACACATGGAGAGGAAAGGAAGAGTTTAGATTTAAAACCATTTGGTTTGGCTGCTTTTGAGATGTCCAGAAAAAAAAAATTCAAGAAATCTGGCACTGAGACTTATGAACTTGGAGCAGAGGCCCACAGGAGTGCCAGGAAGTACCTAGACAGACATGCAAGCTGAAAAACAGAAAAAAGCCCAAAGTAGATCTCAAAGAAACCGCCATGTGAGAGTTAAGCAAGAAGAGAGTGAGGGTCCCACTGGCACAATTCAGGAGAGTCTGGGTCCATTGCCATTAAGGAAGAGGGGTCTTAGGAAAAGGGAGTTTGGATTTGAACCTTTGGAGCCTGCTGGGGAGGAGTCTTGAGCAAGGGCCCTGAGGTGGGGAGGGCATCCAGGATGCTGGAAGAACCAAGACCCAGGACCATAAAACTCTTCCTCTGAAAATGGGGAATGGTGGAGCATGTGGGACCAGACTCGGGCAGCTGGTGGGCCTGGGAACAGGAGACATTTGCATTCCTTATTTGTCCTGAAGAAAGCAGAGCAGCTGTGTGCTGACCTAGAGGGGATGGTGCTCAGGCAGGCACTGGGGAAAAGAGCCGCCCTGACCTGGCTGCCATAGTGGGAGGAGGAGCTCCCAAGGCTTTCTGAGCTGACGCCCCACAGGGATGGTTGCCTATGTTGATCCTGAAGACTAGAAGCCACCCTTTTCTCGTCAGTTCACTAATCATTTCTCTCTGTGTGCTTCCCTAGCACTCAGTTTGCCAGCCAGTGTGGAAGACGTTTGTCCAAATATCCCATCTCTGGAGAGACTCATGGAAGAAATCGTGGAGCTGGCCGAGTCTGGCATCCGCTACACGCAGATGCCCCACGTGATGGAGGTGGTGCTGCCCATGCTGTGCAGCTACATGTCGCGCTGGTGGGAGCACGGGCCCGAGAGCAACCCGGAGAGGGCAGAGACCTGCTGCACAGCCCTGAGCTCAGAGCACATGAACACGCTCCTGGGGAACATCCTGAAGATCATCTATAACAACCTGGGGATTGACGAGGGGGCCTGGATGAAGAGGTTAGCAGGTAAGAAAAGGGAAGGATGTATCCCTAAACTGTTTCATCTTCAAGGAGATTTGAACTACAGAAGACTAAAATATTCCTGATTTAATATTTACCCCAATTTTTTCTATGCTTGGAAACATTGTTTCTGTCCTGCTGTTCTTTAAAGTGGATATAATCGGACATTGAGTAACTTTCCACAGTTATTAAAGTTTTTCTGATTTGTCAGTTTCCATAAGACTAACCAATAAGCACACTAAATATTGATTTTGCTACTCAGTAGGTAACGATTAGGTAGACAAAGATAAAACTGAATTTTTAAGCAGCTCACTTCAATCATATCCAAAGGGAACAGGGCAAGAAATCAAAAGATGTTGAGTATTTATACTTTATCTATCATTGCAATATTTATATTGAAAAATTGAAAGTAATCTACCCAATGACCAGAGTGTGGTTAAAAAGTTTATGTATGCTTTCATACTAAAACATTATAGCATCTTTAAAAATTCAGGTTTCAGTGTTTTATAGCTTAGGAAATGTCCATGATGTCATAGAGGGTAAAAAGAAGAGTTGTTAAAAATGAATTCAGAATGAAATAGATGTACTACACATTTATGAATTTGTTCATTGATGAAAACACCGAGGACACACACCAGTGCCTTATTGACTTAAACAAGTGATTGTGGTTGATTCTAATTTTTCTTAATAAACTTACCCAATGTACATATGTTACTTTCGGGGGAAAATTCCTTTTAATAATGACCTGTTCAAGTTTGGAACTGTTATTAACAACTCTAAGTTCTACTAAATAAGAGAGCATTGTTTTGTGTAGTTTAGCCCTTCTGTAGGCGAACATGTGATAAAATGAAAAAATTCTGTACAGTCTTATAACTACACAGCAGAGGGTATCTCTCTTAAAGAAAGGGCTGCAGGAACCTTTTTCAATTTGGGGATTTGTTCGTGTGGAAATAATTTACAAAGTAAGGGAGATTTTTTTTTTTACTGTTCAGAATTAGCTATCAAACCTTTTTTAGAAATAAGGAAGCACATTGAATTCAATTCAGTAATTATTATTAGTTTTTGTACCAGGGATTGAACCCAGGGGTACTTAACCATTGAGCTACATTCCCAACTCATTTTTATATTTTGTTTAGAGACAGGGTCTCCCTCAGTTGCCTAGGACCTTGCTAAGAGGCTGAGACTGGTTTTGAACTAGTGATCCTCCTGTCTCAGCCTCCCAGTCATCATTTTTGAACACTAACTATGCAGGTAGGCTTTGGACTAGAAAAAAGGCTGGGACCTGGACTTTGATTGTCAGAAGCCAGGTTCTGGGGAGAGAAAAGTTCGGTTGTTCTCAGTTGTCATAACCACCTGTCCTAGTGTGAATGAATGTTTGTACAGAGCAGATTCCTGATGTCTGTCTTCACAGTGTTTTCCCAGCCGATTATCAATAAAGTGAAACCTCAGCTCTTAAAAACTCATTTCTTGCCACTGATGGAGAAACTCAAGAAAAAGGCCGCCATGGTGGTGTCTGAGGAAGACCACCTGAAAGCTGAGGCCAGAGGGGACATGTCGGAGGCTGAGCTCCTCGTCCTAGACGAGTTCACCACACTGGCCAGAGACCTCTATGCCTTCTACCCTCTCTTGATTAGATTTGTGGACTATAACAGGTACACTCATCAAAAGAGCCATTTCCCCCATCTGTTGACAATCCCTCTGCTCACAGATCCTAGGAGCTGCTTCTCTACTAACTGCTTAGTGAGGTGTTGCCTCATGGTTGTAGCATGATCGAATGTTTATAGGTAGGTTAATCTTCACCAGGCATCTGAAATTTAAGATCAGAAATCCTACTTTGAAGTGTTCTGCCTTTTGCATGTGAAAGTTGATAGTTGGACACTCATTTACATATTTTTAAAAGTCAAAACTGTACTTGAGACATCCTGAGCTCTGTGGTCAACAGATTTACTGTGGGAGGGAGGATGATTTTTTTAAAAAAAATAACTCGAAGAATAACTGAGAAGCCACCACATGTATTGTGTGATCCAGGGCCAAGTGGCTGAAGGAGCCCAACCCAGAAGCAGAGGAGCTTTTCCGCATGGTGGCCGAAGTCTTCATCTATTGGTCGAAGTCCCATGTAAGTGTGATGCTGTCGACAGACAATAACTACTGCTAGAGGTGTAGGGGCTCTATAAACATAAACCAGCCCCTCAGTAAATATCTGGGGGGCTTTTTCTCAAACTTGTACTCTAGGATTCATTGGACAGCTGGGGAGAGAGGGGAGGTGCCCCTGCAGACCTTGAGGGAACATARCCTACTTTTGATCTTTGAAATTTATCTTTGAAAGTTAACATATTTTTAATGGCATTGCATAAAAACATTTTTAAAATTTGTCCCTAAATCTGAGTGTGAGATTGGCATTACTGGGAGCTGTGCCATCTGACCTTTGGTTTTCCCTGTCTCTGGGCACTCTGCTGCCTCCTGGTGGTACTGGTGTCTGAGTGCCAAGACAGGCTGATCTCCAGGGACCAGCTGCCTCCTCTCCTTGTTTGCATCACATTCTCTCTTCTGTAGGAATTTGGCTTTTCTCACATTTTAGAATCATTTGTCTTTGGATATAAAGCTTTGCCAGATTCCTGCTGATGGAATTTCTGAATCTATAGTGCATTTTCGTTTTACTTTGTATGTTACAGAACTATAGATTTTTACATCTGAAAAAAGATCTTAATCATAGGAAGAATTTTAGAGCATTCTCTCAGTTATTTCCAGTAATAAGCAACATAAATATGGGTATTTGTTGTGGTACAGAATTACTCTAATGCCTAGAATTTTGATATCAGTTATGATTTTGTGAAACTTTGTAAGTGGGAGACAGTGAAAGTAAAATCAAAACCTCAGCTTGTTTGATCAGCCAAGGGGGTCTTTGCAATTTGCATTATCAGATTGTTGGACAAAGCAAATCATTTTGAACATGTAATATTTCAAAATTCCTACTTAAATAGGATAATAAATATTATTTCTTGCTTATATCTGAGGAACCTTGTCAAATTTAATAAAAATTTATAAAATGTGTCACACAGAAATATTAAGTGAAATAATGGCTCTGCTTACATGTGAATTTGTATCTCCACATTGACATTCTTCATCTCTCTTGTCATAATAAATTATTTTAGATTTTTTTTATGTTCCTCTAGGTAAAAGCCAGTGACCCCTTATGTTATATAACTCATTTAAAGGGCTGTGTAAGATAATTGCAGGATTCTGAAAGAAAACTTTAGAAGAAATCAGTCCATCTTCAACTGCCAAAGAGCAACAATGGGTTGGGGTCTTTTACCTTTCATTTCCTGTGTTGGGTCACTCTACCTATGATGCTCAGTGGACAAATAGAGTTTCCCAGGAATAAATCACTTAAGAAAAAATAAAAACAGCATTTCTAAAAAAATTTATTCTTTTTAGTTATAGAATACAGTAGAATGTATTTTGGAAGATTATACATACACAGAGTATCTTATTCTATTTAGCATCCCATTCATGATGTTATACGTGATGTGGAGTTAACCCACAATTAATTCTACTGTCTTTCCTACTCCCTTTTCCCCCCTCACTTCCCTTTATTTTCCTTTGTCTAATCCATTAGATTTCTATTATTCCCCTCCGCAAACTCCTTTGTTTTGGGTTGGCATCCATAAATAATTCAGCCTTTGGTTTTATGGGATTGGCTTATTTCACTTAGCATGATATTCTCCAGTTTCACCCATTTACCAGCAAATGCCATTTTTTTGTTATTTATGGCTGAATAATATTTCATTGTATATGTATACCACATTCTCTTTATCCATTCCTAATGAAGGACACCTAGGTTGTTTCCATAGCTTTCTATTATGAGTTGAGCTGCTATAAACATGGATGTGGCTGCATCAATATAATATGCTGTAAATACAACATTTTTTTCCTTGGGGAATAGAGAATACTCAACTATATCAATCACTAAAATACAAAAGAAGCTTCTTTAAATTTATATGCAAGACATAATTTTGGAACTTAAAATCAGCAAGTTTTTAGATGGATGTCTAAGAAAAAAAGAATATCTTTTTAATCTCACATACATATTTAAAATACAAACCTATTAGTATGTGTTGTATTCATTCCCAAATTTTTAATGATTTTGCCATTTTTTGTGTTTTTAATTTTAATTCATACTGTAATGATATTTTAAAAGTGGGTGAAGTATCTGACAGAGTAGAAAGTTGCGCTGCAGCTATGTGTGCCTTTTACCTCAGGAGGCAGTATCTGCAGCTCACCAGGGAAACTTGGGCTGCAGGACCCATCCTGTCACTGGCTGACTTGTGACTTAAACTTTCTGAACCAGGGTGCCCCTCTTTAAGACACACCTGCTGTCTGTGGCTCCTCTGATTGTGAGCCCTAGCCACGCCCCCTCATTATACACTCAACAAACACTTGCTTCCTTTCTTGATAAGTTGTACATAAATTAATACCCATTCCTGAAAAACTTTTGGCTCTTATGTGACCTCTAAGTACACACTTCTTTTCTGAATAGTTAAAACTGAAATTTCCTTTGCAACTTCTTAGAATTTCAAGAGAGAGGAGCAGAACTTCGTTGTGCAGAATGAAATCAACAATATGTCGTTCCTCATTGCTGACACCAAGTCAAAGATGTCCAAGGTATTACTGCGATGTGCTTCATTGCTCTCTCCTGGATGGGTGGTACTTGGATTTGTTTTGGAGATTCATAACTGGACTCTGATGGGAGTGTTAATGTTATTTACTGATGAAAAGACACATAATGTTTTAGAGTTCCCAGGACTAGTTTGAGTCAGGTCTAGTAAGACACACAGACACAGACAGGACTCGCARGAAGGAGGAAGTTTCTCTCACAGGTCTCTAGAAGCAGGGAGCAAACCTTGCAGAGGAAACACAAAGACTGCACCTGGGAGAGGGTGGTCCGGAGCCTTGACTACACTTTCCAAGTGAGGCAGGGTAAGCAACTGTCAGACTGGCTTATTGCTATACTTTTCATGGGCTCTGGGGCATCACTAGTTTTCCCCCATAGCTGGCCCTGGCATGATCAAGCAAGTGGATAGTCACCCAGAGCATCAGAGCTTGCTAGTGGAGGTGCTGTTGAAATGTAATAATTTGCCCCAATCATTTAGAGTCAGGTTCACTTTTGTAATTAGTATGTTTACCATATTTTTTAAAAAGTCTCCTTTTTATCTGGCTATTTCAGTGTCAGAATATAAAAAAAAAAAACTCCTTGTAAATCCCCACTGAAAGTTTATATGGTAAATATAACAACAGAGTAAAAAAAATATATACAATGAGTAAAAATGTGCTCCTATTTAAGGTGTGGCTCAGGATAGGGCTCAGCTTTGAGAGGAGATGACCATGAGTGCCCACTGCCACCTTGTAACTGCAGAAGTTCAGCTACCCCTGAACCTGCAGTCCATGTCAGGAAAGGGATTCAGGTTACTCCTCAGCCAGCTGGTAGGAAACAGTGGTGTCTGTGGAGTGCCTCACAGACGGCAGGCACCCAAAGGAACCAATATCACAAAACCAAAACATTAATGTTCAAGTGAATACCTACCACTCATACGGGTGATGAGCACTGAGATAACTCACCAGAGTGGGGAGTGGATAGAATGGTCCAGGATTGAACTGATAAGTGAGGGCTTCAAATTGGCATTGGAAACTGGGCAGTGTCTAGGTGGTCCATAAGGAGAGGAGGGAAGAGGACATCTCACTTCATGCCAGGTGACTGTTGGGTGGAAGGCCAACTGCAGCTCTGAAGAGTGACCTAGTTGGTGCTGTTCTTCTCCTTTTCTATTAAATGTAGGGCTCTTTTTCATATTTATATGTGAAAAATGTGAGAGAAGAGGGCTCAGTTTTTTTCATTTTCCTTCTTAAATATGACCATATGTTGTCCATGTTATTGCATGTTCATATTTGATCCAAACGTTGGACAATAGACTGAGAATGAAGATAGTGTACAAGTTCAATAACTGGAGCAGTTCTTTAGTTCTCAAGCAGCTCCTGTGGTGAGGCTGTCTGTTTAGTGCTAAAGTCACAGAAGGGACAGAGCAAGTCTGGCCAGTACCCTCACAGAACCCCATGTTTTGGGGAGGAGACAAGCAAAAGGCCAGCAATATATATATGTATAAGAGGATATTTGATTGGTTGTAGATTTAATTTCCTCATACTGTGATTTCACCCATAAATGTCCAAAGATTTGCTACTCTTTCCAGTTGTAGATTTCCTAGGGGATAAAAATCAAGATTATTATGTGAGCATAAGTAGAATCTCTTTGTCTAATGTTTCTCACAAACAGAACAATACAGTTGATTTAAATTATTTTTATTATCAGATCATTTTAGTAGTTATAAATATCAAACCAGGTTGCTGGGTACAGCAACTGAAAGCAGGAGAATTCCAAGTTTGAGGCCAGCTTCAGGAATTTAGCAAGACCCTATCTAAAAAAAAAAATTAAAACAAAATAAAGGGCTGGTAATTTAGCTAAGTGATATAGTACTTCCCTAGCTCTAGAATCAATTCCCCAGCACCCTCCCCCCCCCACACACAAAGGAAAACAAAAATCAATATGAGCTCTTTTTTCTTATATAACCTTGAGACCAAAAGAAACACACAAGTTAAAAATAAAACTCCAGTGCTAATGATATTCAGACTTTAATATAGTAGGTTTGCTGAAAATCATAAGTACTGAATAGACTATTTGCATTTTGTATCAATTTAATTTTTAGGATGAAGGTCCTTCATTTGGGTAATTACTTTTATTATTTTTTATTTCATTTCCTTTTTAATAAAGAGCTCATTTAAAATTACTTATCCATTAATTTTATGTATTAATCAACTTAATAGTACCAATAATTCTTCATTGTGTTTTTTTCTGATAAATTTATCAGCTTAATCTTTTATACATTACTACATATAAAAGTGAGATCCATGCATCTTTTTGGAACATAAATATGATGCTCATTTCTGTTCTTTTGAATAAGGAAAATCATTTGTATGTTAAAATTTTCCTTGTTTTTTTCCTTAGATAGCCCAATACTATTTATTAAACAATATCATTATTATGAAACTATGTTCCCAGTTTGAGTTATTGCTACAAAAAAAGAAACTGCATGAAGAAGTGGATGAGGGCAACTGTTTTAATTTTCATATCAGAACATTCTTAACATAAATACTCACTTCCCAGTGAAAATCAGGCTATCTTTCAGGGTGACCTTTGGCACTAATGTAGTCCTCAAAGGCATCACGAGAGCCCTGAAGTATCGTGGCAGTAGATTCCCTTGTAAGCTGTTCATCCAGCTAATTATGACTCGTGATGAAGTGCTCACTGGCCTATCACTTTCATTTCTACAGATAAGGGTAGACACTCTAGGGAGTCAAGTTTGCAGACTACATAAAAGGAAAGTGTATTTTATAATAGTTTTACATGTACCATATATTTTTCATTTTTATATGTGTGTATATGGGTATGTATATCATAGTATGTACATGAACAAAACATACTGTTTATATATGTGTATCTTCATAGCAAAGCAAGTATTTGTCAAACCAAACAAAAAAAAATCCTTTTTAGCCTCAAATTTCTTTCTCTCCTGCACTGAAAATTAGAAAATATGCAATTTCTGAAATTACCACAGAATTCTCACTTTCTGCCTCCCTATCACCGTAGTGTGCCTTGTTCTGCAAAGATTACATGCATGCCAGGGGTTATAATGACCTAGGAATCTGAAAGTAGGACTCAGGTAAGGATGCTAAGAAGGGAAGAGAAAAATGTCCTTAGAATAGTAGGACTTTTAAAACATAAGGGCTAGCACAGAATGAGAAAGATAAAACAATGATCAAGTCAGAGAAGGTTTGTGGTTGTGAATGGGAGAAAAACAGGTCCTGATCCTGGCACTTCTCTTTGTTCCTAGGCAGCTGTTTCTGACCAGGAAAGGAAGAAAATGAAGCGCAAAGGAGACCGCTACTCTATGCAGACTTCTCTGATTGTAGCAGCTCTGAAACGGCTCCTGCCCATTGGGTTGAACATCTGTGCCCCTGGGGACCAGGAGCTCATTGCTCTGGCCAAAAATCGATTTAGTCTGGTAAGCCTCCTCCTCTCTCCATTGGTAGCAATCATCCACCCTGCAGACTCGGGTGTTTCTATTCTTTGGCTTCCTGCTCTATATCAGTATTTCATTTTCATTCAGTGCTTCATTAAGCAGCTTTTCTGCTCAGATTCTAGGACTTAAATAAAAAACTGTCTCTCTCTTTTTTTTTTTTTGAGGTCATTTTTATTTTTAAGTTGGTCAATCACCTCCAGGGCATATTCAGAAACCAAACAGAAAAGACACAAATCTCTGGTAATGAAAACAAATGGATTACATATGAACTCATATATAAAATTTGTGATGTGTGGCATATTCAAATTTATGAAAGGTGAATTTTCAGTGTTAGAAGCATAATTTATTATGCCCACGGTGCTTAGCTAAGGTGTTGACTTTTACACTGACAGCTGCTGTCCTCTGCAAACATCAAGATTTATGTTTTCAGGATTCTGTATGTACTCTGATGTTCCTCATCAGTATGCAGAGAAGGATGCATTTTTTCACAAATATATCTAAAATGACTATTTTATGCTTACATAAATTGGAGGACATGAACTCCCTGCCCAGGTTCCTGAGAAGAATCTGTAGTGCACCTCTGAGCCTAGAGGATGGAGGGACAGTTTTGGGGAGTGGTCTGCAGAGGTGCAGCCCTGTTGATTCTTGTCTGATTCTGCAGACACACATTCCTTGCTACTGCTGGGTCACTGAGGATGTTGTGAGGTGCTAAGGTTGCTTTCTGGAATTTGGCAGAAAGCTGTGGAAAGGCTTCTGTTTGAGCCCAGAGAAATGTGCTGCTGTCCACCTTATTGGAATGAATTGGAAGCCCAGTTACTTTCAGTCTTGACRTGCTTTCTCTCAGGCTAAAGAGTCCTTGCTTTGTTTCAAGCTACAGCAATATTAAAAAATTACATGAAGGAGAAGGCTCCATATTTGTGGCCTTTATTTTAATAAAGATGTTTGTCAGATGGACACTATTTTAAGTGATATTTGAGTTGCTTTTATTGGCTTGAGACACTTGACATGTTTAAGATTCATTTTAGGTAATGTTTCAGTTCCCTTTTTCATTTCTTTGCAAAAAAAAAAAAAAAAACTTTACAAGAACAATTTTAGAGGAGGAAAGTTTATTTGGGAGCTCATGGTTCTAGAGGTCTCAGTCCATGGACAGCTGGCTTCATTCGTTGGGTCTTGAAGTCAAGCTGAACATCAGAAAGGAAGAGTGTGGCCCAAGGGGAGTGATTCACATGATGATCAGGAAGCAGAGAGGGGGCTTCACTCACCAGATTCAAAATATATACCCCAAAGGCATGCCCCCAGTGACCCACTTCCTCCAGCCACAACTTACCCACCTTTAGTTACCACTCATTTAATCTCATCAGGGTATCAATTCACTAATTAGGTTAAGGCTCTCATAACCTGATCATTTTGCCTCTGAATTTTCTTGCATTGTCTCACACATGAGCTTTTGAGGGATACCTCATATCTAAACCATAACAGTTAACATGTATTTCTTGACAGAAAGACACAGAGGATGAAGTACGAGACATAATCCGCAATAATATTCATTTACAAGGCAAGGTAAGCCAAATTTTATTGTAATGCACACTTAGTATCTATAAATTAGTTAATTTCTTTTTAGACTAAAACCATAAACAATGTTACTTTATCAATCAAGATGGTGAAAATATCTTAATGAGTCATTATTGGACTTGCAAATTCTTTTATATTAAGATCCTAAAGGCCATAAATTTTATATTTGTAAAGTAGATTGTTACAAAATGTCAGATTTTGAAAACAACTATGACAACAGTTGAAATAAAGTTTGGATTTAGCTGAGTTTAAGGGTTTGGGGACTTGGAGACAGATATCAATAAAAATTAGAAATTTTGCACTTAGTGATCAGAAATCAAGTATGTGTACTCAGGAGTTATTAGTTAGAAAAGATACAGAGAGAATTGCTGCAAAAAGAATAAAAGAGTTCATCTAATGTGAGAAATGTAAATTCAGAAAGAAAACTTGGAGACTGATGTAATACCTACTTTTTAATGACAGGTAAAAGAACATTAGATGTAGTTGTGTAATCCATTGAGCACTTACTATTTGGAATTTTTCATACCAAAGAGTATAGTATTCTTTTGTTTACAGAACCTATTGTACCATTTAATAAGTCTAACTATTAGTTCAACTCTTATTAATTTTTTTCTATTCTTATGTCCTTTCCAAGAAATTCAGTCTCCAGCTGAAATGCATTTGCAGAGTTTATAGTACAAGTTTTTCGCCCCTTTAGTGAAAGACACTGTTTTTTGTTTGTTTTTACATGTATGAGTGTTGGGGAGAGTGTGGACCTATGAGAGGTTGCAGTGGTCCTCAGTGTCCCCAGCCATGTGTTGAGAGCAATTGGCCTCCTTCAGTCACTTCTGTGTTACAGGTTAGAAATATTCAGTGTCTATGAAGAAGAGATCTGTGCTCATCCTAGAAGATGGCCAGCTAAAGATGGTTATGACCTGGATAAGTTCTTCCATTGTGTCCTGAGGGTCATTTGTACCAATAATCTGGACAATTTATATAGTGTATTGAGGCAAAAGGAAGAAAGAGGAGCTCAGAAATTTAAAATTTTGTAGTCAATATTTTACTTCCCAAAACAAGACCCCTGAAAGTAAAGTGGTAAGAAGTATGTTTATTTTAATATTTTGGTCTATACTAGTGCTAGGAGTGAGGCATACATATTAAGGAAATATACACACTTGCAAAATCAAGCTCCTTCTTAAATACACTGTCTTGAAATTGTAAGGCAAATAATCCTGAAGCCAGTGGAATAATTTTATGTTAGATAAAATAAAGATTCTAATTTATCTGATATATTTATCTATTAAATACAAGTAAGGATGCAGATTCAAATCTAGAAATTCCAAAGTACAGTCTGTGGATCAAAAAGTCTACCAAGAAAAGCATTTTATTTCATCAGAGGACAAATGGTGTACAAAAGTCACTCACATACAAAGCTCAATCTCTGTTTCTAAATGAAAGTTATTTTTTTTTTTTTTGCAAATTCTTGAAGAACAATTTAATATTATATATATTATACTTTACAACCCAGAAATCCACTCGTTGGTGGTATATAAACTCAAAAAACTCTTTTATAAATACATAGATATATAAACAAACATGTTCATAACAACATTACTTATAATAGCAAAAATTATCACAGAATATAAATATCATAAATTCCCAGAATCACCTATATGGCAGAGGAAAAAAATTAGTGAACAAGAAAGTCATATCAAGATGAATCATTCTTAAACACATAATGCTGATTTTTAAAAAATTAAAAACAAGTTATAAAATGATACATATTATATTATTTATGTAAGGGTCCAGTATGCAAAACAGTACAAAAATATTGTTAGTGGCAAAAATGCACAAAATTTATGAATGTACAATAAAATACTCAGGAATGAGGTTGTAAGGCAGAGGAGAGATAGTGGACCTAGACTGGAGGCTTCAATCATATCCATAATGCATAATGTTCTCCTTCTTAAGGTAGATGGTGGGTACATCAGTGAACATTGTGTTTTTTATATACCTTAATTATTCAAATTAATTTTTTAAAATAAAAAACAAAAACCTAAAGGAATTAAAATCTATAATAAAGAAGCACTCTCTTAACGGGGTAAAATTGGGAGTTCATAACCCACTTGAATCAAACTGTGAAATATGATGTATTAAGAACTATGTAATGTTTTGAACGACCAACAATAAAAAAAAGAAAAAAAAATAAAAATAAAAAAATAAAAATAAATAAATGAAAGTTATTTTTGGCATTTCAAATTGTGCTTTCTTAGGCTAGGGGTTTTGTAGTATTACATGTTGTCCATTTGCTTCTGCTTTATACACTCAAGCTCTCATTTTTCTCATTTTTTTTAGGGGATGGGTACTGTGGAGTGAACTTAGGGATACTCAACCACTGAGTCACATCTCCAGTCCTATTTTTGTATTTTATTTAGAGACAGGGTCTCACTGAATTACTTAGTGCCTCCCTTTTGCTGAGACTGGCTTTGAACTCATGATCCTCCTGCCTCAGCCTCCTGGGTCACTGATATTACAGGTGTGCACCCTCACACCCAGCTCAGTCTCTCATTTTTAATGGAAATTATGAAGTGGAGGATAAAGAAAAGGGGTTGCCTTTTCTGCTTCTGATGATATAGTTATTCCCTTTGATTTCTTTGGAGCAAGATGCTTTATCCCAGTAAGATGCTTATGTTGGTCAGTTTTTATGATTTACAGTAACCTTATTAAATACATGAAGACATCAATTAGAACTTCCATGGAGGAAATTTGATGGTATTAACAAGTGAAGTGTGTAGACTCCCTTATTATGAGTGTGATTTCTAGAGATCTCCAATGATTTATATGTAATTGTAAGCTGTGGTGTAAATTCCTATGTTTGCAAATAAATGTGATCCTATATAGGATCAACAGTTGGAATGTGTGTGGAGAAGGAAAAGGTCCAGGGTTGCCCTACCCATTCTCTGTCCATTGGTAACTCATTCTAAGCCTAATGAACTTTATTTGTTTAGGGAATCCTCCCAGCCTCCCACAAAGTAGATTGCATTATCCATTACAATGGTAAATGTTCACTTTTACCTGTTCTCTCCACCAGATGATGAGTGCAAAGACTTACCTGTATTTCTCTCTGCATAGTGCTGCTTTGGTTTTTTCCAATTGTATATTTTTAAGATATACAACCTGTTGTTCTGATATACATGTACATAATGAAGTGATTACTGTAGTCTAGCAAATTGCATATCCATTTCCTCAGTGGTAGGAGCAACTTCAGTCTGTTCTTAGCCAATTTTCAGAATGCTATGCAATGTTACTAATTGTGGTTACCATGCKGTGTATTATTCCCTTAAACTTATTCATCCTGTGTAGATGCAACTAGCAGTGTCTAACTCTGTGCTATGTTGAATAAATAACTGTAGTTAGACCCTTGCCTCTTAGCGTGTCACCTTTCATTTTATTTACTTTTATCCTTTCTCTGCAGTTAGAAGATCCTGCTATTAGATGGCAAATGGCTCTTTACAAAGACTTGCCAAACAGAGCAGAAGATACCTCAGATCCAGAGCGGACAGTGGAGAGAGTTCTGGATATAGCAAATGTGCTTTTTCATCTTGAGCAGGTCAGAGTTTTTGTGGATTTGATTGTGTCCACCTTAGCCACTTAAAAATGTTTTTTGAAAGGATGTATGTTAATTTGTTAACTGTGGGCCCAAATTATATATATTCAGCATGCTCATTATAAAGAATATGATTCAGGAATGCCCAGTATTTAACAAGCACAACTTTCAAGCTTATGATTTTTGTGGCAGTGTATAGATAATGTATTTCAGGATATCAAGGCCTTTTTTATTGCCTTTTAGTTATTTCTAAAATAGTATAGATAATTAAGATTAAATACTTAATTCTAAATCCTTTCAACAAAATTTTCAGGCATTAAACCTGATCTTAACTATTTTATACTTGCATCTTTTTATTACTCATATGACAGCGTATCTGGTGTCTGGTCCTCCATGGGTTTCATAGTTGAAATATTTTGCTTTTTCTTACTCCGTTAGTCTTCCCTTTTATCACAGATACTTTTTGAGTTAATTTCCTCTGAGATCAGGAACAAATTACACCTAGAGAAGAGCAATGCCCATGTGAGAAAAGTGTTTCTAATTTCCCGGTGTCTCTAATTCACTCTACAGAGTTTGCTGTATATTTTGTTCCTCATTCACTCCCTTTGCTCAAGAATTCCCAGAACAGTTGAAACATTCTCAATTAGAAGGTTATATCTCTGTAAAAGTGGTCCTCTGGTGACATAAAATATAAGCAATGAAAGTTTCAGTCTCTGTTTTCAGTCCATTTAGTGAAAAACAGTAGAGTGAGAGAGCTCAGGGTGATTGCAGTAGAGCTGTCCACCCCTGGGCCTCAGTGACCTGATGGACTTGGTTACTTAGTGCTAAACATGGAATATAATGTGACCCATGTTATCTCATTTTGCCACCCAAGTGTTTTGTGTGTGTGTGTGTGTGTGTGTGTGTGTGTGTGTGTGTATTTTTTAGCAATGGGGATTGAACCAAGAGGTGCTTAATCACTGAGTCACATTCCCAGCCCTTTTGATATTTTATTTTGAAACAGGGTCTCCCTAAGTTGCTGAGGCTAGCTTTGCAATCTTCCTGCCTTCTGAGTTACTGGGATTACAAATGTGTGCCTCCATGCCTGGCTAATGTTTTTAACTTTGTATCTCCTTTAACCATACTTAAAAGTATTATCATAGTGATAATGACCATTTTGCTTTGAGGTTGACTTTACATTATCTGAACTTCCATCCCTGCCCTGTTAAATAACAACGTATTATCTAATTGTCCTTTTTTTTTTTTAAAAAAAGAGGCAATTATTTATTCAAAAACAATGCAAAACAAGCCAAAAGTTTGCACGAAAGGGAAGTACATAGCTATAATGAACCATGTTTACCTTAGTGCAAGCAAGAAGACTGTACTATATCCATAGCAGAAAAGAACAGGAAGAGAAAGAACCAAGGCTGCAGGGTAATTCAAGATGGCTAAATTCTCATCTCCCCTTGACTGTCCTTTTAATTTCCTTCTTGCTTATTTACACGTCCCCAATGCTGTTACTGCTCCAACTCCACTTCAGGAGATGACTACAGCTAGGGTGCCCTCAGGCCACATAGATGTTGGCTTGCACTTACATGTCTAAGACCTTGAATCTTGCTGTTTCCCCTGAACACTCCCTTCATGGTTTCATGAAGTATTAAAAAAAAATCTCATTAATCAGCAAATAAAGGAACTTGAGGTAATGAAGTTTTGAGTTATATGTATGAAGCCAGAGACTTGTATTTTAAAATTTATATACATATTTAATGAGATTATTAAGTGTTAATTAAATGGTTACTGGAGGGTCATTTCCAGCAGTAGACTTGTCATGAATTTTTAAATGTTTTTTTTTTTTTTTTCCTACACAATCTGGATTTGCTTGGATGAATTTTAGGTAAATTAAATGAAGCTCATTAAAATCTGGATATATTTTTATTATATTTACAATAAAGGAGTATATGTTCACAAGGATATTCAGTCTTGATAGATGAAGATATTTCTAAATTAAGGTTCATTTCACTACACATCCTCTCCTGCTGGGACACTCAGTGGGTGCACACTCCAGGGTGGCTGGTGCCCAGCAGGGTCCCATGACTGAGTGTCCTCTGGGCACCAGGAGCTCAGGGTCTCTGAGTACACAGACACAGAACCAGATAAATACACAACAAGTCAGAAGAACTAGAATATAAAATGAGCCAAAGGCATGTAAAAGTAGCCAACTTACAAATGTGTTTATTTCCATGAGTGGAATGTGTCCCTTTGACACTTCTAATGTTAATTTGTAACTGAATTACAAAGTATTTGCAAAGACAGTTTTAACTTGCTGAAGTCATTGCAGAAGCAGTAGGTGTGCTAGGCTCTGGGTGTGGCTTAGAAATGTGTGCTGAGCAAGCACAAGGCCTGGATTCACTCCCAGCACCAAACAAACAAATAAGACACAATGGTGCACAGGAAATACTTGTTGATTTAGTTTCCCTACAGGGTCCTAACTGTTGGGATGTGTGCATTGTGTTGTATATCTGGTCATTCTCAGGAAGGCTGTCTCCTGTGCATTTCCTGATCCTCATTCTCTAGCTGAGCTCTCTCAGGAGCACATCAGGATGCTCAGTGACAGGCACAGGGCACAGGGCCCCTCTAGGCCACAGTTCCTAGATACCCTTTTCCTTGATTTTAGGAAAGCCCACTCCTCAAGGTCCTTCCTCCTGTGATACCAGGCTCTGCCAGTGGACAGCCTCCTGATGGCAGGAGCCTTTTCCAGTCAATGCCTGGGTGTCTCATACTTGTTTCCTGACTACATCCATCCCTATTCTGTGAAAAGCCACCTGTGTACAGTCTCAGCTACCAGAGTGAACTGGAAGTTGAAGTGAGTCAGATCTAACACACTGCCCTTGATTCTGTTTTYACCCACAACGTTCTCGACAATGGTGTATTTTACTCAGCCTGCTCATCCAGAAGAAAATGAAGTGGGCCTTTGTTCAAAAGCTTTATTGATCCTATAGAGGGAACAGGGTCACAGAAAGAAGTGCTTTACAATTAAACAAGTTGCCTTGCTAAATTTTTGAACTGCTATAGTCCCAATGTTCTTAATATTTTCTAGGCATTTTTATGTTCATATTTTGTCCTTTTACTGCAAAGGATAGTAAATTCAGCTTTTTKGGGGCTAACATAACATTCTTATTTCTTCCAGAAATCTAAATGTGTTGGCCGGAGATATTACAGTCTGGGAAGTACAGTGCTCAATTGCCTAGAGATTACTAATGAATGTAGAATCCCTTGCTGGGATTCTTTTTCTTTCTAATAATTAATCTCTTTTTTCCTCTTGAAGTTCCAAATACCATTAGTTTAATGACAGCTTGCTTGCCTCATTTACTGTGACTTTTGAATTCTCCTTTGTTCCTGTCTAACAAAATACTTACATACTTTAACAGTTTTTGCAAAGTTACATCCCTTTCCTCCCTCCTGGCCCTCTTCTCAGAGCCTTGTCATCTCTCATGTTAAGGAACACTAGAGTTTTCATTAGCTCTATTTGTGATTGCTACTCTTATGGTAAAATTGGTTACAGTAGATACAGAAAAAAGAAAGGGTAAAATTATTTTGTGTAGGCAGAAAATATATTTAAGAATCTAAGAAAAATTTGAGAATTATGTGCAAATGATTTTATGTAGAGTGCCTTTATGCTTCTTTAACATTAGAGATGACAAAGCTTCTGAAGTATGTACTACTTGGAAAATGTAATATTTTCACTTTTGTTTGAAATTATCTCAAATTTAGCTTTGGGTAACTTTTAGATTGTTGACCCTTTCTGCAAATAATTTTAAGGTACTTTTGGAATTGGACTGAAAAGGTGTAGCTCTTCAGTGTTGTATTTGGGGGGAGCCTGGGGTGTAAGTTTGCATGTTTTGTGTCATCCTCCCTCAGGTGGAGCATCCTCAGAGATCTAAAAAGGCCGTGTGGCACAAACTACTCTCCAAGCAGAGGAAAAGGGCAGTGGTGGCCTGCTTTAGGATGGCTCCCTTGTATAATCTGCCAAGGTCAGAATTTTTAAAATACATATAACAGCCAAATTTAGATTTATTATTCTTCTGTGTAATTTTGGAAGTGATTTTTCTTTGTTGGGTATTTTTTGGAGAACTATGATCTGTAATGTAAGTGTTAATTGATATTTACACACTGAGGAGTATCTGCTCATGTGTATGAGGCCTTGTGGAGTAGTTGGGAGTTCATTATTTGAAGTCAAACTGTATTGATTCTGATCTGGGCATCTCAGCTTCTCTGCTGGATGACATTGGTCAAGTTACTCATCTGAGCTCACTGCAGTTTCCTCATCTGGGACCATGACAGGAACTGTCTTGTAGAGGTGTTCAGCTGATATAATGGATCAGTATGTACAGTGTGCTTAGAAGAATTAACTTGACACGATAAATGTAGCCATTGTTAGTATTTGTGTAATTATTAGCATTTGAGGAAAAGGGCTAATCCTTTACTGACTTATGGAATAATGTAAGTTTGACAAACCCACCACCTTCCCTTAGAGGTGTCATAGACATACTTGTGAATAGAGAAGCATCTGTGCCTTGTAACAGAGCTGCATCTCTGGCCCCCTTGCAAGTGGAACACCTTCTCCTTTTTGTTCGCAGGATGCATTTTGCTTTTTGTTGTAGCACTTTCCTGTATTATTGTGCAAGTATTTATCTCTGATTCAACTTCAGGTTCCTTTAGAATATTGTTTAATTTTATATTTTCAGCACCCTGGACAGCAAGTGGTGCCAGGACATTTAGTTAAAGTGTTTGCAAAGGTGCATAATATAAGGCAATGAAAACCATAAAAACAAAGTGTCATCATACTTTTCTCCTCTACTAAGCCATGTGGATTCCTTATGATCAGGTCATGCTCACTGAGTGTAAGATATACTAGCCACCACCTCAGACTATGTGCTGCTTCTAAGCTCTAGAACCACGTGGTGTCACCAGGTGGTCAAATAGAATATTAACCTTGAATTCAAATTCCCATTCCTTTTTTGGTTACTCCTATGTGTCATTCTAAAAATTTCATCAGTTTTCCTGTGACTTATTCCCATCAATATCCTTCCCTTGGTGCCACCTCTTTATGTCACTTGTTCCTTGCTTCATATCAAGTGAGATGTTGTGTTCCAGGAGTCCTCAGCCCACTCTTCTCATCGTTGAACTCAGTGTCCCATCCTGCAGTGCCATCATTCTGCCACACCCCCATGCTCTCTCACGACATTCTCTTATGGCCATGAAGTTTTCATCTGATCTTACAATGAAATCTTACCCACATCCCTCATTATTGTCGTGTTATCACCAACCATTCCAGTCTTTGCTGATGTTTCATTTCATAGCTGGCCATTCATTATCAGTATCCGAGGTTTAATCTTTGCAATAAACTTCACTTAAATATGTTTTGATTTGGAATCCTCGGGACTCACATTTAATATTAACTTGAACACAGATTAATTCATCTATTGACATTTGTTACATCATTTATTAAGAGTAACTTTATTTAATGATAGCTACCATTTAATGCATGTCTTGTGCTTCACATTCTTTATTTCATTATAAGTCTTAAAAACTGAAATATAGATGAAGTTATTGTAGTTTTCAAAATAAGAAAAAATGAGAGTAGAGAAAGTTGAATAACTTGATCAATGTTACAGAGCTTAGAAATGCTGGAGCTAGGATTTAAATCCAAATCAATATGTGATCTGAGAAACCTTGCTCTAATTTGCTACAAAGTATTACCTCTCAAGAGGAGGATGAAGAATAGAAATTTTATTTTTACTTTATATTTTTAGTGCACAGATAATCCAGTAATAAAGCACAGCTAAATTCCTTTTTAATTTTATTTAAAAAAAAAAACCAAACCTTTGTTTGAAATTGTGCTTATCTTTTTTAGGCATCGTGCTGTCAATCTCTTTCTTCAGGGATATGAAAAATCTTGGATTGAAACAGAAGAACATTACTTTGAAGATAAGCTGATTGAAGATTTAGCAGTATGTTTTTAATGGGGTTATAAAATGAAAGAAGGTTGGAGCATGGTGGAATAGTGTCATCATAGATTATTGAAGAAAAAACATTATTGCACTACATTGATCTTAGGAAACTTTTAAATATCAATTGTTACTGCATTAAGCTTTTATGGAAAAAGTTTCTCTTATTTCCAAGAGATCTCATCAATGTGATATCAGTTATTCAGAATTTCTGATGACTAATGCAAGTTTACTACTAACAAAACCTGGTTCAGTTATCCTTTTAAATTCTTCCCCAAAGCCGCTAAAACTCAGAACCAGGATATACTATAAAAGTCTGATCTATAAAGAAGTTATCCACCAAAAATACATTCAAGACTAACAAAATGTAGCCAGTTTTTTAAAGTCCATGGGGCAGAAGATGCTAGAGTGGCCCAGAAGAGGAGCCATGGGAAGTGTGGTGATAGCCAGCAGAATCTCCACTGATAGTGCCCAGAAGCTGGTATTGCCTAGAGCACTGCAGGTCATCATCTTGTTTAAGTTGAGGATCTTTTCAAAATCTAATGAAGGAAATCTTGCTAAAAATAAAATTATAAGCATACTGTCCCATCAAAGTTTGCAGGCTAGTCAGAGGCTTCATGATTCCCAGTTGTCTGAAAGTTACTTTTTTATGTCATGAATTATCTGGGAATATAATGGATAAACTAATTTAGTTATTAAAACATGGCTCTTATTGCCTCTGGGAATTTTTAAATCAATTTTGTTTGACTTTAGGCTCAAAGCAAACATAAATGTTTGGATATCTTATAGAAATTTGCTTGGTACATATAACATTAAACCTTAAGTCCAGGAAATAAACCATTGATATAAAAATACAATCAGTTCAAATGCATGAGTTAGTGGAGACACAAAATTCATTCAATAGAAAGTCAGGATTATTGTTAAATATCTCTGAGGGTATGGGTGTAGCTCCATGGGTAGCGTTTTTGCCTAGCATGCCCTGGGTTCAATACTGCAAAAATATTGAAATAATTAAATATGAAAAGGGATCAAATATCTCTGTTTTAAGCTGCATAATTTTACATTGTCAATGAGATTGATATGAACACATTATGTCACATTTATTTACACAATATATATTACATATAACACATATACATATGTGCACATATTTATACACAAACATACATTATAGCATGTATAGTGCACATAAAACATATATGTGTGTACCCAAACATCTACAATAGGAAATGAAGGGCTTCTCTTTTATTGTTTGGTCCTATCCCTCCTATTGCTCCTGAAGTTGAATAAACATTTCTTCTAAATGTGAAATTTTATAAATCTGACTTTCTTATAGAAACCTGGGGCTGAACCTCCAGAAGAAGATGATGTCGCTAAGAGAGTTGATCCTCTGCATCAGTTGATCCTTCTGTTCAGTCGCACGGCTTTAACAGAGAAATGGTATGGCTGGGGGTTCACAGGAGACAGGGAGGATCAAATAAAGGAATCCATGTCTGAGTATTGTGTGTCATTGTTTCATGTTTCAGTTTCATCTGGTATGGAGAGAGAGTTTTTAAGGCTGGCATATACCCTTGGATCAACATTCATTCAATTTCATGCTTTAATATCTATGAATTCTGGTTTTTCTTAACAATTTTATAATTAACTGGTTTAGTTGGTTCTGATTTCTTATGAAATGGATTTTCTGTTTATCACAAACAGAATTTATAAATAAAACAAGAGAAACCAAAGAAAATTCAAGTGCCAAAAATATGGAGGCTAATAGTGACCCAAGATTTCCAGGTAAACTGTGTCTCCATTGCACAGTGGGTCTTTGGAAGCCTCTAAGGTGGGTGAGTTGTAATCTCAATTTGGGAATATCTCCACGGTTTATTTGAAGGATTTTGCCCACTTTTCTTATATTCTGCATTTGTAGTCATATGAATTCACCAAGGCAGTGAATGGCAAACCTCTGTGGAGTTAAATAACAAAGGCACTCTGAGGCCCACAATGTATGTGTCTTAGCGTCTGCTCATTACAGGGGCACTGCAAAGATTGGTGCTGTAGAGGGGGCATTGCAGAGATGATCAAATTTTTTCCTGTTTTCCTGCCCTGTGAAAGAAAGCCAGCTTTGCCCCAGGTCTCACCTGTGCTCTGCAGAACCTGGGAGATAATTTAATTATCAACCACATCCATATGTCTTCTCAGAAGTCCGAAGAGTTCATGTGACCTCTTTGCATGTCATAACAGTATACATTTCTCTCTTATCTAATGTGATCCATCCTTTCTCTCACTGTTTCTCTCTTATTATTTCCCAACTAACAAAACCATCTCATCCCTAAGCATAGAGCAGCTGTCTGTCTGGCCCATGGCAGGTAATGAGGTATTTCTCATGAGTGAATTTTTCTCATAGCTGAAATTTGAAACTGCTGAGATAGCTTTGCAACTTCTACATATTTTTTGATGGAAACCTTTTATTCATGTATTAATGGTTCCATTCTTCTTAAGAAAGATGAGAAGTGTATTTGGTCCTTTCTTAATTTTTATGAATCTTCATTATGACTCTTATTTTTTAACTATAATTTATAATTTAGAGAGTCTTTCTATCAAATGTCAAATATCACATTGTTTAAATTTGCTCATTTCAAATTTTGTAGTTTGGAAAAAATTACAGTTATTACATTTCTGTGTTTTCTGAGATGTGAGGCTTCTTCTGTAAGATCAGGGGACAGCTTTTCAGGAACTCTGAAATCTTCCATCTATGACTTTAAGATATTTTTGAATGATTAAAATTGCCTAAATTTTATGTTCATTCAATTATAAAACATCATGCTTGTTAGAAAACAACAAACACGCTATTTTATACAATGATGGTACATCCACAAATGACATAGCCTTCTCTTTAAAATTGATGTTTTTTTTCTTGTTTTTCATAGCAAACTGGAGGAAGATTATTTATATATGGCTTATGCAGATATTATGGCAAAGGTAAGAGCCCTTCCAAATTTTAATGTTTTAATATTTTAATAAGGTCATTTTAATTTGACAAAGTATTACAATCTTACCTTCTGGATTAAAACAAAATATTGTTAAATCATGGAAACATAAGACACGTCTTACTCTCAGATTCCTAATTGTTCCATGTGTCTTTGCTCTTAACTTCCTTGGCGAGTAACCACTGTTTTCTTTTTTTTAGCATTCCTACTTGGGATTTTGTATTTTTAATTATAATAATGAATGCACATTTATTGTACAGCCTGACAGGCTTCACTGCAACATTTCAATGGGTGCATATATCCTATTTAGATCATGTCCACCATCTCTTCTATATACTCCTCACCCCCTCAACCTCCAGTTTTCTTCTCCAGTGCTCCCTCTTCTACTTTTAGGTCATCTGTTTTTTTAAGTGACCCTATATGAGCAAAAGCATGTGCAAGTAGTCATTCTGTGTTTGGCTTAGTTAACATGGTGACCGCCAATTCCATCTATGTTTTTTTTTTTTTTTTTGTAAATAACATTTCATTCATCTATATGGTTGAATGGTACTTATTGGTATATATACCATGTTTTCTTTATCCATTCATCTGTTGGTGACACCTAGGCTATTTCATATCTTAGTTATTTTAAATCTCTTTCATTTCCTTTGGATATATGCCCAAGAGTAATATAGCTGGATCATAGGGCGTTTCTATTTTTTAGTGTTTTGAGGAAACTCCACACTGTTTTCCTTAGTGATTGTATTAATTTACACTCCCATCAACAGTGGAAGGGTTTCTATTTCTCTTGTTCTCACCATCATTTGTTATTTTATTGATAATGGTCATTGTGACTAGAGTGAGATGGGATCTCACTGTAGTTTCGATTTTCAATTCCCTGAGAGCTGAAGATACTGAGCATTTTTCATATATTTCTTGGCCATTTGTACTGCTTCTTTTGAGAAGTGTCTTTTCAGATCATCTGTGCAAATTTTGATTGGATTACTTGGGCTTTGTTAAGGTCATGTTAGTTCCTTGAATATTCTTCATGTTAACCCTCTGTTGGGTGAATAGCTGGCAGAAGTCTTCTCCTGTGCTGGAAATTGTTTCTTTCCTCTGTCAACTTTTCCTCTGCTGTGCAGAACCTTTTTAATTTGATGTAAATCAATTTGTCAGTTCTCTTTTGTTTCCTGAGCTATTGGAGTCCTATTCAGGAAATCATTGCCTGTGCCTATATCTTGAAGAGTCTCCCCTGTGTTTTCTTCCTGTAATTCCAAAGTTTCTGGTCTTACATTGGGGACTTGGACCCATTTGTAGTTGATTTTTATACAGGATAAGAGGAGAGGTAGTGGTCTAGTTTCAATCTTCTACCTGTGGATATCCAGTTTAACAGCACCCTTGGTTAAAAAACATGGATTAAAAGATAAAAGAGGAATATCACTTATTCTTTTGTAACAAAAAAAGAAGAAGGGGAAGATGCTAGGCTAAAGTGTCATCTGCTCTTTCTCACAGTCCTCGGCTGAGACCGAGGGGTTAGGTGCAGGGAATCTGGATAGAAGGTTTGAGAGACAGAAGACTCCAAAGAGACCTTTTGACATTTGGCACATTTATTGACTAGAAATCAGCGTAGGTGTCCCAGGCAGCGTAGAAAGCCTGGCTCAGGTGGTGGTTCAGGAATTTGCAGCAGAATCACTCTGGCTGTGTGACCTCCCTAGCAATTCTCAGAACCCCATGCGAACCTATAGAAGGCAGGTAGTAAGTTGGTGTCTAACGATTTTTGACTATTGCTCTTGGGGACACTGTGCCAGAGGGATTTTGTGATTGGGCAGCGTTTGTGGCCTCAGAACTGAGGAGCATGAGCAGGTGGGTGGAAGAGGTATAAGCTTCTGGTTTTCTAGCAGGCAATTTTTGATTGTTAGATTTCTTGGTGACTAAAACATGTCTCTCTGGCTTCTCTTTTAATTTAGTTATATCCTAAAGCTCTATCGAATCTCTATTGATATTCTATCAAATATTTAATAAGGGCTCCCATAGTCTGCCTTTCTCCCAAGAGTCTCCTCTTCACACTTAAATATCCCTTTTATTGTCTGATGGACCCAGGAATGCCAAGCTCTGTCACTCAGTTTCTTCTACTCTGCATGTGCTCCAGTTAACCAATCTGTGCACCCAGAGAAGTTTCGGTTTTTGTTGTACACCCTTCTGTAGGGCATATGGATCTGCATCCTTGCTTATTGGGCTTAGGAGCCTGTACATTTACCATTAGTTGTAGGAGCACATTAAAATGTTGGCAGAGCACATTTTTGCCTCCTTTTGAGCTTACCTGTCAACCTAAAATCCAAGTCATTTGTGAATTTCTGTTCAGTTTTATCTTATATCCTTATCTAGATAGATTTTTTTAAATTAAGTAAATATCATCGTTTCTCTAGAGTCAGGCCATTGTCCAATGCTAGAAGCTTTGGAAAGTTCAGTTCTATCATCCAATGCTGGCTCTTTTTATTTATTTATGTCAAACATAAATTTGATAAGTGTGATTCTCTGTTTACGTAAGTTGTTAGTAGACAGTGTATAAAATGGTACTCCGCTAGGGTCTTATTTTCATTTTCCTTGGCTGGGTAATGTACTGGGTATCAACCTAATACTTCTTTGGTGGCTGATTCTGAACTGAGGAATTGTCCCGCACACCATCTCTGTTACTGCAGCATCTGCTGTGACTCACGCACTTGCTGCTCCTCCTCCTCCTTGCTTTGCCAGTGACTTCAAAAATTATATAAATCATTGGGCTGGAGATGTGGCTCAAGTGGTAGCGTGCTCGCCTGGCATGCACGGGGTGCACCACATATAAAATAAAATAAAGATGTTGTGTCCACTGAAAATTAAAAAATAAATATTAAAAAATTCTCTCTTTCTTAAAAAATTATATAAATCATGATGTTTTTGAAGGTGCACTTGGATGTAAACTGTAGATTAATCTTCTCTTTGTTTTGCTTATTGTAAGGAACTCTTGTCTCCTTTACATAGCCTCCTGTTTTAACAGTCACACAGGGAGGATTCCAGAGCTTCCTGTTAGCTCCTTATTGTCATCTTTTCCTGCTCTGTTCTCTGCTGATAGCCAGGGTGTCTTCACTGTGGCTGTCGTTCCTAGAGTCCTCAGAATGTCTCTTTTCCATCTGCCACCCTGCTTCCCTGTCAGCAGCTGCTTAATCCCAAAGGTGATTTTACCCACTTAAGGTACCCACATGGAAGTACCTGGAATGATATTGCCACAAACTGAACACTCAGTACTGTTTCCGCCCTTGAGTTTCTGGCTAAGGAAACCCTGCCCTTCCCTTTTCCTTCTCTTACTAAGTTTTTGAAATGTCTAAGATACACGTTAAGTTACACCCAATGTTTGTTTTTTTGTTGGTTAAAATGATAAAATGTCATTTCACTTTTTTAAAAAAGATTTATCCACCTCACCCATTAGCTCTTGGTTCATCAGATTTAAATCCATATGGAAGTTTCTGGTTTTGCTTCCTTCATATTCTGAGAAACTTTATGGTCAGAAAGGCAGTCAAAGAATCTATTTAATATTCTCCTTCTATAGGACAAAATTTCCAGAAGATACCAACAAATCAAAGCACTACGTGTGCTGCTTTAATACTCTCATTGTTAATATTGAATTTTATTTTAGATACCTCAACAGTCCAAAGAATTCTGCCTTTTTATCTATTTTTTTCCCTCTAAAATTGCCTATTCAATGCTTCTGTCCCATTGTGTACCTTTTCCTTCCTGGCACATGTTATTACTCTTGCTTGCTCAGAAATTAGAGATCTAATCCAGGAAGCCAATCTTGTGCTTTAGGACTAATATAACTCTTCATTTTCTGAGCATTATCAGATGTATTATGTGGACATAATTTGCTATTGAAGAACATTCTTCCATGCCTACAAATCCTGTTTCTGTCCAGTACATTGAAAAGTTTCTGGAGATCTTTTATAGGTGTTTTTGTTTGCTTGCATGTGTGTGCATTTTTGTTGTGGTCCTAGCCTACCTTTGTGCCAATCATAAGTTTAGCATTTCACCCATATAGTGAAACCGTCACAAGTCTGTGTACCTTCCTTTATTTCCTCCTTTACAAACCATGTTCCCATGCCTATTATTGTAAGTGGAAAGGGTGGTGCTTCTTACATCTTTGTTAAGTGAATCAAAGAGTGTGACACCCCTTTTAGAGTCTACACTGAGTGGGTGGAAGGATTACATCTCATACCTTCCCTCCTGTCTTGTCTCACTTTATCTCCACGCCAGAGTGCTGTGAGTCTTTGAGGTCTAAGAAGTTTTTTGATTTAGATTTTGCCATCCCCCCCATGCACTTCATTGATGCACATAATGCTTACTAGAAACAGAAAACAGCTTATAAGGGTTGGGATAGTAACTTCAGTGGCTGCGGGTTTCCTCCGACCATGGGTGTTAGTTAATGACAGCTTCCTTTAAGTCAGCATTATACTCAAAGTTCCAAACCAAGATGAGAGTTATGAAAAGTTCACTATTGTTGACACTATTGTGTCAGTATTGTTGACTATTTTTTCCCAAGTTGCAAAATTTTACATATATTAGCACATAAGATTGTTTTTAAAAAGCCAGCTATTCTTTCTCTCATTCCCATCTTGTTCCTCTGCCTCTTGAGCCTATGTTCCCAGTCGCCATACCTCTGCCGCCTCAGCAAGCAAAAGTTCCAGCTGGGGGAATTAGATAATAGCTCATGCACGGCTTAGTACTTCTCCTTCATCATTTCCAGGAAAAATAATGGAATAGTCAGCTTTATAATTTTTATGTGTAAATAATAAATCAGTAATAGAACTTCACTTTCTTCCTTTAGGCAATATACAGTAAAAGTGAACATTAAAAAAGGATTGCAAGAGTCTTTTTTTAAGGTCTCGGGATTGAACTCAAGGGCACTTAACCACTGAGCCACATCCCCAGCCCTTTTATTTTGAGACAGGATCTCACTAGGTTGCTTATAGCCTCTATAAGTTGCTGAAGCCGTTTCAAACCTGCGTTCCTCCTTCCTCAGCCTCCTGTGCCCCTGGGATTACAGGTGTTCGCCACCATGCCCAGCTGCAAGAGACATTTTAGTTAATGGATACTGCTTTCTATTAGCTTTAAGTAATAATTGTTGCGTATACTTGCATTAGTACATTGTAATGAAAACATAAAAATGGAAAAGATTCTTGTCTTTAATGTTTTCAATTTGGCTTGAACAAGGAAAATGCATCAATAAGTAGTATGTGTAGTATGTTAGGGACCTCATAATTATCTGTCATTCGTAAAAAGGGTAATTTGATATTTTAATTTTGTAAAAGCATAATATAATTTTCTTTCAGGTTATAAATTTATTAATCATGATTTCTTAGTATCTGACATATATATGTATATATGTATTCAAGCATTGTTGATAAATTCATTCAAATCACTTGGTGTTCTATGTTAAATGATTTCTTTGTACTTGCTGCCTTAACATATTCTTTACTCCTCCCCCCCCCCCAATTAGAGTTGTCATGATGAGGAAGATGATGATGGTGAAGAAGAAGTGAAGAGTTTCGAAGTAAGCTAGATCTTTCTAGAATTGCCTTTTCTGTTTTGAAGCATTGTTTCATAGCTTATAACTGACCTTTATGTTTCTTGCTTCATGGCTTATTGCAGCTTATTGTGTCAAGGAACTGCATGTCAGAGCTGGATGGACAAACCTGAGTCCTAACCTTTGCTGAAGTTAAGACCAAGGAATGTAGAGTAGTTGTATAATAAAATAAAGCCCATATGTTCAGAATGAGTGTTCCTGAGCACCCTCCGAGATGAGACCGCTTCAGATTGTTCTCATCTCAGGGATTTGTGGTCTGGAATTTCCAAGATGTATGAGGAAAATCTTTATTGAAGAGCAACATGACATCAAGATTTAATCATACCTGTGTTTTGCTATTTTTTTCCCAAACTGAAGTCTTAAAGATTTGGCCCCTTGATTTCTGCCCGCTTGGGCCACTCATTCCGTGTACATATGGAGACGGTGGCACATGTCAGTTTGCTTGCATGAGGTAGGAGTATGTATATTCATAGCACTAGGTTCTATTTAGTTATTTTTCTCAAACATGCTCAGCTTTTAGATATCTCATATAATTTGAAATGCTGCTTACTATTAGTTAGCCAGAAGAAAAGTGAATATTATTTCCCCCCTTTGCTTATAGTATACTTTGCTTTTTATGAGAACAGCTAGTTGTTGCTAATTACCACCCTTCTTATTTATTGATTTTTAAAAATAATTTTCAAAAATAAATCAAGTAGAAGGAAATAGAGAACAGATCTTTTTTTTTTTTTTTTTTCCTATTAACTGACATGTCTGGACTTTGAGCTAGAAGACTCGGAGTGTATCAGTGGCCAGCAATGAGTCTTGAATTATGATGGACACTAAAGGTAGAACTAGTGAGTGAGCAGTCAGTCCCTCTTCTGGGACCCATTTGTATGTGTGTCTCTGCAGTACTGAAGTCAACATACAAAAGTATAAAAGCACAGCAATTTGAGAATTACCCAGAACTATTGCTGGCTGAGAGAAATCCATGAAATTAAATTTCATGAATGATACTGAAATCTTTTCTAATGTACGTATGTTCTAGTCTCAAATACGTCTTTATTATTAGGAGCCAGGTAAATTAGAATGAGCTGTGAACAGCAAATAACATTGTTTTCCTGAAGTGCACACCATTTATGGTCTATCGGTTGTCTTCAGAGCAATTGTTTATTGCTATTTTGCTTCTTGTCCTCATCCTTCCTTAAGGTCACAGGATCCCAACGCAGCAAGGTAAAACCATGTATATGTGTGTATTTGTCTGGGTCTGAGTTTCAGTTTCTTGTGACATTTGCCTTTGTTAGACCCAACATCTTGGATTCTTTTGTTAGAAAACATCTTGAAAATCATTCTACAAGCTTGTAACTCCAGTGTAATTCCTCTCTTCCCCTTCCTTGGTTTATTCTTCTTGCAGTTTCACTGCTTGGGAATTTGAACTTTGCTAAATCTGAGCACAGACTGTGTTGAATAGAGGAGTTGAGCCCATTAGTGGTTAAGCTGTTGGTGGGAAGCATTTTAGTGCAGGCTTGGGCCTCATCCCTCCTGGTGTTTTTATATTAGTCTCACTACTTGATAATGGACCTGATAAATGGTATGGCTGGTGAGATTAGAGAGAAGTCTGCTTTTCATTATGTGTTAGTACCTGGAGATTTCAAAACACAGTACACTGTGATTTCAATATTGAATTTGGCATTTCAGTGAAAGAGGAGAGTCAGATGATTATTTCTCTTTTAAATATTTGATTTGGAAAATTTGCGAAAAGAAAACATTTTCATCTAAATTACAAAGATGTTTTTTACTTAAGTATGGATCCTATTAAATTTTCTTTTCTTGAGACTATTTAATAGGAAATTTGATCATAAACATCCAAATAGATAGTACTCAAAATGATTTCAAAAAAATGAATTTAGACTGTTACAAAGAATCTAAAAGGAACACATTGTAATGTTTTTTGATTCACTGTTAAATTTGGAGGACTATATTGTTTTTACATCCCAATTCTTGTAAATTTTAAAATCTGAGAATATGAGGATACTGTCAGATACAGCTTCAATTTGATGGATGTGATGGTTTATGACATCATGGATGTAACACTTTCTAGCATATTATGAGCTTAAGTAATAGATGATATTGGGTTCAATATTGACTTGAGAGATTTTTATTTTTTATCATGAATTAGGTAGAATTCCTGTGAATTGTTGAGGGATGACATCAACCGAAGATTTGGTTTTCTCGTTAGCACAAGGTTTATGCCTACCTAAGAGTGTGCTGATATTTGCTGAATGAGGAAGGATAGGACAGGACAAGATGAGCAAATTTTTGTTTTGAAGGAAGATCGCAGTCTTAGTGAGATCTAAAAGCAGGTCCAACTTGGTGAGTATGGTCAAATTTAGTACCTTTGAAAAGCCTCTTATTCAGGAGAGAAGCCTGGGAATGGCCAGCTGTGGAATCTGGTCTTCAAAGTGTCCAGCCAGACTAAAGACAGTCATTGGGCAAGGTGTGGAGCCTGACCAGAGAGAAGGGGCTGCCTTTGAATTTAGACTGAATTTGGGGATTTTCACTACTAACAAGTTGTTGCACTAAGCTCCCTATGCCTTGGACAACAACTTCTTATCTATGATTAAGATAAAAATGTGCTATTCTGGCAAAATACATGCTTTGTGAGCAAGTAATACAAAGGTTGCATGGGAGAAGCAGAGTCAGTCATCTGTGAAGATACTCTTCTCAGAGGTTGAGTATGTGATACCAGAAAACCACCAAAAAATGCAACCAGACAATTGGATTAGTACTTTTTTCTGGTAGTGCTGTGGTTGAACCTAGGGCCTATGCCTATGAGGCAAGCACTCTGCTGCTGAGCTCCAGCCCCAGCCCAGGGACCAGTATTTTCTTTGTGCATTTAGTATTCTACAGGCAGTTTATAATGAGCTGTCTGGTTGCTTGACATAATTTGTGTAGAATCTCATTGTAGGATTTTTCATGTAACTTGTAAGGAATCTGAAATTGTTAGTTACAATAATTCTTATAACAAATTATATTAAATATGGAAAGAACATAAAGTTTGCAGTAAATGAATTGTATCTCTGTAACTAATGAAATATTCCTATTTGCTGTAGTGTCTACTTTTATTCTTTATCTATATTCAACTAAGATGTCGAGAAGAGGAAAGAAGTAGACACTTTGAGAAGTGTGGTATTGGAAGGAACTTTTCCATTAGGAGTACAGGATTCCTAATTAGGGGCCTGGGGCACCAAGTATTTGACAGCTCTTTCTTTCTTCCCTGTGTGTTATGTTGACATGATCCTATTTAAGCCTTTCTGATTCATCTTGATAATCTAGTTCCCTGTTTCCTATAGAATGTAAATATGATTTTTTAAAGCTACTTATTTTACAACTCTATTGAATATTTAATTATTTGATAGACTTGTGGCTATTTCCAAGTGAGAACCATATGAGGACAGTTAAATCTTATGAAAAGGGAAGGCACATTCTACCATTTACCTGCAGAGTTAATGTTTGCAGTAGTGGGCTTTACTTAGCTTTTGAGTTTTTAATGAACCAAAGGAAATAATAATAAAAACAATAAATAAATAATGATGGTTTAAGTCAAATATGTTTACTTTTCTGAGTACAATGAGTTTTTTTTTTCCTTAGCAAGGTCATCAAAGAGCTGTACTCTAGGGGACCATCTTTTAAAACTATGAATTCTCAGAAGTTTCCTTTTTCTCTTGCCCTTACCAAAAATCCAAAGACTAAAATGAAAATCCAGTGAGAGTACCTGTGTGGAATGTAGAGGCACCATAATGTGGATTTATTATTCACTGTAAGACCTAAGTTACTGACAGGGGAGCTTAGGTGAGTGGGAAAATGGATCATTAACTTTTCTTCTCTACCATGTTTTTGAAATATTAGGCAAGTTGCTGCTTCTTGGGCAAATGCCCAATTTCTGGCTCACAAGTATATTTTCTCATGAGTCCCCAGGATCCTATTATTCAGTAGTTCAGATTAAAAACAATTTCTTGTGTCTTAAATTCTAAATATGCCTGTGGCAGAGTTGACATTTTATAATAAAAACTTGGGACTAGCACATCCTCTCTTGGATGGACCCCCGTTGTAATTCACATGGTTTTACACTTGCAGAAGTGCTCAGACCACTACCCAACTCCTGCTTCAAAGTAAGCACCCGGAAGAATGGGAGAATCAATTTAGGGCCAAAATGTCTGAAGGGTTGATAATATACAGTACTGCTCCAGTGGTAAACAAAGCAAAACTTTTTTCCACTCCAAAGATACAATTTTTAAGGATTTCATTTTATTATAATTCTGAAAGAGTGAATTGGTTGTAAGATGTATTGCTACTTAATAGCTACATAATTTGAACTTTGAATTTAACAAAGAGAACCTTACATGTCTAAAATTTGAATATATAGCTATGAGTATAAAATATTGAACTAAGTATCCCTTTTGTCAAGAAAATTTACAATTCCTTAGTTCCTATTGCAAAAGCTATATGAATGCAAAACACATACTAATGTGCTACTGTTGAACCATAGAGAGGAGAGGAATAGTGGGGCTAGTAATGATGCAATCTGCCGACTTCATTTTTGTGTATGAAGTTGATATTTAAAACAGTGATCACACATCTTAGCCCAGATTTCCTAGAAAACAAAGACCAAAAGCTAACGTGCTAACGCTTCATTGAGATTTTGAGTGTTACAATTCCAGAGAAATAAAAGTGAGGATGAAAAAAATATATATAGGAAGTGGGGAGGGCTAACATAAGTGGCTATGCTGTGGTACAGCTGGCTGCTGAGTGGTGTGGCTTGCCTCCAGAGAGTCCACTGCATCATGGGACAATGCCTCCTGGGGAGGGAGGAGGAGCATCTGCCCTTTCTTGTTGGCCACAGGAGTTCATTTCTTCAGTCTTCCTACTGATATTATCTGGCTCTGCCAGGCAACCCCTGGCCAGCCAGAGCCATCTTGGGTCTAGCCTATTAGTGCTCAGGCACTGGAGTCCCCTTATCCATCAGCAGTGGGTCTCCTAGGTTGTGGTCATGATAACAGCCAGTGGATACTATGTGGTTCCAGCCATCTGGACTCAGAAGGAAGGCAAGTGTCCGAGAGAGAGGGGTTAGGTGGAAGAAAAGCACTGATCCTGGTACAAGGAAATTCCCAGAAAGTACTGTCCTGTATGTTTTATGTGGTCATTGAGGCATTTGAGTATAGACATAAATGTCAAGCAATATAGAAAACATTCAAATATGGAATTGTGCATTTTCATGTGCACAATAATTTGAATTCTTATGCTGTTATGTTTAAAATAATCCCAGTTGAAGCTTTCACTTGGCCAAGTCATGTGCCATCAATGGAGCAGCAGAGTCATGAGGACACATACAYCCAAGTGAAAGGTCTCTGTTGAATCCTAGCCCCACCACTTAGATGTGTGAATTTAAGCCTCAACTCCCCTATGATTGGGACTGATCTTAGTATTTTTTTAGGGCTATAAGGAGGATTAATTTAGTTAATATGTATAAGGCACGCATTGCCTATCACATAACAAGCTCTATAAGTATTTGCTGTTATTGACACATTAACTAATTTAACTTTCCCTTCCAAAAACAAGTCAGATAATACCATACAGAAACTTATGCAGTACACTGAGCAAAGAACTATACACAGGGCAGGAGACCTGGTGTCTCACTCGAGTATTGTATGATCTCAGCTAATCAAACTCACCTGCTCTGTCTCAGCCTTGTCTTGGAATAAAGAGCTTTTCCATAAATTCTCGGGATCAAGTACACCTTTAAAATTTGTCTTACATGCTAATGTGCCACAGTCCTTACTGTTTTTCTGGGCAATTTCATAGTTTTTCTAAATGCATAAATATTGATAAAGGCATGCAAATTTCCATTTTTATCTGATCTCTGGGAAATAAATTCTGTGCTTTTTTAAAATAAGAATGTTCAATGAAAGTGTTTCATAGAAAATAATGTGTAATGTCCCTACATACATATGTGCCTCCACCTTTGCCTAGTTTAGGGAAGTACTGCATATATATATGAAGTCCACGTTTGGTTTAGTGTTTCTTTTGTCTGAGTAGGTTAGTAAAACTTGCATGTATATATATATATATATATATATATATATATATATATATATGAAAAAGCATAATAATAAAGTACTTAAGACTCATGAAATTTAACCTTCAGCAATGAAGTTAACAACAAACCCTTTGCT